AAAATTACAAATACGTCAGATCTAGGGTCTTTCAAGGTTGGAATATTATTCCAATTTTCTGCTTTGGTTGGTTTGGCGCCTGGACAGGTTTGCAAACTACCTTGATCACTTTCGCCTGTTATATTTAGTATCTTCTCAAGCTCGTAGAATTGGGAGTACGAAATCATATCACGTCCATCATTATCATGAAACGAGTGCCCAGATACCATCACATCAGGAGTAGGATGTAATTTTACCCAAGGACTGATCAATACTAATTTTGAAGGGTAGACTATATTTTGTAATTTTGACTTTTTCAAGAACTGTAAATATCCAAGAGACAAATTTCCCCCAGCGGAGTCTCCCATTAATATTACATTGGTGTTGCCTTCATTTGTAACCAAATTCAGGTATGTCTCGTGCAACTGGTTCATCTGCGTGGGGAATTTATGCCCATATGATGCCAATTTATAGTCCAAATGTAAAATAGATAAACGTGATTGCTTGTCTGGCTTGAGCAACTTATACATTGTCAAAACTGATACAATCTGTTCCGGTTGCGTTTGAAGATAATAAGCACCTCCGTGAATATAAATCAAGATTGGATCATCTGGCTTCCTGTCTGGTTGTTTAACCAACCAAATGGAGTTCTTGTCGTACCTAGTACCGTACCCCGGGAGTTTACTAGTAATAGTTTTAAGGAATAAAGGAACCAACTTGTTGATAATGAAATCGTTACTCATGAACGAGACATAATAAGCATCTGAAACACTTAGCGAAAGTGCTGTTCTGAAAACTATAAGTCTTAAGCATTGCGTTAAGCTATTTGCATATTTCCGAACCGGATCCCCAACAGTATAAAATCTCAAAGTGACAATCAATGCTTTGATGGGAATGCTAATCAATGAAAGTAGACCTGATAACGAAATCATGATACTCAATATTATCTTGCATTGAATAGTAATTCCTTCCGGGAGTTGCTTGCTTATATAGGAGGATTGCAGCAGTCTCATGTGATGATTTTTGTTCCGTGAGGAGTATCGGATATAGAACAGTACTGCACTCTATTGCTGCTAATAACGAGAGAATAAATACGACTTTAAGACCGCTAAGTAAAGATTCCATACTTAATGCAAACTATTGCAGTAAATCGTTCCTCTAGACTATAATTAGCCGGTACAAGAACATCCGTGGAATATACTCTAATGATTTATAGTAGATATTCAGAGTCAGTATGTCCCCAGTGCAATTGGTGAGATTTGACGGCGGCTAAATATCGAAATGATATTTTAACCACTTATCTACTGTTTCAACGAGATAATTATCACGAAAACAACATAGATATCTTCTGGGTATCTGCTATAATCGCCAAGTTCCGTTGGTCAGATTGTTTCCGTGGGGTGTTATCGCCGGGCACGGTTAAGAATAATTAGTATGGGCTTGGATTATATAAGCAAGCGAGTACTCCCAACAGTTCCAATGAACGTCGAGTATTTATATATTTATTGAAAAATTTCAGGTTTATAGCACTAACTAAGTCAATTAGAGAATAATTAAGATGTCAGTCGAAGATTTAAAAGCTACTGTTACCAAGTTACAAGATAGAATTTCATATTTGGAACAAAAGGCCGGTATTGTGCCAAATGTGCCAAAATCTGTCAGAATGGTGTTGATTGGACCTCCAGGTGCTGGTAAAGGTACCCAAGCTCCAAACTTGAAGGAAAAGTTCTGTGCTTGTCATTTGGCCACTGGTGATATGTTGAGAGCACAGGTTGCTGCTAAGACATCATTAGGTGTTGAAGCCAAGAAGATCATGGACCAAGGTGGATTAGTTTCTGACGAAATCATGGTCAACATGATCAAGTCTGAATTAGAAAACAACAAGGAATGTTCTAATGGTTTCATTTTAGATGGATTCCCAAGAACCATTCCACAAGCTGAAAAGTTGGACTCTATGTTGGAAACCAGAAAGACTCCATTGGAAAACGCTGTTGAATTAAAGATCGACGATGAATTATTGGTTGCTAGAATCACTGGTAGATTAGTCCACCCAGCATCAGGTAGATCATACCACAAGTTATTCAACCCACCAAAGAAAGAGATGATCGATGATGTTTCTGGTGAAGCATTAGTTCAAAGATCTGACGATAACGAAGATGCTTTGAAGAAGAGATTGGTTACTTACCACAAGCAAACCGAACCGATCGTTGACTACTACAGAAAGACCGGTATCTGGTCTGGTGTCGACGCTTCCCAAAAACCAGGTAAGGTTTGGGATGATATCTTAAAATGCTTAGGTCAAAAATAAGAATAATTTTATATATTAGCTAAGTATTTATGTATAGGATTGTAAAAATATCACCGTGTCATTAAAACTTTTCCCGCTTTACCTTTGTATTCAACTCATCTACTGCACCTCTCTTTTTATTCGCTTCGTTGAAGCACGTAGCATGACAAATTTTACGGCTGTTTTTACCTTCGCCGGGAGCTCTGATACAATTGAACCAGCACCATTCACCAAGATCATCATTATAAGTAGCTTTAATTTGATCACGACAAATGAGACATTTATTATTCATATTTGTTTCATTTGAAGGAATTGTGACATAAGGCGTTTCAGCCTTAGTCATATTAGAATTGTTTGATATGCTAGTTTGTAAAGATTCGGTATTTGAAGTTGTTGAGTATTCTAGCAAGTTCTCGTCTCTGAATTTGACCCAGTCGTAATCGTCTAAATACCAAACTCTTGATTGTACACTGGAAGTAGCCATCTTCTTATTTATACGGAAATGCCAATCCAAATGCAATCTTCTTTTACTGACACCAGCTTCATCAGTAGTAAATCTCTTACCACATGTACCACATTTTGATGACTTTGCTTCATATAACAATGACCTTGTTGAATTCGAAATCTTGTTAGTATTTATGAAATTTTGTAACCCCTTTGAATCGATAGATAAATTATTTAATTCATTGAATTTTAATTGATCATATTCTGTTCTGGCTATGTTCGAACTTGGAATATTGAATTTTGCATTCGAGTTTATTAATAATTGTTCTAATACACTATTTGATGGTAAATCTACATTATTAGGGATATTAACTGTAGGTTGATATTTTTGCTTGGGAAAGTTTAATTCGTATGTTGGTAAAGAACCAGGCTTAAGAGCTTGGTCCATTTTAATTAAGCCAGAGACTACTAGCATGCCAAAGATATCCCTAGCCTTATTATTTTGAATCACAGGGGTATTTGGTAATCCTGGGGTCGTCGCAGGGGTCGCTGCTGGAGTAGGTATTGGTGTATTATAAGTATTTAACTCCTGTTGTTTAATAGTTTGCAATTGCGATTGTACCGCTTGTAGCTCGTTAACGTTCATGTTTTGGCTCTGTAGCAATGTCTTTAATTGATTCAATGCATTAAATCTGTCTGTTAATCTTGGATCTGGGTTATTGATGAGCTTGTTCTGGAAAATAGGAACCAATGTGTTGATATCATCTATCAAAACATTATTGGTCAATTGATCATTTCTTTTTGAATTCTTAGCATGTGCCTGGGTTAAAAATGCAGAAATCTTATCTAACTGCTCTCTTGGAAATAATGGCAAGTTGGTACCCTTAGTTTTAGTAATCTTCCAAGTCTCAAACAAATTTACAAGCTTTTGTCTTACCTGTCCATTCACCAACAAATAAACGTGTGAAAAGAGTTTGAATATTTCGTCACCAACTAATATATTATATGGATTTCCAACATTCTTACATACTGAATCTAACACGTAAAGTGCAAATAATTTGTGTTCGGGAATACATTTGAGTATTCTATTTGTTATTGCATTGATTATACCATCTGCTACGTTGGTATTCTCTTTGGCAATGGTGGTGAGGTTATCAATTATTGGACGCGAGTTAAACGTTAAATCAGTCAAGCTTTGAGCGTAATCCTCCACTATAGCTGACTTCAAATCGTTCGACATTCTAGATTATGTAGTGCCTTTCTTTGAACTTGAAAATGTCTTAAAAAATCTTCTCTTATTTCCATCCAGCTCATTTCGTTAAATGTAATCAGGATTTGATTATCTGGGCGTGTTCTTACCAATATCACCAACAGGACAAGGCTACAATAATCTGAAGTGATTAATGGTACAAGTAGGGTGAAATTGATGGTGAAATCTATGATTTTGACTTACAGGAATATGCTAGTGATATCCCATTATTTAATCTACATTTCTTCCCCCAGAAGTTTACAAGGATTTCCAAAATAACCTTTCGAGGTGTAACACTCTACTACATCCCTACACCTGTTTCCGAATTATTGGTTCCTTAATTAGTTTTGAAGAAAAGATCGGATTTCAAGGCTAAGAATATGAAGATAATGTGGAGTATCACGTCAAGATTTTGACTCGATTATTTTCACAGAGATATCGATGTTTTAAGAATCCCCACTTGTTTAATATACCAATAGCCCCACTAAAGAGAGAGAATTAAAGTTATTTTATACTTTTTTTTTTTGAATTATCATCTAAATAACAAAACTTATCTACTAGTACTAAAGCACTTATAATCCCTCCTATCTTTCAAGTCTGCTTTCTATCGATTCAGAGATATGATCACAGGATATGATCCCACTAGGCGTGTAAAAACCATGCCGAAATAAATTAAGCGCGGTGAACAAATTTTTCACAATTGGAATTGAGTCAGCCTAAGATAAAGCATTCTTTTAGTCTGATAGCAAGAGCAAATGTCACCACACGCCACAACCGATAAAAAACAATCAGGAACCGCTAGAGTTTTGGGATCTGCTTCTGCAGGTATCTGTGAAATCGCTGTTTTCCACCCAGTGGACACTATTTCCAAGAGATTAATGTCAAATCACGGTAAGATTACATCTGCTGCTCAATTAAACAGTGTTATTTTCAGGGAACACGCTAAAGAAGCTTTAGGAAAGAGATTATTCACATTATTCCCTGGTTTAGGATATGCTGCTTGTTACAAGATTTTACAAAGAGTCTACAAGTACGGTGGACAACCATTTGCTAACGAATTTTTGACTAAGAATTTCAAGGACAACTATGAATCGTGGTTCGGTCCTAAGACCGGTAAAGCATTATTATCAGCTACTGCAGGTTCGTTGATTGGTATTGGTGAAGTTGTGTTGTTACCTTTGGACGTTTTGAAAATCAAACGTCAAACAAACCCAGAATCTTTCCGTGGTAGAGGTGTGTTCAGGATTTTTGCTGATGAAGGATTTGGTTTATACAGAGGTTGGGGTTGGACTGCGGCCAGAAATGCTCCGGGTTCTTTTGCTTTGTTCGGTGGTAACTCTTTTGCTAAAGAGTACATCTTCGGTTTGTCAGACTACTCGTCGGCCACTTGGTCCCAAAATTTCATCACATCTATCTTCGGTGCCTCCGCATCTTTGATTGTTTCTGCTCCATTGGACGTTATCAAGACCAGAATTCAGAACAGAAACTTCGATAACCCACAATCTGGTTTCACTATCTTGAAGAACATGGCCAAGAATGAAGGTATATCCTCGTTTTTCAAGGGTTTGACCCCAAAGCTTTTAACTACTGGTCCTAAGTTGGTCTTCTCGTTCGCATTAGCCCAATCTTTAATTCCTGCCTTTGATAAGATGTTGAAATAGAGTCTTTAGTCTATAGATTTATTTTCGTATTTATTTGTATATATTAAATTAACACTATAAGTTTTTGATATTGCGTCCCGATTAGGAAATTGCGGCTTTTAATTAGAAGGCCTTACAAATCAAGTATCTAGATCCAAACGTGGTTGATCAAGCTATAATTACTAATAGCTTTCACTAGTATTAATTCATTTTTTTAGCATATATGATATAACATTGGACATAAGAAGGAGCTATATTATGAAGATATATCGATTTGGAGGAAAAAGTTAAAATGAAATTCTTCTCAGTTATAATATACACTTTAAAAGTGAATTTATTACAGGTATTAGTGAACAACTGTCGATCGCATTCGATTTCGTTACAATTCATTGACAGTTCAATATTTGAAGCAAGTACTTCTAGTAAGCATCCAGATGAATACGCAGATGGCGCATTTGTTGTGAATATTACGGATATACCGATTATGTGATTTGGAACAACTTGGGCTTTGACGAGTAAGATATGCATTCATAGGAATGGGAGTTTGCTTATGATGATAACGATTACGATTATGATTACAATTATGACTAGGATAAGAATGGTTTTAATAAGATTAGATAATATTTAGAGTTTATAGTGTATAGAAAATAATATTGTATATTAAAATTCTGTTGGTAATACTATATTAGAAATACCAAATGCTTCAAAATACCCAAGTTTGCTTAAATTAGGCAATTCAGTCGTCCATTTCTGTCTACCTAAAATTGAATCCAATTCTTGTAGAGATGACTTATTTTCGAGAATGCAGAGTCTCATCACTGCTTCGGATTTTCTCTTTTCTCTCTGAAGCTTTTCGGTTATACGTTCTCTCAATCCCCCGGTAGTGTTGGCAATATTCATGGCATTCTTCAAGAATGTCTTGCAATTTTGGAATAAGACATCTTTATGTTTAGAAGCTGGTTCATAATTCTGTAATTGGGACCTCTGAAGATCAATATCAGACCTGGCGATGATAATATTGCTGATTTGCGAAATAATCGACCCAATTCCATCGTCTGTTCCGGAAGGTCTTTTCTTCTTTTCGGTCAATTGTGTATTCAATAATTCCTGAGATTGTTTGTAGTAATTACCCATTTGCGTGAGTGCTTTCCAATAGAATTCAGCAATTTTCTGGTTTGAATTAGCACTATTTAAATTAATGTCATTCCTGTCTATCATAGTTTGTATATTATCAGCCGCCAGCATGTATCTTTCTGGGGTATGAGGTAATTCACTATTATTCCATAAGTCATACAACTTGCTGGCATCATTAATTGCTAACCCCTTAATATATGCTTTACATATCTGATAGTCATCAATATTATCTTGAGTGATTGATGAAATCATGTCGCTCTTTGCATTATTTCTCTCCCCAAAATTGAGAACTAAGTCGTCTGCAACAGCCTCACAAGTTGATAAAAATGGGTTAACCATATCCAAAGATGGCATTATTTGTGAATTTGGGTCACTTACGTTCTCGAGCACCGCCTGTGCTAGTCTATATGCTGATATTATTGTTTCAAATACGTCAGACGGTTGAAGAACTTCTTCGCTTGTAAATTCTTCTTCTTGAGGAGGCTTTTCGCTGCCTGAAGGTGTGTTGTTATTATTCGTACTTGATGCATCACTTGCTATTTCATTTAGGTCATTGAGGAACTTTTGGAGTTCGGCTGTTTGTAATTCAATAAGATTCTGAAATATACCTTGTGTCTTGTAACCATATTCCAAGACTGTATCGAAATTATCGCTTTCATTGTCTTGCTGGATTTCGATTACCTCGGTATATACTAATGCAGTATTAAATAATAAATCTAAAGGGATTCGAATATTCAAAGATTGTGCCACATCAATTGCCTTCTCATGAGCACTCACTATTTCTGATAAATTCTGTAATACTGAATCTTCGCCACCACTTATGGCATCTTCCACGTTAGTTAAATCATATACACTAACACCGTCAGTTTTAAAATATTGATTGTAAACGTGAAATAGAAGCCTAGAAGCATTGTAGTAACTATCTAAAGTACCATTTGGTGAAAGCTTTATGGCCATTAAATATTGGCTATAAGCTTTTTGATAGAACCTAAGAGCTTTGGCCAAATCAGATCCCAACCACCTATCTCCGCTTTCTTCATCAATTGCACCTTGGTCTAAAAATTCATCTGCTGTTTGTGGTTGCTTTGATTCATACTCTTGATTATCTTTTTGAGAGTTTAACAACGACTGAGCCCTTTTACCCAATTTTGGAACCTTTCCACCTTCTTCATTAAAAGTTTAAAGTTAGTAACCTAATTAATAGTAAGATTCATCTATATTCCATGTACATACTTTTCATCTTACTTGATCTAAGTTTCAGGAAGAGCTAACTGATTTTTTTCTCAATTTGATAAAATCAAACGCGTAATGTTCCAAAGATCTACAGATACGTTAGATTGAGTTGAGCTTTTACAGGACTGGAACCTAGGTTGACATAATATGCACAAGAGATTCAATAGTAATTCATTATCTGATCTTCCAGATACGAATCTAATTGCGACTATTGACCCTGTGAAGTATAAAATTACGCTACCGGTGTATTGTCTCTCATTATTCAAAAGTCCTACATGGAAACCTAATGCCCCTGGTATATTATATGTTACTGATTTTACAACGAATGAAGAGACAGCATTCAATAGAAATGTTCTACCTCAAAATGTTAGTATAAACTTTCAGATAGAAAAGCCCATTGAATCTAATAAGATTTTGTCTATTGGTGTTCCATCTCATCTAATGGACAAAATATCCAATGAATTGTCAAGAACAAACACTAATATGAAAGATTATAACTTCAATAACCCAGGTAATTGTCAATTTGAGTCTGAAGGAATATTTGCGAGAGTTGTCTTTATATTGAAGTTGTATAGAGGCGGTATAGAAGGAAGTCTCGTTACATTGATTACACTTGATAAGGATAATATTCCAGTTTTCTACTCAGAAGACAAAAAACTTGAAACTTTAGCGTCTAGGTATTTGGAATATTCTAACCCAGAATTAGTTAATAGTATTATGCCGTATTTTCCTATAAACAGCTTGACTAACGGGCATGAGTATAAACGAGCATTTGATTATGTTAATACGAAATCAACGCAATCGTCTAATGAACCCCCTTCAAAATTGCAGAAAGTTCCGAATGGAGTAAGCCTTGCCTTTCACCAGCACAAAAGTTTTGATGATACCCAGAAGCCAATTACAACAAGTACACAGCCATATAGTAGTGATGATGTGCCGTCATCCCTATACAGTAATACGCAGACATCTCAAAACTTGGACTTCAAGGCCAATGCCTTCGATGACTTTTTAGTAAATAGAGTGACAGTGGACCAATTACTCAAAGTTCCTCTTAGCTTTGCTGATATAAAAAAGGGAACCACGTTTGAAGTCGATGCTTACATCAAAGGGATATTACCATTTGATCGATTTATCATTAAGCCGTTCAAAAGAACTCTAAAAGTCGCTCCGTTCAAATTGGTTCTATCTGATAATTTGCCTAATTCGGCATTATCTGCAAATAATACCCTAATACTCGAATTCAATACTGAAGAAGAAATCTGCCGTTTTCTCCTTATGAACGAAGTAGAAGAAATGTATGACAACATAAAAAATATTGAACTTTCAATGGACAAGCTATTGTCTACTACATCTAATATAAAGGGCTTGCGAATCAAAAGATCGCTTATCACAGTCGACAAAGGATTTTTGCGGCCATACTGGACCTGTTTAAATAATTTAAATGACTTAATCTACCAAGGCTAATTCCCGTATCCGGGATATGAATATTCAACATGCATGTAAGCATTCTATAAATAGGCCCAGCTACACTAATTCGCTAAAAATGTCTAGTACAGCCTTTTAATTTATTTTCGATCACATACGCGTTTACCCAGCCTCATCAAAATTTTACGTACTTAAAGGTTTGATAAGAATATGCAAACCCCAAGATGTGTTAATTGTTCCCTATTATTGAATTAAAACATATATATTCTATTTAATTAACCGCTGTTGAATATTGTGGTTATATCTTGAAAGTTAGAATTAATTGACTTAATACCTATTAAATCCATTTAAATATTCAAGTTCCTGGTATGCATATCCCAAAGATCTCATCGGGCTTATGTCCTTCAAAATTATTAGCTCGTTCTATATCAGACGATGTTACATCCACTGCTGATGCATTTAAGAGTTGGGACACATGTATGGATAATAAGACATGTAAAATAGTGGCAATTGTGGGTATTGTGTTGGCATCGTTGATCTGCATCTGGATATTATCAACGTTAATTCAATGTATTTGCTTGGGTAAAACTTGCCTTGAATCTTTATGTATGTGTTGTTGCCGTCCTGCCAATCGCCAAAGAGTTGTTGAACAGCAGGTTCCTTATACCAATCCAAACATGTATCCTACACCAGCACCTTACTATGCAAGAGAGCCGCCTGCAGTTTACGGTGGTAGAGGCTATGTGCCAGTTGATGATGATAGCGATAAGACTAATCCATTTTCTGAAGAAAAGCATACATCTTATCGGGGATACAGGTCTTAGAAAGATGCCCTCTATTAATGACTGTTACGCTACTTTTTTTAAACGTTATTTTTATTTGAAGTCTATAGGATAATACTCACAGGTTTATAATTTAGAGACTAAAGGAATACATTTTGCTCTTTCATAGAAAAATACTCGGTAAAGATAATTATCAAAGGATGAAACTACGTAAATCGTGTTGAGACAACAAGTTGTGTAATGATAATCATATTCAAAGAAAAAAAAAGAATCAAAAACCTGGACTGCCAGCTTTCAGCCTTTGAAACAAATTTTACATAAATTAAATACTCTGATATACACAGCTTCACATTTCTGTGCAAATGAATTGCATATATTGCTAAAATGATCTTGCCTGAAAAAATGAATACATTCAATTACTGATAGTGAGATATCCAAACTTGTTTGTAACTACTTTGATTTCATATATATTCTCGTTACGACGTAAAGCATTTACTCCCATAATCAAATCGCGTTTAATCTTTTGAAAGATTTCCGAAGGATAAACCAAGTTTTCTAAATCCAGCTTGAAATTCCATGGAAACCTTTCTGATGGTCTGCTATATCTATAGAATCGCGAGTCTTTTTCACTTTGGCAATTCTCGTTAATTAGTTTCTCTTGACTTAACAATAATTCACTTTCCATGTAATATCCAAAGTCAGAAGATAATTTATTATAGTTTTGGCGGAAGGTATTGATATATTCTTTAAACTCAAGGATATTGAGTTTAAATGATATCATAAATTCAATATTATCCGAGACAGTATCAGGACACTCATTAATTAGAATATCAACAAGGCTTTGTATATTGTTTATTATGTTCTGCGTCTCATTCAATTTGCTATCAAACATCTGCGGACTTATGCTCAGAATTTTCTCTTTGATTGTCCCAAAATCATTAAACTCTGCAGCTCTTGGAAGGCTTGTAACTAAATCAGCGACTGACGCCATTCTAAAAATATTTTGTAAAAAAATTACTAAGAAAGAAGTCAAAGAATATTAGGAAGATTCAAGTAGCTATATAGGTTAATAGTGGCAGAATATTCTGCTTTAAAGTCATGAATATATTGAGATAAATTTATGCAACCCTCTGCGTAATTACTTCTTTAAGCAATAATTGCACTCAACAGTCAAATGCGACATCAGAAGGACTCGAACATAACTTTGCCTAAGAATGAGTTTAAATATGAAAAAACCCTCTTACTTTTCGGTATACTTATGAAGCAGATATCATTGTAATTACTGTCATTTCTTTTTGTAGTAAGTTTATTAATATTTTAAATAGTTGCAATAAATATATATATAATTCCTGTGTAGCCCAATATATTAAAAAGATTAAAAAAGTGAAAAAATTATCTCAGAAGGAGTCATGGAAAACTCCATTCCATTATTCCAAGTAGAACTAAAGCTCTTCGCTAAAATTACGAAAAACATATCTTAAATCAGATGCGCTTACCAAACCAACAGCATCTCTCAATTTTGATTTCAACAATGCCCTTTCGTTTGGCCGATATCGAATATTATATCCATCTAAATATTTCTGGCATTCTTCTCTGTTTAGGCTGTCAATATCTCTAACGGTTTCAATAGGGGGTAATTCATCTTGGTCGCTTTCTAAGTTTATAAAAGGCACGAGAGACGCAACATAGCCATTGTTTCTTCTGGTTACATTATCTAAAAGAGCAAGCTTGTATTGAATCATTCGGAATCCAGTAGTTGTTGTTCTTTCCAAAGTATTCATATCCACTCTGAGGGCTGAGACTTCGCTCTTGATGGAATTAACTTCGCTCTTGATGGAATTAACATCGCTCTTGATGGAATTAACATCGCTCTTGATGGAATTAATGCCATTTGTGAACCACTCAGGTGGTGTCGAATAAATTGACTGAACAATTGGTGGGAGTTTTAACTCTAACCTTCTATCGATTAATTTAGTGATATTTTCGTTTATTTGTTCAGGAATTTGTTCAAATATGCTTTCTGTCGATTCAGCCATTTTTGTTATCTTTTTTAAAAACTTATAATTTTATAGTTTTGAAAAGCTACTATAGTTTTTAAAAAAAGATAGTCCTTAAAAAATGATATGTCTTAAATTTATATAATACATGAAAATGCATTTGTACCATTCAGTGTTACACAAATGCGAATTGCACTAGTTTTCCTATCGGTATTTTATATTTTACCATTATCAAGGTAAGCCCATGCACAAAGAGTTAAAATGGAAAAGGATAAGAATCACTTCTAAACAATTATGATAATAGAGTAGCTTTAGCGGATGAGATTGATATAAAATACATTGAAGTACTTATGATTATTATTGACCTGAGTTTAACTTATTACAAGATGCTTATTAGACTTTTAATTGCTGCGACAAACTTCATTTATGTGAAATCAAGGTTAGTGCTTTTGATTTCTACTGTCATGTAGGGCTATTTGTGTCTTCTATTGTTTTTTCGTTGGGCCAAAATGAAGCACTAGAATAGGAAATAGGTACAGAAAATAAATGTCAATAAGAAACAGGTTTGAATTGAAGTTTCTTAGTACAATCTTCAGATGTATAATCAATAATCTAAGTTAAAATTAGCATTTTATAATAAACAGTTTCTTGAGATATATCAAGTAAGGGGGAAGATACCTTTGCTGAGCCTTTGCTGAACATGGAATTAATTTGAGAAACACAATGGCTGCAAAATAGACTTTTGAATTAGTACTATTGTTTACTCTGCCAGATTCTTTTATTTTATGATGGAAGTCAGTATTGCTTTACAAATTGCTGATTCCACTAACCTTAGTATTGTATTATAAGAAGAAATGAATTCACCGAATAATTGTATTGTAATATTTAAAGGTCAAGTAAATTATAATTGCCATTTTTGAATGGATTTTTATATCAACTGTCCCTTTGAAACAATGACTAAGTCTAAAAGTAATTTAGTAGTTCTCTGGTAACATAAGATCTCTTAGTTTTCCGAGGCTAACATATTATTCACTTGAAAGATATTTTAGTTAGGCTGTATCAATTTTTTGGATGCAGCGAACCTACATTTACATGAAATATTAAAGAGCCAAAAAATTTACGAATCTTTGTCAAATACTGAAGAGAGTTGAGTCATAGATCTAGGTACTTCACTGTTGCAAAAAAAAACAAGATGTATAATAAGCACTGGTATACAGTTCGTGTGCAATTTATTGAATTAAGCGTCTGAAACAGTTCGTAGCTCCTAGTACAGATTTACAAGACTTAATACATTATTTCAACCTCAAAATGTTATATCATTCTTACTATCTCTTATGGTTGTGATATGGTTACATACCTGACCCAACATTTGACTGGGTACTTCTCTTTGACGTAATATTTGCATTTCCTTCTTATTTATCGGACGATATAGAATAGAGTAAAATAAGTCCCTATGGACTGTCCCTAACGTCCAGGCTTGTAAATGGCACATTTTTTAAAGTAAAGGAGGATTCTGACATTCTGAAGATTTAGTATGAGGAGAAACGCCAATTAATGGTTGTTGGTGTTCAAATCTAATCGCTTAGAAGCATATAAAAGTAATTTTTTAATAATATATTGTCGAATAAATATTATCTAAAATAGAAATATGAACTGTACTGCGATGTCTTGTCCCGAATACGCATTTATTACAATCTGAAAACTCAAGGTATACAGCCTATTGACTTTTTATCTAATGCAGTATATTACCAATATACAAAAACTAAAAAAACTAAATAGAATCATTAACCAATAAAAATTAGTAATTTATAGTATGATATACTATATATAAAGCAGTCATATATAATAAATGTATAACGTTATGATTTGGAAAATAAATATAATTTTTTAAAATTAAACAACTTAATATCACCTATGAACATGAAATCTAACGTTCCCTTCTCTCCATGCACAATCTACCATGCTTCAGTTTGTTCTATTCATTCTTGCAAACAAATTTAACCAACCATCAAGGTTTCGTCATCAGTGAAATCGTAAGCTGGAATTTCCAAGTTCAATGGAGCTGGACCTCTTCTAATTCTACCAGAGATATCGTAGTGAGAACCATGACAAGGACAGAACCAACCACCAAAATCACCGGCTTCACCGATTGGAACACAACCCAAGTGCGTACAGATACCCAACATAACTAACCATTCTGGCTTCTTGACACGGTCAGCATCAGTTTGTGGGTCTCTCAAGTTAGAAACTTGGACTTGGTTAGCCTCGTCGATTTCATCTTGTGTTCTGTGTCTGATGAAAACTGGCTTACCTTGCCACTTAACAATGACGTTCTTACCTTCTGGAATAGCACCCAACTTAACTTCAACCTTAGCCATAGCTAAAACATCAGCAGATGCAGATAAAGAAGATAAAAACGATTCAACGGTGGATTTGGCACCAACAGTACCCAATAATCCCATAGAACCAACCATGAAGTAAGTGAAGTTACGGTTCTTTTCTTGAGATCTATTGTTTAAGTAACTGCTGTAATCTGGCTGATCATACTTAGCCAATGCAGAAGTAGTGGTGGATAAAGTTCTAACAGAACCTATAATTATGTTAGTATATTATTCTTATTTCATGTCTATAATGAATTTCTTTCAATCGACTACGGATTTCTGAATTTTTCACCATTAGAAACAACATGAACGAAGTCATCATGAACAATTCATGAACACTTCATCATTTCGATTGCTTGTATTTTTACATACTCTTTAATCCTAATCCATTTCTTAAAGATCTAAAAGCAAGGGATGACATCTTCAATTAATATACAATTAAGTAAATTGGTATAATATGTTTTTCTACTAGTTTATGTAAGGTCAAAAGTCACTAAAATGTTCAAAATTTGTTTTTGAGCCTTTTTAATTGGCTCGAATGCGGTTTCGTTTAAAACCGGGTAACAAATATGTTACACGTGATCTTTTCGCCTAAAGATCGGCCCACCACTATATGTCTATAGGATTGATTGCAAAATACTAGCATAATGGTATTTTAGGGAACTTATAAGGCAGTATATAGAGGAAATGGGCTATTTAATACCAAATCCGGAACTCTCGTTCACCGCCATTGTCAATTTGGATATCATCTTTTCTTTGGATGAGTACTCGTACAACGCGAGTTCATTGAAGCAAGTATGGGCTACCGGTAATCTATTACTGTCCTTACCGTTTGCTAATCTACTTATCCTGAAATTAAGATTCTGGATTCCAGTAGCCGGTACTCTATCAGATCCTGTGACAAAGGCCAAGACCTTTTTGTGCTGCTTGTAGGATAAGCTGTCCATGTATTCCCAGAACCACTTTACGGCCGAGGAGGTCATGGCATGGTCGTTGTCCTTCCAGCCGGTGTATTTAGTTATTGATCTTAGGATGGCGACGTCGATTTTTTCTTCGTCGGAGCCGCAGAGTAGCAATTCGATTTCCTGGGGCAGAAAGAGCGACAAGGCATTCCCACCGATGACGGTGGAAAAGCCTTTGACAAAGAAATTCACCTGGTTGGCTATTCCGTCAGACATAAAGAACTTGGCGTATTTCTCGATATAGGTCTCTCTGTTTTGAGACGTGACTACGGTATGTCTGCCCTTGGGTATCAACTGCTTGGTATGAACTTTGCCGAGCAAATCTGTGTATGATGCTTCGAATGTTAGTTCCATTGCCCTTAATTCTTCGTCATTGTACTCTCTTAGTTTTAGTAAATTCGAGGCGGACACCGGATATAGTTTCTGGTAATCACTTAAGTCGACCGGCTTGCCTAGTAGAAGCTTGTATAGAACTGTGGGGAATTTTAAATTTAATATAGTAGAATTGTAGATTGCTAAGCCCAAGATAGCTCCAAATAAATAATACATCTCGTAGTTCTCGATAGGTACAATATTAAACCACAAGAGGTTGGAGTCTTCGATATTTACAAATATTCCCGCCTGGGGACTGAATAACGCCCTGGTTAATAATAGAAACCACTCTTTCTTTATTCCACCTGCATCTACACCTGGCTCGTCTATGAACTGTACTCTTAAACTTTTCTTTAGATTAGTTGGATTTATTTTAATGCATCTTAGGGAGTCTTGGACAATATATTCCCGACGAACCCTAACTTTAAAATAGACGTCGATTGCAATTCTCTTGTCAAGAGAATTGATAAATGCCTCCTCTGCTTTTCTTTCCATTTGTCTTCTTGCCTCGTACTCCAAGATAGAAATTTTACTTCCTAACGATATCAAAAACGGGTACTGGCAAAAGAAATACGAAGAGGATTCGTTAAATTTAAACGAATTAGTATGCCCGTGAATGTAGTCGATAACAGTCTGTAACTCAGGTTCTTGAAGATGATTTGTTGGTTTAATGCTAGACTTTTTGTTACTCTGCCATGAATCGAAATCTAGTTTAATATTAACGAAATCAAGCAATGAGTTATAAAATATGCTAACCAGCAACTTATCGCTACCACTGCGAATAGAATTTGCCCTGTTGAAAGTAGAAAGGAATATTGCAGCTGTTTTCAAATGCCAATCATTAGCATATTGATGAATTTTTATCTTGACCACCGAGTCCTTTTTAGACTTCGATCTAGGTAGCGTAGTCCTATTTGGTATTAAGCTCGCGGCTGGATGGAGGCCTGGAGAACTCAAGTCGGTGGAGGGCATTTCTTCAAGGTCATTTTTCAATTGAATATTGTCCAAATATTCATAATCAGTGGGATGATCATGATGACGAGATGAAGAGCTCAGACTCTTCCGTCTTAACAAATGTGGATTATTGGCAATGTGAAAATATTTCTTAAGGTGAAATGTTATATATAAATTTATGAGATCGACCTTAGACAGAAATTCATATTTGTTGAGTTTTGAAACCCAACTGGCTATATAATTATTCTCTGGAGTAGAATTAAATTGAGCCATAATCCCAAACACTCTTTTCAATATGTCATAGCATAGTGTCTTGATTTCGGGTACGTCTATCATTGATGTAATTTGAGTAGAAGCGCCTTTCTCATAATTTACCAACGCATTCGAAAGAAATGGAATTTCCAAGAGAATTAACAACCAAAGTAGATTCCTGGCATCATCATTCTGATACACCTCTACCCGCTTCAACAAATCAGAAGCTCCACTTAGTGCATTATATAATGGTCTCTTGGTAGGTAAATGAGTCAAAAGGACAAACATTGACCTGATATCTTCAAGGTTTAAGTTAGATGTTGAGTAGTGAATTTTCTTACTAGTTTTCTTAATTTTAAACGAATTATTCAAGCAAGGATATGATTTGAAGGCCAGAAATAGGTAACTGGAAAGAGGTTCAAATATTTCATGTGTTGACTTAGAATTCCCTTGTCTACATGCCTCGTCCGCATCATGCACACATTTATCAATCATCTTCTTTACCCGTTTGAACGATAAAACAAGAGGATATGAACTTGGATCTGGTTGTGGTCTTGACCTATCCATAATAACATTAGTGGTATTACATACAGAGCAACGAAATTTATGTGTTCCACCGGAATATGATACAATTGTTCCACAACATTTGCAATTCTTAACGCATACTTCCTCTTTATGCTCCTTTTTAATACTGCTACTGTTTTCCTCTGATATCTTACTAGTGTAAGACGCCTTCAAAGGAGGATTCTGTGGTTTAAATCTATCCAACAACTTCCATTGAGAATTTGATCTGGTAATTTCACTCTTTGAATTGGAATCTGGGTTCTTAGGTTGACTCGTAGGCAGTGTCCCCGAAGTGCTACTTTTTCTACGTAGCATGAATTCTTGATCAATGTGTTATCAATGGATATTTAAATGCTTATGTGTTCAAACTAGCGTCTAAATCATCAATATAAAGTAGTGCCTTAGTTGCTTCTACCTTCAAAAGGACCCTTATCATAGCCACAAAGGAAATTGATTTGCAATTATCAAAAAAGTATTCACACGACCGTTTGATTGCAAAGTTGATTTATTATAGCACATTAACGCCTATCTTGTTAACTAGATAACTTCTATAATGAAACACTAGCCAGTTCTCTACACGGTTCCTTATACTTTGATATTGAAATGAAATATTTGTTATCGGAAATAAGGCCCCCCAACTGCATCAATCGTTCTATATTCGCTAATATATTTACCAGTCAAAAGGCATCGCTAGTTGTGAACAAGGTGAATAAATTGGAGTTTTATGTTGTGCATACCGAATCAGACGAACCATATATAGAATTAAAGGATGCATTATCTATAGACGAGACTATATTGGCAATAGTTCCATTCCAACCACGTCAATTGGACAATGAATGGCTTATGGTTCTCAATGAGTCAAACGAACTATTCTATATCGGATATAATCAAGAGACGGAGAATTTTGTTCGTATTAATGGTACAATTCTTAATGGAAATGGTCAACAGCAATTACTTGATGTAGATCCCATTTTGTTGTCCAATTTTAATGAGGAATCAGGCTATTTCATAGTGCATTGTTTTCAAGGAATGATACAGGTAATGGTGCTGAATAAGGATACTAAATTTGACACGCTACTAATAGAAACAACAAATAAGCGATCTAAGAAGAATAATTTACACAATGAAATATGGAACACAAATACTACAGCTATTGGGAACATCGTAATTCATCAAATGGTGATTTTGGAGAACACAGATAAATTTCAAGACACGCTAGCTATACTTTACCGGGATTTTCAGTACAATTACTCTCTAAGATACTATCGCATATCTCCAGAAGAAGGCAAGCTTCTGCTTCATACCCAATTTGAAGAATTTGACGAGCCACCATCGTGTATTATAGCGCTTAAAACGGGTGGAATTTTAGTTTTAACTTCGCTTCATATTTTTTATTTCGCTAACCCAATGGTAAACTTACAGCTTACAGGAGAAAGTGACAGCATTTTTGTTTCACGTAATGGAGAACAACAATTGATAGTTAAGAAAATAGACTCCACAAATTATCCAGAATTAATCACAAGTAGCTTTACCAATTACACTATTATAGATGACAACAGGATTTTGGCCGTAACTAATACAGGAATGTCGTACATTATATATTTCAGTTCCAAATATAAGGGAAGAAAATTAGAAGTTATTAGTACCATCAATCTTATTAAGCTAGGTATGACTACTGTTGCGAGTGATGTTCATCACATTGATAAGAACATCTTTTTTGCATCGTCTAAGTTATCGCAATCTATATTATTCGAGATACTCCAACAAAAACCGTTTATTAATATTTGTCAATTTATCCCATCGTCTCCACCCTTATTAAATATCGATCCTAGATTTGCTGGTATGCAGTGTAGTCTTTTGACCTGTGGTGGTGGTTATGACAGCGGTGAACTTAGAAAAGTTCATAATAAAATCTTCGACTTAAGTCTAATCAAGCAGTTTGGAACAAATTTAGACACCAGCCAAATATTGTTGCTTAAAATGAATAATAAAACTTACAATATTGCCACTAAGGATATGAATGGGAAAATTAATGGGGAATATCTACTTGAAGAAGAGGGACCTAAGTCATGTTTCAAGGAGATTGATATTCACTGTCACGTTCAACATGAGCTAGTATTGGACCAACGCATAGTAGACGATAACAGAATATCTGTAACTGAGCAAGGATGCTACATAAATGATCAGAAGGTGTCAAACGAGAAAACTTTTTATGGCAAAATTTTGGAAAATGGCATCTTCCTACAACTCACTTCCCAAAACAGAATTATCATACAAAAAGGTGCAAATTTTATTAAAACGGTCAACTTAAAGGCCGAATTTAAGCAAGTAACTGAAATTGACATGGTTCAAAGTTCCGAGAACAAATTCTTTTTGTTGGTAGCATTTGATGATGGATCCTATGAACTACATATAATCTCAAAGGAGTCGCCTTATTCCAAAATCCTTCTTCAGGAGGTCGTGTTTGATTCTAACGATGGGATTTCTTCGTGTGCTATTTTATTTGATGACACATCTTCATCTGCATGGCTTCTTTTCCTGTCTGGAAGTGGATCAATTGGCCAAGTATATTTTGATTTGAATGACGGAGTCAAGAACAAACAAGCAATTGTTTCACAACATGCATCTGGGTTGCCTTGTAGATTTTTTAAGGATAAAAACAGAAGAATTTTCATGGCCGATAGAAATCAGATATTTGGCTTGTTCATTGATGAAACAAACTTATACAAAGCTGCATCGATTATAGAAATTAACAACATTAATGATGTAATTTTTTTAAATGAAGAAAAAATACTTGTGTCTACCGACGTGAATAAACTATCGTTATATTCCTTGAAAACGAATTCGGTCGCAAACGCAAATGATAATATCATATATTCCAATATGTTGAATACCAAATCATTGCATATTCCTCATACAAATTTGTCTATTGCAATTTGCTTTGAAAATAAAATAAACCCCACCAATGATGAATATCAAAAATACTCTTATTTGAAGCTAATTGATAATTCCTCAATGAACGTTGTTGACTTTTTCGAATTTGCAAATAATTCTTCCTGGGATTTAGTTGACATGTGCATCATTCCAAATGGTTTAGAGCAAACTCTTCCACGATATTCATTTGCTATATTGAGTAATAGCTCCAATAAAAATGAAATACTTCTGATATTTCATATTAAAAAAAATAAAATAAAGAGGCTTCCACTGATAGATATTCTTGGTCTATCAGATAGTTCTGAATTAACATTACAAACAGTAGGTCTCGTTCATTCCGAAAAACCTAAATTGATCGTTGGAGGCAATATTACCTTTATTGTCGAATTAGTATACGATCCAGATAGAAATAATTTTATCTGGCAGTTGCTTCCGGGTACAACTGTTCAATTACCTATTCATACGCTTGGCGCTATTTCAATCGATAAATATATTATAATGGGTGATATAATGAAAGGTTTGTATATTGGAGAACTCCATGACCCTGCTGACTTTGATGATAATGCGACCGAAACTTTCTCTAAGCTTTCTATGCTGAAATTAAGATGCAACCTTGATCCATATTTCTTGACCACCTTTGATGCAGTTAAAAGCACTGAAGATCAAATGGAAATTATTTTTGGTGATTCCTTGGGCAATTTGTCATCTCTTGAAATAGATTCCGATAACAAGGATGTGAAACAAGCGTTTGCATTCAACATAGGAGAACAGATTAATATCATTAAGGCCATTGATCATTCTCTGCAAATCCAAGATTTTGCACTTAAATTCGATAAAGCCAATAAAATAAAATCACTTTTGCATATAATTGCTGTACTTGGTACGGTCAATGGTGGTTTATATTGCATAAGTAAACTTGAAGAAGAACCAACAGAAAAGATTGAAAAAATCTTAGAAAGATGCCAGATGGAATTAGTATCGTACCTGAAAACCCTTAGTTTGACAAGTAATACGACAAAATCAATTACCTATAGTAATTGGCTCTCGGTGAAAGACTGGAAAACATTGTCTAAGAATGAATCTGGAAACTATATAAAAAAGGAGACCTTCGGTATGTTTGATTTGGCATTAATAAGAAAATGGCTTTACCGTGACTATCAGCTTAACAAGTCTTGTCAACGGAACAAATCAGACGAGAATGTGTTGGACAATATGAGGGCAAATCTCAAAGTATGTTATAGGAACAAAAGCCTCCTACAAAGGTTGGTTTACGAAAGTAGTTTATTATAAATACTGTATGCATCAAAGATATTTTTAATAGATTCTTCTTCTGGGGGACCCTACCGTGAGAAACTCACCAAATGCTCTCCCAGGTCTGAAAACGTAACAACCCCATCTAATTCCGAAAGATGCAAAACCGATATCTCAAGAACACCCATTGTCGAAGAATAGAGTGAATGTGGAGAATGTTTAGAACAACAATATGTAAGAAATTTTATATGAAAATTCTTGCATTAGTCAGTTTCAAAATTACGTATAACCCAAACAAGAAACAATGTCTAAATTAGTACTCATTACGTACTTATATGCGAATACAACGATTCTGACGGTTATATTAACGACAATTGACCCAATAAATATGAATAATAATTTGTAAATTAAGTTCGCCCGTCCTAACTGTTCTACCCTATCAACGAAAAATTGCATGCTGTTTAATCGAAATTAATTTTAAATTTGTTGAATATGGTTTGAAGAAAAAAGACATTTTGCAAGCGAATAAAAGTGGATGCGAAAATGATTCCCATTTACTATTTACCTTAGGCTGCGAATAAACTCATCTGCCACATAACTGTCGATTTCACTCACGCATATTGTCATTGGTTTCTATTAGTATTAATGCCAATATCTATAGATGTACAGGTTAAAAAGTCTATAATTAATCTGTGCAATACGACAAGCAACACCAATAGTAATAGTATATCCTAGAATCTGATTTTGAAAACAAAGTTGGGTTTTTCATATTTAATCTCGGTATCAAGAAAACTAGACACAGGATTCGTCATTGAATGATTACTTAGGCCGACCCTTCTGCTTGAATGGCTGAGAGGCCAGTTTTCTTGTATTATATTTTTTTAGTTCTCTTGACTTCTTTCATCGGCCAGGTTGATATTTGCCAAGTGCACGATTTTTTTTGTTTTTGTCGTGTTCTAGGAATTTTATATTATTGAATACTATATAGTATCTTACAGCATAAGCCAAAACGTACAAATAATTCATCATGGGTGATCAACAATCATCAACTTTAAATCAAAAGTTTGATGACATTGAGATGTTGGAAATTCCAGACGACTCAGTATCCTCGGAAACAGAGTCGCTTAGCGAGAGCTCAACATCAGCATCAACAAGAGATAAACCTTCAAAACAAGACTACATAAGATTGCAAGATTGGTTAGATTCAGATGACATTATTGAATTTCAATTTGATTCGGGGCAATACAAAGATAGTTTAATCCAAAATGATGTTTCAAAGTCATATAAAAGATATATAGACTCATTGTTCAAGATAATTGAAGGATTTGCAAGTGATGATATTACCCGAATTGATTTGGAAGATGACGAAAATCCTATTGGATTGATTAGTACTTCTGCAAAGTTTGGAAACACTGCCCGTAAAACACAAAGAATGCATAAAATCAATGAAGCATTTACCAAAGTTGTTGAAAACCTAACCCAATACATACATGATATAGAGAGCATTGGAGTTGAAGACGAAATTACTGAACAATTTTATTATTTATTAAGTATTTTAGACTGTCTTCATGCTAATTATTTTTGTTCTGATACTCGAATGAAACCAGAAGCCATGGCTAAGTGGATTAATAGATTTGATTATAAACCTGATAAAGAATTAGTAGAGTCTGTTATGGTAAACTGGCCTAAGCCTTATACTCATCCACAATTTTGGAACACTTACTTGTCACAATTAATCACTAGAGGCTTACTCACCCAAGCAATTGCAGCAATTGAAAAATCGCAATACGAAGAGCTCGAGGAAAACAGTCCAGTATTATTTTCAGTTATCCAAGACTTTTCAATTTTATTAAAGAATTATACTGGTATGTCCATGAAACACCAATTTCCTGAATGGAAATTATCTTGTTGTGAATTTAGGGATTTGTTTCTGAAATTTAAAGCTAAGGTATCTGATCCAAAAGAGTTAATCATCCTTAATCAAATTTATGACTTATTATGTATACTTACTGGCTTACCTAAAACGATAGCTATACACTGCGATAAATGGTATGAAATATATACTGCATTGTCCTTATATCAAGTTAGAGACGACGATAAATTATTCAAAGAATATTTCAATGTTGCAATTAGTGAAAAACCTCCTGCTTTAATTGAAGATAGTGATGATTTAAGTATAATAAGTGAGCAATGTTTTGTTCATATTTTAGAAGAAAAATTTCTAAAAATGTTGGTGTCTGTTGACTCTATTGATTCCGCTACTGCGGCATACGTAGCAAGACTACTTGAGCTTAAAGGTTTATTAAACAATTATTATTCAGCAACGACTTCTAAAGACTTACAAGAGTTAATTAACAGAAAAACTATTTCTGAATATTTATTAACCACACATGCATATCAATGTTTAAATTCACATTATCTAGTGCCCGTTGGTATTGGATTGCTATCAAATACCGATATTTCCTCTTCCTCGCAATCGTTTGTTAATAATCGTAATACGATTGCTGAATTCTTACCACATTATGAATGCAGAACTAATGATGACTTAGAATGGGCTTTGACTATATGTGCCAAATTAAATTTAATTCAAACTGCTCGAAAATTATACCAGATATATGGAAAAAAATCTTTGAAGGATGGCTACCTTTATGAGTCTCTAAATATGTTTGTCAACTGCTATGATCCAGATTCAATCACGAATGAGTCAAATGAGGGTATGAGGCAGGTTCATCATATAGTCTGGGATATCATCTTTCAAGACAGCTTAGTGAACAATAGGCCAATTAAGGATGAACTTATAAATAATATTATATCCCATAAAGTTGATTCCAGCTTTGAAATACATCCTGTCATAAGACAATGCCTTTCACCATATGCTGTTTTAATAGAATTTTTCAAATCATTGGAGCAATCACGCAGTACTAGAGCTATGGATAATTTATCCAAATTAGTACACTTAATAAGGTTTAACCACTTACCTAAAAAATATTACCCATTATTACTATGTCAGATTATCCCTTTTTTGATAGACTCGGATATGAAGTTCCAATTACCAGATTTGATTGTGATCATCGAATTAATTGATACATTTGAATTTCAAGCTAATGATACTGAGTATAGGGAGGGCGAAAACTTATATAAATTTTCGATCAGCAATATTGAAAGTAAAACCGAGAATTACGATTGGAGAAAAATTTTGCAACAAAGTGGTACTGCCTTGCCGAAAGATCTCAAGTCGTTAATAAAGTTATTAAGAAATGAAGTGGTGGCTAAAATTGGCAAAGTATACGTAGATCACATGTAATATATATATCAAATAAACATTTACAAATTATTAAAATAATGTATTTATTTCAGATTATAAAGAATAAAAGATACAAAATAAACATGATGTGCAAGTATTTAGGCTTATCATCATTCCTTACTTGTCTATACGATAAATAAGAATCAAATACGCGGTAAAGGTAGCAATAAATATCATTTTATGCTAATTCTAGTCAATTGATATCAACTATACAAATAAAAATTGGTAAACTTCTAGAGTACAAAAGGCAGATTGTTCGATGTAATAAAAAAAATCAAAAGAAATGAACGACAAAAGTTGCTATAGTTTTTGAGGTTTCCTTTAACAAGTAACATCTTGAGTAGCTCTAGAGTTCAACAATAAAGCGACAATCAACCCGTATAAACCTAAGACTTCTGCGAAAATCAAAATCAAAATCATACCAACGAACAATCTTGGTTGCTGTGCGGTACCTCTAACACCGGCATCACCAACAATTCCAATGGCGAAACCAGCAGCTAAACCTGACAAACCGACTGACAAACCAGCTCCCAATTGAATGAAACCGGTGTATAAAGCTTGCTTTTGCTTCAAAGAGTCAGAAACTAAAACTGACACAACCAACCCATAAATGGCAATGATACCCGCCATAATGACTGGAACAATGTTTTTAACCAATAAGTCTGGTCTTAAAACACAGGTGGCACAAATACCAACACCCGACTTAGCAGTACCGTATGAGGCACCGAAACAGGTGAATACAATGGCTGCAGCACAACCCATGGATCCAAAGAAAGGAGCGTAAACAGGACTATAACTCGGTTAGTACCTTAATTATTCTAATTTCAAAATTCAAGCTTTTTAAACCCCCTAGATCCTCTGCCATATACTGCAATTTCTCAATTAACCATTAACACTTCTCCCCTTCTAAATTTCCTATCTACGTAAGATTTGCCATGCTCTCTCCATTACAATATAATTAACAATCCTAAGGCTATTTTAGAAATACATACCATAAATCAGACATTGCGGATAATTATTATGAGGTCTTGTTAATTGATTCAACTGTTTAATTGGTTATCAATACTTCAAATAGTTGACTTCTTGATTAAAGGGATGATGAATTTCCTTATATTGAACATTTGGCGGTTGTTCAGCTACGATTTTGTCCGGTATGTCACTAACTCTTTACTACGGGTAATATTGAGTCTGTAATTATTTGGGCGGGTAACCTTGAAATTTTATGAGATGAGGTACTAAATACTGAAAAATTCTGATTAATATATATTAAGCATCCTAGTTATTCAATAATCTTCTGGTGAGCTATCGCAAGGAACCTATTAAACTATATATCGAAAGAACATGTCTGCCCCAAACCCAAAAGCTTTTCCTTTAGCTGACTCTGCATTAACACAACAAATCTTGGATGTTGTCCAACAATCTCAAAACTTGAGACAATTAAAGAAAGGTGCTAACGAAGCTACCAAGACCTTGAACAGAGGTATTTCTGAATTTATCATCATGGCTGCTGACACTGAACCAATTGAAATCTTGTTACACTTGCCATTATTATGTGAAGATAAGAACGTTCCATACGTTTTCGTCCCATCGAAGACTGCATTAGGTAGAGCTTGTGGTGTTTCCAGACCAGTTATTGCTGCTTCTGTCACTACCAACGAAGCTTCTGCTATGAAGAACCAAATCTACGGTATCAAAGATAAGATTGAAACTTTGTTAATCTAGATTAGTACTGTATTAGTTATTAAATAGATAAATTCGACTTGGCGTTAGTTTAAATTATCAACATGTAGCAGATACTTATGGCTTTGAGTACTCTTAGTTAATGAAGCGTGTAGTTAGTTGTATTTTGACTGTATTTGTCTGTAAATCACTGTACAATCGTATCGGCCCTCACGATTGATGCCATCGAATTTTTTTAAAAATCAAGATGAGCGAGCTACACTAAAATTGCAACGTCTTTTTTCATTTGCATACTATCGACTAAACATCTCCAAGAGGTCATGGATAAGTTAAATACAGCAGAAGGCGTAACACGTTTTCTAAGAGCTAAAGGAGGCTCGTTGGATAAGATTGTATTAACTGCAAATCAAATCCTCGATGACACTATAAACGTTCATTTGCCCAACAAACATATTTTCATCTTCGATTTATTATGTGATAGGTTCAACGACAACAATCATTTTAAAGACTGGAAGTACGATACCCAGTGTTGGATGTTGTTCAAAAAATCATGGATAACTTTGGGCAATGATAAAATATCTAGGAATAGATCTATGAAAAAGCTAAAATTTGTTGATTTACTAATAAGCATATTGAAAAACTCTAATCAAAACCAAGGCATTGAATTGTTAGAAGTTGTTATTCAAACAACTAGTATAGTCATGAACGAATTTTATATTGAAATTGATGACAATTCGTCAATTAACTTACTTGCATCCTACGTTACATCTTTGAATCATTTATACGATACAAATAACTTTAATGACGAAATCATTAACGACTGGACCAATATAATCTACAAACTTTATCAAATACCTCAGCTCAACGTTAGCCATAAATATAGTAAGAAGAGTGTAACCAAATTTTTTGGGGAAGTTATTCCGCCTGCATTATATTTTATCAATAGAGAACTAGACAACCCTAAATTATCACAATCTAAAATTATAATTGAAAGTACAATATGCAAGGTAATATTTAATAAAGATTCAATTGGTAATTTGAAGAGGAACATCGAAGTGCTTTTAGCTGAAAACTCTAATGATATCTCATTCGAATCACTCAAGTATTTATTTGTGTTGATTATAAACAACTTATCAAACAGAGATATGAAATTATGTGAAGAAGTGTTTATCTCTATAATTAACACTAAAAAGTTTAATCAAATGTCTGAAACTTTGTTAGAAATCTTATCAAGTATCAACAAATCATTATCATCAGAATTTTTTTCGTCCATCTATGATAAAGAAGTGAAAACTAAATCAAAAAATGACATCAACTGGAGTTTGGTAATTCATTTATTTAATTTGGATATCGAATTAGCAATGAATAATGCCGAAGATATTTTCTCAAGTATGCCAAATAGCGTGAACAGTAAAACTATATTAAAAATTGGTGAAAGTGTAGCTGAAGCCTACATTAAAGCAAGAGAATTTGTTGAATTTTTTAAAAGCATTTGGATTAATATAGTCCATAAAGCTTCAATTTGGAAGTCTGATGAATTCATAGATATTATCTCAAGAAAAATCAATAATTTGTCCACGAACCAGTTGAACGATTTGCTATCCTTCACGTTTAGTCAAGAAAATGCCTTACCTTTAATTAATTCTATTATCAAAGGGTTAATGCTCTGCCCTTTAAATAAAGTTGAATCTGTCAAGAAACTTTTACTTAATCAAAGTAAATTATTCACTGAACAAACAAGTGGCGCTTGGGAAATTAGATTCTATATTCTATGCTTATATAATGAGGAAGTGTTGGAAAACAACCTGAATTTTATTTCGTATGTTTCTAAATCGTCCGTTTGTTCTTCAGAATTTTACTTTTATACAATTTTTCGTCTTATCGAAATTGCAGGAGAAGATGCTATGTTTAATCAATATCAAGAAACTTTTGTCAAATACTTGAAGAAATTAAAAACGGAAGACAAACGTAGTGTGCTTATAACTTTGTTGAATAGATGGTTGGTATTAATTGATAAATTCTTTTCTAAAACTCAAATTCTTGAAATCATGAGGTTGTATTTGAATCAATTGGATTTTGAATCATCTATCTTGAATTACTTTGAAAATAATGGTGATATTTTCTTTGAACAGAGAAACATGACTGATGCTTTAGTATTTTTATTAATTGAAAATTTAACCACTGAAAAAGGCAATAACTCCCTTGGCTTTATCAAGTTAACATCGATTGTTCCAGTTCAGTGTTTTGATAAATATTCAAAGAAAAAGTTGATTGACACTATGCTTGAATCATTTAGCACTTCCCGTGATAATGAAATTAATATTTCAGCAAGAGGTGCCATAAGACATTTATTAATTCAACCGTCCTTCAAATCATCTATAGAATTGGATTTTAAGTTACAGCTAAACTTAATAAAATCGTCTGTACCATCTTCAGTGCAACTATCTAATGAAATCCTTAAGTCTATTTGGAACCAACATTTAAATCAATATAACATCGAGACAAATAAAACGTATGTCTTGGAATCCATAAAGTATTTGAGTGCTTTTCTTGAAGGATTTAAATCACAGCGTATTCTGGAATTGCCGGCAGAGTTTCAAGCAGCATTGGTTATTATTTTGACTAATACAAAACATACGGATACTGACGATGATCTTGAAGGAAAGATGCAAAGTTTAAACAACTTTTTTATAAAGACTACAAAGGGCCTTTTAAATCAAACAATTAGAAACAATAAAAAACTAGACTATGAAACTGTTTGTTGGTTATTAAACTCATTATACTTAACTTTAAATGATGATAATGAACAAGCTTATGATACTCTTTCTTTAATTAAGACTATCGGACTGAAATTATCTTCAATCGACAATAATCAAATTAATAAAGTAATAGTAATTTTGTTCAAACTATTGACCAAAATATCAAAGCCTTCATTTAATGATGCGGTCTTTATTTCAAGTCTTTTTATCTCATTAAATGTGAAATTCGTTGTTGATATTGATGAAATGACAACATCTTTGATGTCATATTTTGCCAAACTTTCAGAAAAGGAAGAAATTTTTAAATCGGTTTATGATTTTGTATTACATTCCTTCAACACTGAAGAAGATCTCAAATACGTTCCTTCATTAGTAAGAATAACAAACTCTTTGATAAAATCTCTAAACAGAGAATATCAAGCAGATTGTACAACTTTATTCATTAAGACTGTATCCGTATTTTTGACACAATACAAGTTGATTTCTTCATCTGGATCTATTATTTCAATCTTGTCAACTTTGAAAACAAGTTTAAGTGACATGACCTGGCTCTTTAACCAATATGCATTAGAAACTACGATATCATTATTAACAAGAATTTCATACTCTTTGAATGAACCTGAATTCATCAAATCAGAAACTTCTGTTGATTTGTACATTCATTTGACTCATGTTATTTCGAATATTTTACTTTTCCATCGATTCAAGTTATCATCCCGTCACCATGTTATAATCAACGTATGTGTTTCTTTGTTAGAACCACTTTCTATCAGAAATATTAAATCGGAATGCTTATCATCATCCACAAAGGCTGCAAACGCATATTCCCGTTTGTTGGGTAACTTATGTGAACCGTCCAATACATCATCAAAAGAGATGGTACAATCTTCCTTGAACTCTACTTCTGCGTTGATCAAACGATCACTTAGAAAGCATTTACCAATCCTTTTGTTAAACTACATATATATTGCATTGAAGTACAATTTCAAAAGTGAAGTTAATGACGAATTAATGAGTGGGATATTTAGTATTTTTAATGTTCTTTCTCAAGCTGAATTACGACTTGTTAGTTCCTCGCTAGATATTCCTGGAAAAACATACTATAGAACTTTATACGCAGATTATAAAGAACATGGTAAATGGAAGGATGAATAATATTGTATAACTATTTGGCATATAGCATAATTAAAACGTTTATTTAGACATGTATATATCGATGTTCGTCATTATGAAGTAATCTACCTACATTTTTTTTAAGCCCTGTCGCAAAATAGTTCATGAGATTCCATACTCTTTCATCAAATTCGGAATTAGAAGACTCCACATCGTTATCAGAATGCATTGCATGTACAGTATATTCGTATCTTAATATGTCCTTTCTTGTGATTATTCCAACAAGTAACCCTTCCTGTTCTACTAATATAAATCTGGGGCCTAATTTCACAAAGACATCCAATACATACTCTAGAGTAGTAGTAACATTGACCGTAAATGGGTGTCTATTAACGACGGCGCCAAATTCTATGCAATTTTCTTCATTCTGACTTTTTTCAGAATTGAAATTACATTTAGAAGTTTCATTAACGCCACTTACAGCATTCTCTAAATTGTATTCTATATCTGCCCTCGTAATATATCCTATAACACGGGGATGAGCTGTAGATTGAATAATTGGAAACCCATTATAAGTTGTTTTTGCCAATAACTTCTTCAACTGATGCAATGAAATACTTTCTGCTTCATCACTTGGAAAGGCGACAGTGATAGTTGACATAGCACTATTTACTGTTGTGTTAAATCTATACTCCTCCTTTGATTCTATTAATGGTAATCCATTGAACTTTATCATTTGTTCTGCTATTCCACCCTTACCATATTTGTCATTGATACTCTTAGTTATAGCTACGACTATCATTGTTGGAATAATGTAACGCAATGCGCCTGTCAACTCGAACATAATGATTACTACTGTTACCGTCAAGTGAGTTATACCGCTCAATGCGGCTGCTGCACCCAAGAAAGCATATGTTCCAGGAATAATACATTTATCTCCGTTAGCAGGGCACGTTAAAAATATTGATGAATCCTTATGGTTTTCTTGTATCTTCTCCACAATCATGCCAAGTGCCCGTCCAAAAGTAGCTCCAGTTGCCATTGATGGGACAAATATACCCGCCGGTACCTTGCAACCGTAAGTAAATATTGTTAGAACCATTCTAGCACCAGTAGCAAATATTAGGGACATAAAGATTGACACCTTCCTTGAATTTGGGTTGCAAATAGCATATTCTGAGCCAGCATCACATTCATTGAATAATATTTGCATGGTTTCAGTCATATCTAACCTTAGAAATTCATTAAAGTAGCAAAAACAGGCCGTCAAGGAAGAAAGTATTATTACTTCTCTGACTGCCATATTGGATAAATATTTTTTACGAAATGAAACCACTCTGAGATTGAACTTAGATACGACAATTCCGTAGACACCTCCAAAAACCCCTAAAATAATATAAAATGGTATTTCAAAATAATGCCAATTAGTATTATATGTTACTTCAAACATTACTAGCTGACCTGTTCTGAAGGGGTTTAATGCGGCCAAAGTGGTAACTGCGATTAAAGAACAAAAGTACGATTTCCATATCGTAGAAAGCTGAAATACAGTCGAAATATCTTCAATTGAAAACAAAACTCCACCCATTGGTGATCCAAAGGCAACAGCAACCCCTGCTGCCGATGTGGCTGTTAAAAATTCTCTAGCTTTAGAAGCACTTCTTCTATATTTGCCAAATAATTTAGCGATCGAATTACCCACACATACAGCATAATGTACACTAGGCCCTTCCTTACCAACACTTAGTCCAGAAGCTATGGCTAGTGGTAAACCCACACTCTTAATTAGTAATGTCCACCATCCTAAAAAGCCTCTCATAACAAAACCAGAAACAATGCACTTGATTTCGGATATCCCTGAACCTGCTGCAGATGGGGCATATTTTTTGACTAAAATTGCTGCTGAATATGCCAACAGGATCGATATTAGCACATAAATTATATAATTGAAAAATCCGATTCGGGACCAACTGATCCAATTAGTACACTTATCTTCATCCTGATCCCAACAACAGAAAGTCTTATTCAAGTAGAAATTACCCGAACAATGGCCCAATCGTATGCTTGCTAGCCATGCTGTAATAATATTTAAACATCCTGCGATCAATCCTATCACTATACCCATGAAGGCTAGTACAAACCAATTCTGGGTTGCTGAGATAAGCTTATCTTTAAACGATGTAGCCCTACTATTTATGCTTCTGTTCTTAGATAGCCTTTTCCAATGTTCACGAAGTTCATCCTCGACCCAATCTATCGTTGTAAATTCATCAAATCTCTTTACTTCTCGTACATTATGCTGATTTATCCATTCACCAGTTTCTCGATTTCTCAACACTTCACTTCGAGAATCACTATACGTATCAGACAGCATTGAGTGACGATTATTTATACTCAGACCCGCTTCAAGTATATGCTTAATAGTAAGTTGATTATTTTAATTGATAGAGAATCGGTTAGTACTAAACATATGGACAGCTATTATAATTATATTTTCACGTGATATATAAACAACTACAGAGAGACATGATAATTATTGTTAGATTGCAAATGTAATTAGTGTATTAAAAATTAGTGTTATTAGGTTATTAAGATGTACGATAGCTATCGTTAGAGTATTTCAACATATTTTGTTTTAAATCGGTAACAAAATTTTGAGATTCATTAAATTGAATATCATTAAATCTATCATCGTAAGATAAGACAAAATTCAAGCCACCCTCTGCCGTAGAAACAACGTTCAACATGAACTCTGATGCGGGAGGAGACATAGATTGAGAGAAAATCATATTCTTTATGGTCCAAGGCTTCTTATCTGGTATTTCATAGACTGGAATGTTTATCAACCCCAAGTTGGAGATTTTCAAGGAATCATTTTTTGGCTTCCCCAATTGAGATTCAAAAAAATGAAGGTTGTCCTCTAGGCCATGGGCCATTTTTTTGAATGGGTTTAACAAATTTAAAATCTTTTTATTCTGGGTAGTTCTCAATAAGTTTTTGTTAATTCTTCTAGCTAAATCCCACGAAAATTCATAGATTGGAGGCAAGTTCTCGGAGACCCCATTATTTGCCAGGGCACCAAGAATCTTATAGGACTTGTCACTTAAAAGCTGCTTATACTCATCGCTTGCTAACTCTGGATTATAATGTCTTCTTAAGGCTAGCGCGATCTTATGGGTAGTATAATGATCATCCCCAAATATAGGCTGCAAAGTCAACACTGTAATAACTTCTATATACGAAGTGATGGTTACCTTCTCACGCCTACATGCAGCCAAAATCTCCTTCGTTTCTGAAGGCGAGAAATTGATTAGCTTGAAGCTTATACCAAAATCTCTAGTTGCGAGAAACTTTCCTGGCCATTTATTAGGAAACTCCTCAGGAATAACCTTGTCAAAGTATAATGGATCATTATCAGTATAATCCAACTCTGGGTCTGCGAGAAAATCGTCAATAGGAGGCGGCAAATTATTTTTTATAAGTGCTCTATCTTTCTCATAATTAAATATTATAGAATTTTCACTAATATCACCAACAGCAGCCTCGTGGAAACCATAATTTACTTCATACTCTCTAGCATTCGAGGGATAATCTACGTATGCCAAATTTTGTAAGAATATCTCGTGAAAGTAATTTCCAACAACTCCGTCAGCTATAGTATGCTCCAAGACAACACTAAGGTCATATTTCCCAACAAGAATCAATCTGAACAACGGCGAACCCTCATATATATCAAAAACAATATCATTGGCCTCTTTCATAAATTTTTCATTGATAACGTTGCCTTCGATATACGAGGAGTCCTTAAAAATCAATAGATCTTTTAATTGGGTTTGAGATATAGGGGTATAAACACAACGACCGATTGACTTGTTTCTGACAATATAACATACCAAAATATGATAGTCAAGGATGGTTTTTCTCAATGCCCTGTAAAGTAACGATATGTCAGAAGTTAAATCTTGAGAATAAGTAGCGGTAACTTGAAAGTTCTTGTAAAATCCGGTAGCAGTCCTTGATCTTAAAAAGTTCTCTGTCATGCTCAAAGGCCGAGTAATTACTGTAGGAGGACTCATATGAATATAATATTTATAGATATAACTGGTCGTGCTAGCAATATTTTCAGCAGAGTATCCGAACTATGGCTTATTTAAATATTGTACCATATCTTGATATGACTAAACCCCATTTCGCAGAAGGTGAAGTAAACTCGATAGAACCGCAAGAAAATGAAAAGAGTCACTAATAGGGGTAGATAAGCTTTTCCACATACGGAATTTTTCTATTTCACTACATTTGTATAGAATGCAGTATTATTATCATTGTTCTGAGTCTTGGATTCATCGTCTCTAGAAATTTAAATTTTGGCACAATATTTTTGTGCCTACATAATAAACTGGTAAAAATGATCTTAAATATTCATGAAGAATAAGATAGTACTATTGTACACTTTAAGTAATTAATATTATCCGTCATAATAATGCCCTTTATTAGTATGTAAATATCTTGCTATATTATCATATATGATGTTATCGTGGTAGTTTTTATTGTTTCTAGGACTGAAAACCTTCAATAGCAAGTTTGCACCCTGTTATTTTCAAGGAGAATACTAACTAAACACTAGTACCTATGTCAATCAAAATTGCAGTTACTGCAGGTGCACTAGCAGGTGCTACAATAGCAGTCGTCAATAACAAAGAAAGTGTCTTAAGAGGAGCAGAATATGTTTTACAAAAAGGAGCTGATTTCTGTAAGCAAAGGTTAGAAAAGGCCCATGAGATGAACATGCACTTTGCTGAAAGTCACGAAGATAGTGCATTTGCATCTGGATATGCATATAGTGAATCTGGGAACTCTACAGGTATTGATACGCCAGATGAAATGGATAGTGACCGGGATTACGCTACGACTCCTGATATTTCTGACATGTCAGACTCTTCAGATGAAGAAATTGATATGATCAGTTTAGATTAAAGAAATAAGCTTTTTAATGTATGATTGATGACAAATTTATATTGATTTTATATTTCAATTCTTCTAAGGAACAATATCTAATATTCGCTCCTTTTCTTGTTGTGGTTTTATATTTATCAGGCATAATGTTCAATATTAGCATCAGCTAAGAACAGCTAAAACTATTACTAGGACAAATATACATAGAGCAAAAAGTAATATACAGCTCCATTTACTCTTTTTCTTTTGGTATTCATGCGCTTTCATTAATTCTCTTTCTGCTTGCTGGGTGTTACCAGATAGCTGTAATATGTTATCCTCTACTGTGTCTAATTGCTCTCCCTGTTGGTTCACCAATTCCCCCAAGTCTTTAAAAATTGAATTTATTTCTAATATTCCTTCATTTATTTGGTTGATATTTTCATTTCTTTCCTGTGTCAACATAAGGTGATATTGTAACTCAGTCTCATCTATTTGCTCCTGCGTTTGCTCCTGTACGGCGACCTGCTGCTCATTTTTCCCATGTTCATTATCCATTAAGGGTGTTCGCTCGTCTGACGTTTCTTGCCTCTGTATATCATCCTTCACTGGATAAGCTCTTGCTTTTTCAGCATATTGCCTTGCTGACCTCTGGAATTGTTTATGTAACTCATTGAATTCGCTAACTAGCCTCTCCTTGATAACCATTTGCTTTTGTGTGATCTCTAGTTTAGGGGCTGAATCGTCATCGTCATCATTCACGATTTGTCTCTTATCTCCCAGCTTTTTGTTAATTAAATGTGACAAATTCTCGACCAATATTTGAATGGCTGAATCCATATCGGATATCTTTGATATTAAAGCACTTGCATTATCTCTGAGTTGAATTTTATCCCTCTTAGAGCCAATCAATTTCTTTTTGGCGTCAAACTGAGATATTAGATTATTGAACAATTGAAGCTGGTCGGAAGCTTTATAGATAATTGTATCTAATTCATTTTGAGATTGGGTTTGTTGTCTCTCTATATTCTTCCCACTATTTCCTTCAGAAGTTGCTCTTTGAGCTTCGATATCGAAATTAGCAAAAGACATGCTTGTAAGTCAATATAATAACTATAAATATAAGGTGTTTAGCATAATCAACTCTAATACTCAGCAAATCCTAGTGTCGCATTTTCAATATTTGCGACACAAATTTTGACATAGATTATTACAAGCATAATAAAAACTTCACCTAAATACTTACCCTGGATTAGATGCCCCATCCGTATTATGTATTTGCATTCATTCCCTAAATTCAACCTACTGTCGGGATATGGAGTTAAAAATGTGAATTTGACGATATACGGCTACCAATGTGAAAAGAAGTATGTTTCAAGATGTTGCACCCAGGGAAATCAAAGATTAAACTCTAATTACATAAAAGGAATTAGGCGTATTATGATACAGAAGTAATATTGGGTATTCAGATTTTTAACTAATTTTAAAATTAGTACATAATCTGTTGAAGTTTGGTTCATTATTTGCTGGTCGAGCAGGAAATAGTAAATACTCTCTGGCATTACTCCGATTTAAAGTACCTGTAGAACTTTTTATATTATATATAAATAGAATATACTTATTTTCACAGAAAAATAAAATCATAAAAGGTGGCTAGAAATAAAGTTAGGAATTAGTACAAAATTTATTCATCAAATGCATTTACACTTTTCTTGAATTTTTGAATTTATTCTGAATTATTATGAAAAACGGAATAATAATTTCTGCTTAAGACCAATTAAAGATATACTTGCATTTTACGGAAAATATGCAGCCAAGTAAATATATATAAAGTAGGATAAGTAAAGGTGTGCATTTTTTAGGGAAATTAGTAGGAATATTTTATGCGAGAGCATAGAAAGCGTAAAAATTACTCCATATGGTCTCTTTAAGAAGATTTACGAACCAATACCTATCAATATTAGTGCCAGACTTTCCAAAACAGAAATATCAATGTCTAAAATGGAAGATAAGAAGCAAGATTAAATGGAAATGGGAAATGATAACCTAAAGCAGACTATTGGCAATGCAGGTCAAACTTTACAACGGTTGCGAAAGAAGTATAAAAGGCGATCAAACAACTTCGCTTGCCCACTATTTGTATTATTTGGAAAACAATTTATTTGATATGAAACTCACAAAGCCAGCTGCTGCTATTATTTTAACTTACGTCGCTTTAACTTCAGCTGCACCTGCTACCGTCGGCACAAGCAATCAGTCTCAGCCAATCGCTCCAAAGGAGACAGTTGCAATACACTCTTTAGTATCCAGCTTGAATCAATATAATGCAGCACATAAAGTTCCAGGCTACACCAAACGTGATGAAGTATTAGTCCGGGAAGCACATGAGCTTATTGCGAGATCCAAGCTTCCCATTTTAGATAAAATCTTAATGGCCCTAAAGGATTCGGGACTTGCAAATGCAGTTATTGACTTTGTCTTACTTAGTCCTGAATTATTAGACCTTACTGCCGATGCTACCATTTTCATTCTAAAATCAGGTCTTATCAATTTGGCAGATTTATTAATTGCCTTGCAAAAGTCGGGTTTAGTCAACCAAATCTTACTTTTGGCCTTAGATGATCCTGAAATTTTGCCTGGCTTGTTGAGAATTGGTAAGGAACTCTTGAAACAGAATGGTATCGATATTTTTAGCAAGCGTTCGGTCAATGAATCCGCACTCGAAACAGCAGAGGTTTTCGAAGAAACAGCTCTCGATAAGAGAGAAAGTCAGTTATTGAACGAATTGTTTGCTTCGTTGAAGGACTCTGGGTTAGGTGTGTCTATTGTCCAAAACTTGTTGACTAATCCAGATTTGAGTGCTCCTGCCGCAACATTTTTAACCAAAATCTTAAAATCTCACGCGGTTACTCTTAAAGAACTTCTCGATGCTTTGAAAGAGTCTCACTTTATTTTTAACGTCTTGAAAGATATTCTTCATGATAAGGCTTTGTTAGAGAAGTTTGGTGAAGTTATTTTTGAAAGAATTTCGAAGGGTTTGATTTCAAGGTCTATGTACGATAAGGCCTAATCGATACTTTTATCAAAATTAAAATAGTTATATTTTTTATTCGTCTTCTATGTAATTTTTATTCTAAGTATGATGTTAGTTGTGATTTTATATGTTTTATTGTATACCATAGTTCTATTAAGGGTGTCCTGATTTCGCAGCCAATTCAAAAACACGTCTCTGATTAACGCGTTAATTTTTTTTTGTACCAAATCATGGAACGCGCAAAACTAAACTTATCAACATGTTGTTATATACGTCTTCGTTTTAGAATAAGTGAATTGATTCGTACAATTGTTATAACGACTACACAATCTTCAAAATGCTATCTAGGGCTAGTAGACGTGATAAGTTGAAAGAACTCAAGGAAGCTAGACAAGCAGGGTCAAGTTTGATAACGTACTCAGATGGGGAAGATGATCAAGGTATATACGATGAAGTTGACGAAGATACATATAGAGAACGGAAGAGAAATCAAATGATGAACGATGACTTTATTGTAGATGACGATGGTGAGGGATATGTGGATAATGGTGTGGACGAATGGGACGATAGTACTAGACCTCAATATTACTCTGATGAGGAAGAAGAAGAAAATGGAAAAAAGAGGAAAAAGAATCAAAAGAAGCCAGTCAAAGTGGCGAAGACATCAGAGATAAATAATTTCTTCAAGAGCGGTGGCTTTACGTCTAGCAAGGTGAAGGCCCCAAAAAAGATTGACGCCAACATTGATGATATTCTTGAAGATTTCCTGGACGGTAAGAACGGGACCAAAAAATCGATGACCACGTCTAACACATTTGGAGCACAAAGAAAGACTGTGAACAAGAAGAAATCGAAACAAAATACATTCAGCTTTTCTACTATGTCTAAAAGGGATAAACCAAGAAAGATAGACGAGTTGAGCAGCTATGATGATTACTCTATGGATGTTGATGCCAACGAACAACCTTCATCTCCTATCAAGAGAGAATCAACTACACTTAAAGAAGAGGATGCAGCTAATGGTATGGAGAAAGAAAATGTTGACCCCCAAGTTAAGAAAGAGGCCACGCCCGAAAATAAGAATGGTAACGACCTAGATGAAGATGAAGACGAAATTGATGATGACTCAGAAGATGAAGTTATAGTTACCAGGAGACCACGAGCCGCATCTGCTAATAAACATAAAGCTGCAAACTTCTCAGCAGTAAAGGCTTCTAACATCGCATCGTCATCCCCATCTAGACCTACAGCCCACTCTTTGGTCAGCCATACAGAAAAGCTTGACGAATCTAAAATTATACAAGATCCAACTGGAGCTGGAAATGATACCTTCAAGTTATTTTGGCTTGACTATTGTGAAGTAGATAGCTCTTTGCTTCTTTTCGGTAAGATTCAGACTCGAGATGGTAATTTAGTATCTGGTGTCGTTCAAGTTAATGGGTTATGTAGAGAATTATATTTCTTACCTAGAAAGCACAGAATAACAAATGATGAAGAAGATACTGAAGACGAAATTACTGCATTAGATGTGCACGAAGAAGTTACACCATTGTTATTGGAAAAATACGGCCTTGAAAGCATTAAGGCTAAGCCAGAGACTATGAAATATGCATTCGAGCTTCCTGGTATTCCAAAGGAAAGTGAATACTTAAAAGTTTTGTTACCATACAAGACTCCTAAAAATAGGTCCTTAATAATTCCTTCTAATTTGGAGGGAGAGACATTCAGCCATGTTTTCGGAACTAATGCTAATATATTCGAAACTTTTGTCCTGCAACGGAACATCATGGGTCCCTGTTGGTTGGAAATTAGTAATGGTAATTTTACAGAGATCCAGAACACATCCCACTGTCAAGTTGAAGTTGCAGTTACCTCTCCTAATTTTGTTAGGCCTATTGTTGATTTAAAGTTGGCACCTCCTAATTTAACAGTAACTTCAATTTCTGTCCAGACTATTATGAATACAAAACAAAACAAACAAGAAGTTGCTTCTGTATCCATTGCGACATATCGTGAATTACCACAAGACTCTCCGATTGATGAAAACATTAAACCAGATGACCTTGTAGTATTGGTTAGACCGATTGGAGCAGTGGCTGTACCTCCTGGACTTTCACAATTGGCTCAGAAACAGGGGTTACCTTTAAGAACATTTCCTAATGAAAAAGCGTTATTAAATTGCTTAGCAGCTTTAGTCAAAAATCTAGACCCGGATGTGTTTATTGGTCACAGATTAGAGAATATTTCCTTAGATGTGCTAGTTCACAGAATGTATGACTTGAAAGTAACCACATGGTCTACATTTGGACGTCGTAATAGGAAAGCATGGCCCGACAGATTTGGTCGTAACAATAGTGGTTTTAATAATAATTTACAAATTCGTGAAATCTTCCAAGGGAGATTATTATGTGACATTGCTAATGAAATGGGTCAGTCGTTGACTCCCAAATGTCAATCTTGGGACTTAAATGAAATGTACGATGTTGTTTGTCATAAAAAACAGATTCCATTGGAAATTAATTTCCATAATCCAAGATATGCAGAAGATGCGAGTTTCTTATTGATGGCCTTAAAGGAAAATGCCTCTAACGTTAGAATAACAGCAGAAGTTGCATTTTCCATTCAAATATTGTCATTGTCAAAGCAATTGACTAATTTGGCTGGTAATGCTTGGTCTCATACCTTAAGTGGTACAAGAGCCGGTAGAAATGAATTTATTTTGTTGCATGAATTTAAGAGGAATAATTATATCGTACCTGACAAGGAAGATAAATATCACAAGAATACGAATCATCAGCAACAAGCCAAATTGGAATCCAATGAAGAAGATGCTACTACTGCTACGTCTAATAAAAAGCCGAAATATCAGGGTGGTTTAGTTTTTGAACCTGAAAAAGGTTTACATAAGAACTATATTTTGGTAATGGACTTTAATTCTTTGTATCCAAGTATTATTCAAGAATATAATATCTGTTTCACAACAGTGGATAGAGATAATTATAATGCGGCTAAAATTGATGAAGGTGACTTACCTGATATCCCAGATAGAGATGTGGCACAGGGTGTGTTACCACGATTATTGAATGCCTTAGTCTCACGTCGTCGTGAAGTTAAAAAATTACTAAAAGACCCTAAAAACACTGCAATAGAAAGAGCTCAATATGATATCAAACAGCAGGCGTTAAAACTAACGGCCAACTCGATGTATGGGTGTTTAGGGTATGTTAATTCAAGATTTTATGCCAAACCTTTGGCTATGTTGGTCACCAACAAGGGTAGAGAAATTTTAATGGATACGAGACAATTAGCAGAATCTATTGGTTTGAGGGTTGTTTATGGTGATACTGATTCCGTAATGATTGATACAGGTGTAGACAATTTCAAAGAGGCTATTAAGATTGGTGAAGAATTCAAAATCCAGGTCAATGAAAGATATAAGTTATTGGAAATTGATATTGATAATGTTTTTAAGAGATTATTATTACATGCTAAGAAGAAGTATGCTGCGATGAATACTAGTCTTGATAGAAAGACAGGCCAAGAAGTTGTAAAATTGGAAGTTAAGGGTCTTGATATGAGACGTCGTGAATACTGTCAGTTATCCAAGGATATATCTACTTTTGTATTGGAGAAGATATTGTCGGACGCCGATCCAGAACAGGCATTAAGTGAACTTTACGAATATTTGGAAGGCATGACAAGAAAGATTAAGGATAATGAAATTCAGGTTGACAAATTCAAAATCAACACCAGATTATCTAAAGACCCAAACAGTTATCCTAATGGGAAAACTATGCCACCAGTCCAAGTTGCATTGAGACTAAGAGAACAGGGAAAAGTGATCAAAGCAGGAAGTGTTATAACGTATATCATTACTGCACCTGCTTCTGAAAATGATAAAGCATCTCCGGCAGAAAGAGCCAGGGCAATTCAAGAGGTCTTGAATAAACTGGCAAATTTGAAACCTGACGCTGATTTCTACTTGGAGAAGCAAATTTTTGCACCTGTCGAAAGATTGGTCGATAGAATTGAAGGTGTTGATATGATGAGAATAGCCAGTTCTTTAGGAATTGATACTAAAAAGTATGTATTAAGAGTTAAGAATAGCGATGCCACCAATGGTGAAATCCTTCCTTTGGAGTCCAATATCAGTGACAGCGAGAGATTTAGACAATCCAGCTACTTAGTATTAGAATGCAAGTGTGGATCCAAGTTCAGATTCGGCGGGATCATGGCCTCGAACGAGTACAAGGTCACCTTCAACGGTGTGTGCTGCTCCAAATGTGATTACACCTTCCCTATTTTAAGAATCACTTCTCAGGTAGAATACACCTTAAGAAACCATATTTCATTGTACTATGCCGGCTGGTTAGTATGTGATGACTCCGCCTGTGGTATTACAACGAGACAAATCTCCGTTTATGGTAGACGTTGTATCGGTACATCTGGCAAGGCACATGGCTGCAAAGGTGTAATGAGATACAAATACAGTGACAAGGCTTTATACAACCAATTATTATACCTCCATTCATTATTTGATGTTGATAAGGCAAAGAAGAACCAACTCAGACCTATATATGATGTTGGTGCACCTCTGCCATTAGCTTCTGGCCAAGTAGATGCATTGGCCGAGCAGAACAGAGAGCTATTTTCCATATGTCAGAACGTAGTACAGAAATATTTAAGTGAATGTGGTCGTCGTTATGTGAATATGAGTTCTATATTTGATTTTATGAGTTCTTCTAAGTAGTTTGTATAATAGTAATATATTTGTTTGTTGAAAGTAATTGATATTCCATACGTTAATATTTTGCAAGCAATATTTTGAGTCGTGCGCTTGATATTTATATTTGAATAAAACTTATTCATAAACAACTCCAGGTAGTTTTAATATAGCCAGATGCAGAAGTGACAATGAATTTTAACCATCAGCAGAATAAGGGAGGTCAACTGCAGCAACCTCATCCACAGCAACAAGCGCAGCAGAATGCGTTTCCTGCTTTACCACCGCAACTTGCGAACTTGACTCCTCAACAATTACAGCAGTTGAGAAACCAACCCCAGTTCCAAGCACTCATGAAAAACTATATGCAACGACAACAAATGATGAATCAACAGGCGCAAATACAAGGCCAAACCCCTACGTCTACATTTATGAACTCGCAGAGTATGCAACCATCACAACAATTTAATCAGCAGGCACCTCTTCAGCACCAACATACGCAACAGGCACAACAAGCGCCAACGATGCAAGGAAATATTGCAATGCCTCCACGTCAACCATCCATGGGAGCACCTAACACACAGGCGCAAGGAATGACGATGCCACAACAAATACCGAACCACTTACCGCAACAAATGATGAGACCAGGTATTCCACCAAATAGTGGAATGGGATCTGGCTCTGCTTCTCCTCATGTAATAGCGCAACAGATGATAGGGACAGCGCAAGGTGTACCGGTACCCGAAAAAGGTGTTGCTTCAAATACGCAAAACGAATTAATCAATAAAATACCACTAAAGGAATTATCTTCTACTCATGAATGGTCTGAGAAATTACAGAAAGAAGGTAAAGATATACCCATTGATTTGAAAGTTTATGAATCTATAATTGGTAAGGATGCTGAATTTTTGAGGAAAAAATCGACACAAGTAGCTGATAGCAAAAAAATGCTTGACTCTTTGGTTAAAGATATCAAGACGTATAGCGAGATTAAACAATTACGTATGAATGCAATCACATTATCAAGTAAGGGACAATTTAACAATAGTATTTGGGGTGAAGGGTATCAAGGCTACGGAAATGGAATTACCAATACCGCCACTAGGCTTTTGTTACCACACCATAATAAGAGACACTCTGCGGTTCCTGATATTATGTTGACTGAAAGAGAAATAAATGAGCGAGTATTGAAAAGATTGTCGCCTAATCAATCGCAGCAATTAGTTCCAATAAGACTTGAGTTTGATCAAGAGAGAGACAAGTTCAAATTACGTGATACATTTTTATGGGACCTTAATGAGGATGTATTGCCATTAGAGAACTTCGTAGCGTTGCTTATAGATGATTATAAATTCATACCACCACATCACGCACAAACCATATTGTCTTCTATCAGAGAGCAAATCAGAGACTTCCACAGGAAGCCTGATAAAGTTATGGGAGAATTGAGAGTTCCAATTAAAATTGATGTCACAATAAATAATACACAGTTGGTGGATCAATTCGAATGGGATATTCTTAATTTTGGAGAAAGTGACCCTGAAGATTTTGCTAGGATCATGTGCGATGAAATGAATTTGCCGGGCGAATTCACGACTGCCGTAGCTCATACAATCAGAGAACAAACACAGCTCTTCCACAAGTCCTTATTCTTAGTGGGTTACAGCTTTGATGGGTCGCCTGTTTATGAAGACGAAATAAGGTCTCATGTGCTTCCATCTTTGAGGTTACTGTCACATGATAATTCTGCAGGATTTGATTCAATGGTAGATGATTTCTTCTCAATCCTCCGAAACCCGGCTACTGTTCCGGATTATACTCCGTCATTGGTTAAACTAACACAACTAGAATTGGAAAGACTTGATAAAGAAATTGAACGTGATTCTCGTCGTAAGAGAAGACACAATCTTAATGATCTTACCGACTCCCCAGCTTCAGGAAGTTTGACTGGAAGAGGTACGTCTTCTAGAAGAAGTGCCTTACATATGGGTAGAGGAGGTCCTGTCTTGCCCGATTTATCTGATGCACCTAAAACTTTCCGGACTCCAGCTCCATCGAGTATTTTACCTGGAGGAATCGATCTAGGTGTACCTGATATGTACGGTTACAACGAAGTCATTGTCCATAGAAGTCAAATCAAAAATCCCGACTATAAACCGCCACCTCCGCCATCGGAAGTCGAAACAAATACCGATGGTGCTTCTAATAGAGTAAGATACACTAATGACAGAATTACGGGCCGTTTCTTGGTATCAATAAAGTTACGTACATAGTTCTCAATTTTGTATATAGGGAAATTTCAAATAGACACAAGAATTTCATACTCACTTTTTATCACAGGATAATAGCAACGGCCCCTCTTGTATACTCTAATGCATATATATTAAGACTTTTCATGTAGAGTTCTAATTGATTAACACGTCATTGAAAATATCATAGATATAATCAATTCAGAACATGACTCAACAAAAATATGCGCTAATCAGTGGTGCTTCATCTGGTATTGGGTACCAATTAGCGATTGCACTTTCTAAAAAGGGTTACAAGGTTTTTGGATGTGCTCCCGAATCTGTTTTATTTGAAATGAAACCATTGACCGAAGAATATGGGGTTGTAGCCTTCGGTTGTGATATCACTAAGATTGAAGACATCAAGAAAGCTGCAAAATTGGTGGGAGAGCAAACTGGGGGAAGACTTGATATATTATACAACAATGCCGGAATTTCTTTTGGTGGGCCATCTGTGGAGATGCCAGATGATGAGTTAGTGAAAATATTCAATGTCAACACTCTTGGTCATATATCTATGACGAAATACATGATTGACTACGTTATTGCCGCAAAGGGAACCATCGTTTTCACCAGCTCTGTAGCTGCAAGAGTTCCACTTTCATGGGCCGGTCCTTACTGTGCTACAAAAGCCGCCATTGACATGTACGCTATGGTATTGCACGGCGAAATGAAACCATTTGGTGTCCGTGTGCATAGTGTTATTACTGGTGGGGTTGACACCAGTCTTCTCGACACAATCGACTTGAACAGAAACGCATCCGGCTCACGTTTTGACGTGGATGGTTTATATGACAGTATGTGGTCTCTGAGGAACATGTCCAGAAACAGGTATACTACCCTTTCGCCTGAAAAATATGCCAATAGAATAGTTAGAAAGATTTCTAGGACGTGGGATATCGGGTTTAACATTTACGAAGGTGCTTTTGCCTACTCATTACATTTAGCTAGCAGATATGTACCATTTTTTTTAGTCGAATGGGGTACTGCCTTCCATTTCAGTCAATTGAAAGTCTTCAGAAATATTAGAAGAAAATTACTGTCTAAAAAAGATAAATAGTGTTTATAGTATAGCCAACTAGCATTGATAGGGGAATACACGTGATCACCAAATTTATTGTTTTTAAGAGCGCCATTATAATTCATAGCCTTGAAACCCTCTCTTCGTATAGGATTTTATATCTTTTGTAAAGTTACAAGAAAGGTGTCTTAGTATTTCTTATTGATTATAATAACCGGAGGATCAACATCTAAGTGGTAAAAAATATTTCAAGAGAATTTTTGAGATACATATAGTGGATTTAAATCGTCGTGAGACAAGTAAGAGAAATTAAGGGAAGATGAAGAGATTGATAAATCCAGACCAGAATTACAAATATGAATCATCAGAGTTATCGGATTTAAGTGAATATAAGGAGAATGATGAAAATCAGATTTTACTTGACTCGTTTGATACATCAGAGCTTGAAGAAGCTGATAAAGACAAAATGAGGTCGCAGGGGAGTTTGAATGATAAAAGCAGCGAGGAGTCGTCGGAACAAGAGGAAGACATGCGATTGGAGGATTCAAGAGACGGAGATGGATTGTTAGGAACTGCAGAAGAAATAGACAGAAATATTCACGAAGCTATGATAACGGAAGGAAACTCATCTAATAGTAATAGCCGAGACGGCAACAGTAATGATAATGACAACATGGGAGGACATACGGACAATGATTTGGAGCTGCAGGTTACGGGGGGACGTTTGACCCCGAAGGAAAGAGTGGTGAATGTTTTGAATAGTGTTTTCCCAATAAGGCAGACCTATGAAAGAATAAATAATGGATTGACTACGGGAAGAATGCAAGCAAACTTGCCGGGGAGATTTATAGGTCAAGGAACAGATGGGGTATTCCGTAATTTGATGGCAAAGCCTGATAGAGAGGCAAATAGATTCGAAGAAACGCACCCTCCATCCTACGAAGAGGCTGCTGCTGACGCAACGCCTGAGTATTGGGAATCGACCGTTGTTTCACCAATATATGAAGATGAAGTATTTGTTGAAGGTTTACCAGTTGGAAATGTGGCGAACTTGGTGTGGAATATTTTGGTGAGTTCGGCATTCCAGTTTGTTGGATTTGTATTGTGTTACTTATTGCATACATCCCATGCTGCTAAACAAGGTTCAAGAGCAGGACTAGGTGTAACGTTTGTTTATTATGGATATGGAATGATTCCGTCGAACTTTGGGAGTGCCGAAAAGGTTCCAGATAGATATGAACCAAACAATCCAAACCAGATTGACGTAGATCAGTCAGCTTCAATTAATGATGGTAAATTAGACAATTACAAATCTGGAATATTTCAGCAACATAAAGATTCTCCCGATACGAAACTCAATCAAACTCCGTACTTTGCATACGGCATTATTGCATTTGGAATATTTATTATAGCAAAGGCCTTCATCGATTATTATAGAGTGAAGCAGATGGAGAGGGTAATATTATCTCCTCCTTCTAATGAGACAGTAGTTACAAACTCGGTTACAGAAAATACTGGAAATACCGGGGAAGTCTAATTGTGTATTCTTAGTATTAATGTATATATACATAGGAATGATATTTAATTTGAGTAAAGCTTAGTTAGTTCATGACAACTAACATTTTTTCGTAAATTGTGAAAACAAGACCTCCACTCAACACTAATCTACCTAATCTGGGGGTAGCACCTTTCCAGAATGTCAACAATCCTTCCTCCTTAAAGATTTTAACAAAACAGTTCAATGTAGAAGTATATAATTTATCGGCTCCTAAAGCTTGCATTCTTGTTTTCACTGTATCAATGGGCATTGTGGTATAGACGGTGGTAATACCAGCAAAAGCACCTACCAAGAAGGTTGAAACAGAGCTTAATGGCTCATTTGGTTTGGCACCAGAGGCTTGTTGGATCATAGTTTTAATAGAGTTATAAGAACCCAATCTGACAGCTTGATTCGAAGCTTGCCTCATTGATACAGGCACAATACCAGCATAAATACCTTTAAATCCCATATCTCTACATAACTTAACAGTTCCTGAAATCAAACCATTTTGATATTTTGGTTTTGCTGTTTGTTTGTCGTCAATTAATGCAGTTTTGATGGCTTCGAATGGAGTGACAGCTACTATAGACTCAAGTAAACCAGCGCCTAGCCCAGCTATGACACCTCTTGGTCCCGATAATTTACCATCCTTATCCACTAATAAAGCTTTAATAGAATCAAAACCTAAGAACCTAACCGAAGCCTTGACTGTGTTACCAACAACGAATGCTGGACATCCAACGTATAGAGAAGACACACCTTGAGTTTTAGCTACGTTGTAAATAAGAACTAAGGGATTTCTTGATGCCTTGGATGACTTATCAACTAGTTGTAATCTTGTTTTAGCAAATTCAAAAGGATATGTGACCACTCCTTCAATGGCACCAGCCGTACCTCCTGCAATAAATGATTTGAATGGATCAACTTTCTACAATTTGTTAGTATACGTCCATATTATAAAAAAAAAAATAAGAAATCTGACGCTTCATTTGTATACTTACAGCTTGATCGTTTGCTTTACCCATCACGAATATTTAAACTTGACTTAATTAAGTTGAAGAATACCTAGAAATTCTATTGAAAAGTTATTATCAAATTCATATTAGGTCCGCTACCGGTCAAAGTGAAAAATTCGGGTTTGTGAGTCAAATTTGCAGCTCAGCAAAATTGATCCTAAATAGCTAAGTATTATATTCTCTACATTTATTTAGGTAATGATTACTTTTATTAGGTTTAGTGTATGCTATATAAATTAAACGTCCTCAAAATCATCGAAATCATCTTCATCGTCATCATCATCGTCGTCATCATCCTCGGCTTCTCTCTCAGCCAATTGTGCGTAATAAGCTGCCAAAGCATCTTGTGACTCTTTGTCCTTCAATTCAGAAACATTAGTAGGAACGGCATTAGTTGTCAGATTATCCACTTCGTCTAAGCTTGCCATAGGAGTATTTGTGGACGAAATGTCCATGGTAGCACTACCACTGTCAGCCACATCTGATTGGACTTCGTTCTCTGACTTGATACCAGGAACAGGGGTTCCTTCATTGGGTGTTGATAAATCATCATTATCATCATCTAACTTACCCAAAGAAGACTTGCCCACAGTACCTTCCGAATGCCACGAAGGTAACGCATTTTGTTGCAACTTTTGTCTTCTTTCTTCCTTTTCTTGTTGTTCCCTCTCATAATTTTCGTCGTTAGCTGTAATAGAAACGTGCAATGTTGCTTGAGATTTGGAATCGTTTTGTAATGCCGACAAGTTGGATCTTGATCTTGACAGAATACGGTTCGACACAGAGTACGATGCACTGGTCGATGATTGTGCTGGAATCGACTTCACCAACGATGACTCGAAGGTGTTGTCTTCAATGTATGCATCATCAATCTTTTTCAAGTAAGAAATAATCGGATCCACCTGGTTCATCAATTTTTCTAACTTGGCTTGTCTCAACGATGCCTGCTTGCTCGAATCGTCCTCTATTAATACACCTCCACAGTTGTCACATTCAAAATTAGTCTTATCATCACTCAAGAGCGATATTGCATCCAATTGCGATACCTTTTTACCACATCTTGGACACACATACCCCTGCGGATTCCCATAATGTGTCATTTCTTCCTTGATGATATTGACTATTGAATGCACCTTCCACTTGATCGAATCAATCGCCTCTGTGGTGTGGATGTAGAAGTATGTTCTGGTGATAAGCCTCTGCTGTGCATTCTCTTCCTTTTGGATGTGATTTACTAACAATCTATCTTCCACTAGTTTGTTGCATAGCGATCTAAGCTCCTTCCGATGGATGCTCAATAAGTATATCAAGTCGTCTTCCGACAACACTGAATGCAACAAAACAGCATCTAGGATCAACACATATGGCTTGGAATAGAATCCTCTAGCCACGAACCGAATAAGCGACCTGATAGTATCGTCCATCTCACCTACACAATCTTTTTTGCCAAAAGAATCTATTGAATGTAATTCCGATCATCGATGCTTAGCATAACGCTTCAAAAGTTAACCAGAAATTCAATTTGTTAGTACTGAAAATTACCGAGACTTGGAAGAAAATATCGCTATTTTGAGAATTACAGCGTAATTATCAGCATGTAGTTTCATTAATTGTCTAAATATTGATTATAATTCACGTTGTATACCCCAAACAGGCCTCACTTACAAGTGCCAGCCACACAGGTGTTACTGCATGCTTCTCTGTTACATAACCCTTGATCTATTGTTATTTGATTCCTTAATAATGCATGCTATAATTGCCCTAGAATCAGAGGAACAGATTTGAGCACAAATCGCGAAACGCGAATCTTGAGAACCCAAACATAGGCAACGCGTTTGTTCTACATAATAGAGATGCTAATTAAAAGAGATGATTCCCATAAAATTCAGATATTAATTGTATTTATATAATTAGCATTATACCTAACACCAAATTTGAATCCCAAGCGTAAATTACAAGATTTTGCCAAGTTAATAAGATAAAAGAAATATATTTGAAGTTTTGCTGGTCCCTATAAAGCAATATCAGGGATATTAAGAGAAAGCAAAAAAAAATTATTCCTTCTTTTGAAATAAGGAAGACGAAATAAGGATATAGTTCACGTATAATAACGGTTATTTTAGAAGCAAAGTAGAAAGTACAGAAGATTAAGATGTCAACCGCTGGAAGGTACATGGAAAGGGTTCCGTTGAGGGAGAAGAATGCGGGCAATATTGCTGCGAGTAGTAGTAGAGAAAAGACCAGGTTGACTGAGACTCCCAACACACACAAGAGCCGAAAGATCACCACGCCGCCAGAAAGCGTGCTGGTGTCACGAAAGAAGAGTTCGATTTTGGAGACACCGATCTCGAAGCATTTCAACGATGATGTGGTGAATAGTACTTGCAACGGAGAAACGGATAATACAAAATCGGCGTTGTTATCACCGGCATTTTCGTCGCCACAACAGCAGAATCATCGCCGGGTGAAGGATAGCTTTGACATACCACCTAAACCGTCGTTCGTTCAGTCGTCTTCGGCTTCGCTTGATTCGGAGGATGAGAAATACAAGAGTAAGAAAAAGAAGAAGACCAAGAAGGATTTGAAGGATACATTCCAGTTGGGGTCTCACGATAAACCACCATATTCTTATGCAACGTTGATTGGAATGTCGATTTTGAGCAACTCTGAAAAGAGGTTGACCTTGTCGCAGATATATCAGTGGATATCAGACACATTTAAGTATTACCGCCGGGAAGAAGTAGGATGGCAAAACTCGATTCGTCATAATTTATCATTGAATAAGGCGTTTATTAAGGGAGAGAAATCGAAAGATGGTAAGGGCCATTTTTGGTGTATTCAACCAGGATGTGAAGAACAATTCTTAAGATCCAAGAATAGCAAGAAGCATTCTTATCAGGAAATTATCGACCAAATCTACGCATCAATCCATCCTTCCAAATCATCGATGAATTCTATACCATCTTCTCCAAATGTTTCTAATGAGGATTTGAAGCGCAAAGCATCTGATACTGATGATGCTGCGAGCTACGATGGTTATGGTGACGACGAGGACCAAGAAGACGACAAAGAATACACAAGATCAATTTTAAATCCTCCCATTAAGAAGCAAAGATTATTATCTGCCACCACTGGTAATGGTACTTTGGAGACTATCCCAAATTTAGAAGCTCCATTCAGCCAATGGCAGGCAACACCGGGCGGGTTCAAAGTATCCAATTCACCAAATAATACAAACTCCAACAACCCTCCACAGTTTGTAATAAGTGAATCCCCAGACAAACCATTATTGGCAGGAAAAAACTTAACATTCACATCATCCTTTAGCTGTAATTCAAACTTAGAATTATCTCCCATAAGACCTAGTGAAACTGGTCCTTTATTAGAACCGTTAACACCCGCTAACAATGTCTACAGAAATGGATCATTGCTCAATCATCAATTATCAGCTTTCCACTATCAATCACACCATCCACATTTATCATCATCCACTACATCAACATTATTACAACAATCCATACAGCAACCCCACAATATTAAAACCCCAAAGTCATGCAGTAGGACTCCATTAAGAAACTTGCGAACTCCTCAAACTGCATCTATCATGAAAAAGTTGTGGAACTCACCATCATACTTGGAGGAATTCTATTATTCACCATTGATTTCATCATCACAAGCAGTATTAAATTCTTATGATGATGACGATATGATAATGAGGGCTTTCGAACTGCCAAGCAACAATGCGCATGGTCATAATAAGAGACCTTCAATTTCGTCAATCTCTACAAACTCCAGTAGAAATTTGTTCAACGATTTGAAGAAAATTGATCATTCCAGTAGAAACAGCTCGACGTCTAGTAACAATGATAAGGAAGGAACTCGATTACGCAGCGTGAGTGCAGCTTCCACGGAACAGGATGATAGCTAATGGTAATGATTTTCAGGGGCGTGATGTTTAATTGTATATTATCGGGTATTACAAACGGATGGGTAACTTTAATTATTAATTTCGTGTTATGTATTATTAATTTTATAATTTATTAGTTTCAATACTGTAGCAGACTTGTAACTCCATACGTAATTAAATGAGCGTTATCAATTATCACTTAACCACCAGATCTATAAACATGCGTCCGCAAGCTTCTTGTATAAGTTTCTTGAGTGACTACTAATCCACTTCAATTTTTAATCTGTACTAGCACATCCTTTGCATCCGCATGTAATGCACTCAACTCTTTCAGAGCGGTCATTTTTAACCAATGTCGTCTTAGGAACTCGACATATGCATGTGGTACCGTGGTTCTTTTCGCTGGTCATTATGCAATTCAAACAACATAACTTTTCGTAACCTTGTTTCTTCCACTTAGCTATAAGATTCTTGTTAGCATATTTCTGTTGTAGCAACCAATTATATAATTCTTCCGATATCAGCTCTCGTTCGTAATACAAGCTGTATATGTACCTATTTATTTGATGGTTGACTTGTATTATGGGCCATAATGCTTGGTTTTTATTTTCAGTTTTGATGGATTTGGTTTGTGCTTCTCTGGATTTTGCTAAGAGCTTGGCTAAAGTAGGCTCTATCTTACTATAGCCTTCTGGGGGTTGTTTTCTTCTTCTGGAAGATGATATTTTAGCCATTTTATGCAAATCTGGATTAATATGTGTATAAAAAATGTGCAAAGCAAATGGTACCTTCTTTATCTATTATGATTAGCCATAATCCATACTGGCGATGAGAGACAAAAAAAAATAAAAAAATAACGACAACAGCAGGATTCGAACCTGCGCGGGAAATCCCAACGCATCACTCTAATTATTCGAGTGCGTCGCCTTAACCACTCGGCCACATTGTCGCTTTATATCACTTTACAAAATATTTCATAAATATGATATGCTTATCTCAAATTTCAAGACAACATTTACTCAACACATCTGGTTTTGTTTGAGCTTGCTATTCTGTACACGAAAATTTTTATCACAACTCAGAGATTAGCGAAAGGCTGAAGCCGACGTGCCTGTATGTGATGCTTTCGCCTATTGCATACCGCAACAATTTTTTAAATCGTTCAAATACAAATTATATAAATACTTATGTAATACTTTGTTTATAAAGACTTGCTTAGTGCCATTGGAGATCTTGAATTTGGTTTAAAGCCAGATCAAAGAATTTTAATTTATTTTCAGTTTCAGGAATACTAGATCCTATAAGATTAATTGTTTGCATTGTTGGATAGAATTTTTTTTTTTTATTTAGTTTATTTGAAGTCAAACCCCAAAAGCCAAAATGGCAACCGCAACTGCTACCTCAACGTCCGCCGTCATTTCAACGTTAACTGCTAATTTGATATTATTTGGAGTATTCGTTGGATGTTTCTTGGTATTAAGAATTAAATTTAAGAGGACGTACTCGCCAAAGTATTCATACGATTTGGTTCCGGAAGAAAAAAAACCAGATGCATTACCTAGAGATCCGTTGAGATGGATCTACATATTGTTGATGAAACCCGATTCGTTTATTATTCAGCAGGCAGGCCTTGATGGGTACTTTTTTTTGAGGTACCTCTTTGTTTTCGGGCTTATATTTATGTTTGGAATCGCTATGTTTGCGATCTTATTGCCAGTGAATGCGACAAATGGTGGATCAAAAGCAAAGACTGGGTTTGACCAGTTGGCCATATCGAATGTTTTGCACAAAAATAGATACTTTGCCCATGTTTTTATGGGATGGATATTTTACGGAGCCGTCATTTACATGATCCACAGAGAATTGTTTTTCTATAACTCGGTGCGTTGTGCTGCTTTATCTTCACCAAAGTATGCAAAAAAATTGTCATCAAGGACTATTTTGATCCAGTGTGTGCCTGATACTATGTTGGACGAAAGGCAATTCATGAAGATATTTAATGGTGTCAAAAGAGTCTACGTTGCTAGAAATGCAAGAAAGCTAGACTATAAAGTTAGGTTAAGAGAGAATGTGGTTTCCAGGCTCGAAAAGGCTGAAAATAAGTTGTTGAAATCTGCAGTCAAAGCCAAAATAAAGGCTGAAAAGAAGGGAACTCCTTTTGATCCAAATGCCGATATCTATAGTTACGTTCCGGCAGAGAAGAGACCTAGACATAGATCGGGTGGTCTCTTTTCAGAGAAAATTGATACTATTAATTACTGCAAAGAGGAAATTCCAAAGTTAGATAAGGAAGTTAAGCTGTTGCAGAAAAAATATAGAACATACCACCCAAAAAATTCTATTTTCGTTGAATTCGAGGATCAATATACAGCACAGTTGGCGTTACAATCGGTAACTCATCATAATCCTTTAAGAATGGGACCAGTATTTACTGGTATAGAACCAGCTGATGTCTACTGGAATAATTTGAGGTTGTTCTGGTGGGAAAAGTTTTTAAGAAAAATGTTTGCTTGCTCTGGTATTGTTCTTCTAATTGTTTTTTGGGCTGTTCCTGTTGCATTCGTAGGTGTTATTTCAAACATTACTTACATTACTAAAATTTTACCATGGCTTGATTGGATTAACAATATGCCAGATAAATTACTAGGTATAATTACCGGTTTGTTACCAACAGCAATGTTATCGCTCTTGAATACATTCTTGCCTATTTTCATCAGATACATGGCTAAGGTCGCAGGTTCCCCAACGGCTCAGCTGATTGAATTCTATACACAAGACGCTTACTTTGGTTATTTAATGGTCAATGCCTTCCTTATTGTAGCTCTTTCATCTTCTGCTACATCGGTTGTTGAGAAGATTATCGATGATCCTACATCGGCCATGGATATTTTAGCTCAAAATTTACCGTTATCGTCTAATTTCTTCATCTCATACATTGCTTTGCAAGGTCTCACAGTTTCTTCAGGTGCATTATTACAAGTCGTTGGTCTTTTCTTGTACTATATTCTAGGAGCTTTACTTGATGCAACCGTTAGAAAGAAATGGAATAGATTTTCTGGATTGGGTACAATGGCATGGGGTACAACCTTCCCAGTTTACACAAACTTAGCCTGCATTGTATTAGCCTACTCAATCATTGCTCCAATGATATTGGCTTTCGCATGCATTGCGTTCTTCTTACTTTACATTGCGTATTGTTACAACCTAACTTACGTATTTATTGAAAGTGCTGATTCTAGAGGAATGCATTACCCAAAAGCCTTGATGCAAACATTCGTTGGCATTTATATTGGCCAAGTTTGTTTGTTAGGTATTTTTGTTGTTGGTAAAGGTTGGGGACCAATCGTTTTACAAGCCATTTCTCTCGGATTCACTATCATGACGCACATTTATTTGAATGATGCTTTCCATCACCTTCTTCGAGTAGTTCCAATTGACTGTATGAAACCTTTGGACGGTGTTTCTCATACCCCATCGTTCCAAGGAAAATCAGATTACCAAGAAAAAATGTTAGAAAGAAAGAAAGGTTCAAAGTCAGATCGCTTAGAGAAAGAGATTGCTCTTGATAAGAAAGCTCAAGAGGAAGTTAAGAACGATATTTTGAATACCGATATGGAACTTAACGAAAATGAAACGAAACAAACCTTGGTACCTCTATTAGCCGATAGAGACTTCAAAACAACGCAATCATCTAATGGTTTCGTCAGGTTTTTCAGACCAGATGTTTTTCTCAACTACAGACATGTGAAGTCTCTCTTACCAGCGACATTTAATGTTGAGCCCGAAGAAGGCGATGACAGGCACGCGTATGATTCGCCTGTGATTGCTGCACCTTTACCATCTGTTTGGATTCCAAGGGACCCAATGGGATTATCTACAAGAGAAGTTGAAGAACATTCCAAATACATCAACATAAGTGATGAAAATTCAGGGTTTAATGAAAAAGGAAAGATTATTTTCCTTGGTAAAGCTCCGAATTAGGTCTCTTCAAACTCCACTATTTATAGTTTGATTTTTCTTCAATACTCATCAAGCATATATATATATTATAAGTTATAATTACATTAATGCGCGTAAGAGGCATCGTCCTAAATAAGTTTAGGATTGATGGCCATGTCAGAAATAAACTTCAAGGAGTTTATTGGTATCGAAGGAAATGTTGTTGAGTCTTATCTTCTCTAAAGAAGAGGAAAAACGTACCCTGCAATCAATTCTCCCGTTGACAAAGAGGGATGTATTTGTTAATATGAGTTAATCATTACCTTTTCAATTGATAAGACCTAAGGGACCTACCAATGACAATACATGTCGTAAGTGTAAATTATTCATAAGCAATTAGAATTAAATATATGAACTATGAGTCCATTGAAAACTTCACCTTATTTTTTAATCTGGATGGAACGTCAGAGTCATGGGAGGGTAAGACTACAGTGGGCTCAGAAAGAGAAAACTCTTGAATCTTCTTCAAGGTCTTCATAGTCATCTCGGGGTCAATGGTCATACTATCAATTATCCCATTCTTCAAACTTTGTTCGCTATATACAGCATCACCAGTGATAAAATAAGATATGTCGTCATCTCGAACGATAACGGAAACATGACCATCTGTATGACCTGGAGTAGGAACAATAATAACACGCTGATCCTTAGTCACGTAGTATGATGAATCAAAAGGTCCAATTGCTTCATCTTTGAATTCAATAAACTCTGGCCTAAACCAGAAAGGAAACCACTGGGGCAAATAACCATAAAATTTACCTTTCAACCCAAGAGCATCATTGTAGTTCACTTTCGTTGCCAAAATACGATTATGTGGAAAATGGACAAGGCCGCCTGCATGGTCCAGGTGAAAATGGGATAAAATTACCGCTTTGATATCTTCATTAGTATTTATGCCCAATTTCGATAGCTGAAATCCTATTTCTTCTTCTGGTGCTATCTGATATTCAACAACAGAGCGCAGAATAAAGTTCCACCATGTGAGATATCCTGGAAAGGCACTTCTCCATGCATCACCTGTATCAACTAAGTAATAACCTTCGGGATGCTCAATTAAAAAGCAGTATATTGGTAGAGGATCAAGCCATTCATTATCTAAATACATGTCAATTTTACGACGAAATGCTCCATGGCTTTCAATTGGGAACTTTTGGACTTTTTTGATTTTCACACTTCCAGTCTGAATAGTATATGGATCTTAATCATTATATTCAATTTGGATGAAATTTTCTCTATGCTATATGATTTACTGATAAAGATGATTTATATATATATATGAAAAGTTGTTACTAATCGTTATGCATAATATGGCGGAGATAAAAAGCTAATTCCGGTCCTACCGAGGGGTAGGAGAAAAGTGAACCTCGGCAAGTGAAATCGATAATGACAATTAGCAGAATCATCGCTTCACTGTAGATACATAGCGGTAAAATATATGACATATGTCTCTTTTGAAAAGTTTGTTATCAAAGAATGGTGAATCACTATTGCGTACCAGTATGAATAAAACAGCAATTTCAAGATTATTTATCACCAAACTGCATCTTCAACCTACTCGATGTAACTCCATTTTACATACACCACAAAATAGTATAGGTAACGTTGATCAAGGTGTAAAGTACACAACTGATTTTAGGAATTATGCGATCAATAAGGAAAATGGAGAAGTTTTATCTTATTTTCATGACATTCCTTTGGATTTAGACTTAGAAACCAAGACAGCGAATATTGTGGTTGAGATTCCACGATGGTCCAATGGAAAGTTTGAAATAAACACCGAATTGGCTGGCAATCCTATCACACAGGATGTTAAGAAGGGAAAGGTGCGTTTTGTTAAAAACTTATTCCCATACCATGGATACATTCATAATTATGGAGCTTTCCCGCAGACATGGGAGGATCCAAATACGAAGAACGAAGAGTTAGGCTTATTTGGAGACAATGATCCATTGGATGTGTGTGAAATTGGGTCTAGTATTTGCCAAACTGGTGATATCAAGCGAGTCAAGATCTTGGGGTGTTTAGCATTAATAGATGATGGCGAATTGGACTGGAAAGTTATCGTAATCGATACTAATGATGCATTATCACAAGAACTTCGTGATATCCATGATGTGTATGTTAAATGTCCTGGGTTACTAGAATCTACTAGACAATGGTTCCGTGATTACAAAAAGCCCGATGGAAAGCCTGAAAATGAGTTCGCTTTCAATGGAAAATACAAAAACCAACAGGAAACAATAGAGATTATTAAGGAATGTAATGCTTCGTGGCAGAAGTTGATCAATGGACAAGTGACCAGTGGAAAGATTCCTAAAACCGAAAATGTCACCTTTACAAATAGTCCTGGACATGTTTCAAAGTTCGATACTCAAATTCTGTTAGAAAATTCTTCCAAGCCTGCCGCTGAAATTCCCTCAGAAGTTGACAAGATCTATTTCTGTGGAGGCGACTAGTTTGCCTGTTATTTCTTATAGTGATAGTCAAAATGCATTATTTATTTTCTAGAATGTAATATTCGTTTCTCACGTAGATTGTATTTAGGCTTTCGCAGTTATTTCCTATTTAGGAAGTCAAAAATTTCCACCATCTCATACATCGAAACAAAAACATTATAGACAACAGCGTAAAAGATCCAATACTAGGTCCACATTATAAACAGATATTCATAAAAGGTTTAAATATGCCTGTTTCTACTGTGGAGATAAGGGCGTCCAAGGAGGTTAAACCTTTGAAACCTATTCAACCTACTCAATTATGGGGATTTGACAATGCCCTATCATTATTGAAATCATACCAGGATCCATATATCCTTGATGCATTAGACGAATTTCTACTTATCAACAGCAAGTTATTGTTGAATCCTTTACCATTCAAGCGTGTGTCAAAAATTTCTATTAAGGATGCTAAAGAATTATCGTTGCGTAATATATTATATTCAGACATAACATCAAATAATATCAAAGATGCCGAAACCATAAGTAATATTTTGAATTTAGACTACAATGACGTTTTAAGAGTAGTGAGTCAAACTTGCAAACGGATACCTGAAAGAAAGATTTACAATTATGATAAATTAAAATCCAAATTGCCAGATGATAGAGAAAAGTATCTAGAAGAAGAAAGAATTTTGTTATATTCCAGTAGAGTATTAAGAGAAAGAAGAGTGGTTCTTCGCTTGGTAATTGAATTGTTAAATAATAAATCCAATTCAGAGACTTCATCCACCATTCAAAATTTGGGAAAGGAAATATACCTTTCACAAACTTACACCAACGACTTAATTAATAGTTTGGAAGAGTTAATCAAATCAGTGACTAGTAGATCATTTATTACTGGGTTTTCAGATGCATTAGATGAGATAATAAATACGGAGAACCTTCTTCTAATTATTGATCAAATGAAAATATTAACAGAATTGCTTGTTCAAAATCCAAACATACATCCAGATACGACTAACAATTGGTTTAGATTTATGGGTTCAAATAACTTTATTCAGTCTTTGGGTCCATATGTTTCCCATAATGAATCATTCATGTTGATGCAAGCACTTGCTACAGTTATCTCAATATTGTTTTTGGATTTGGAGAACAACTACGGATCAGAAAATGAATCTGATAAGTTTATGAATAATGTTGACATTTTCAAATCAATTAATAACTCAATAACTAATCCATCCAATTTAAATTCTGTTGTAATGTACAGCTGGTCAATAATTCTATTAAGAAAATCATTACTTTTAGAAGAATTCAAAGACCTTCCATCGTCTGTAGCATTTACCAAAAAATTTTCGGTTCAGCAAATGGATGATTCTATTAATAACTTGAATATGAGATGTGTTCAATTGGGTGTATTTGAGGAGTTGGCAAAGCTTAACAATTTACTTAAATTTGATAATATTTATCCGGCCATATTAACGTCTGTTATATTGTCTGCTATGCCATTAATTTCATTCACACCAGAAATTGCATCCAGCATTGAAAGCGTCTTGAAAACGGCGCCAAACAGTGTTCTTGAAAAGTTCTTCGACAGTGAAGCGACCGCGAATGCAATAATTTTGTCGAGAACTAAGTTCCCAGTATCCTTAACTCCATACTTGAAGCTTGCATCAATTAATGGTAATTTTGCTTTTAACGAGTTTGAAGAGTTAAAGTCATACATTTCAGTTTTCAAGAAAGAAGAATTTAATAACTTATATCAAATAGACGACGAAAATACTGAATTGGTTAAATTGACACAGTGGATTGATGTGTATCCACCATATGAGGTAAACAAAAAGTTATCATTACTTTTGAATGTTGGTACGAAGGCAAAAATTTTACCGTCTGCAAATGAAGATGAAGTTTTGGTTACTTTCTTGTACAAATATAATGGCTGGGCGTTTTTAGGACGGGTATTGCAAAATGTTTCAAGAGTCTTTGATAGTTCTGATCACGAAAAAGTAGAATTTGTCATAAACATATTAAATCTCTTAACGAAAGCTGTTTTGGATAATAGTTCTGATGATGCGCAAACAATTTTGCAATACATGTCAGCTTATACCGATGATTCTGATATTGTTGAGGTAATTTTAAGATTATTTGAACAAGCGTTACATGCCCGTAAAGTCGATATTTTAGAATCAGTTATTAACTTCTTGACTGCCTCGATGCCATTTTTATCTTTCAGAATTTGGCCTTATTTATCAAAGTCTTCTTTATTATCAAATGGCGGTAAAGAGGGGTTTGCATCAATAATTTTCGGAGCTATTGAAATGGTGAATGGAGATTATAAATTCACAGTATCTTTGATAAAATTAGCAGATTCGCTAGTACAAAACTGCTTAACCTTACAAGATGATTATCCAGAGAAATCTAAAAGCACTATTTTAGACAGGATTATCTATCATATGATTCTTATATTTGAAAGTTTTATCCATTGCAGATTTAATGAGTCTTATCAAAAAATGGAAATTGGTGTTTTAATTTTAGATATTTTATCAAATATTTTAGCAACTGTTCATGGAATTGTGAATGAAACAAAATCAGCTAATAGAATTGCAAAAATATTTTCAGAGGCATCTGCTCGAATCATTGATTCATTTTTGGTTGCTGGCACAGAATTTTCGAGATCTGCATTACCAATTTTATCTATGATTGAATCACTCAGTGCAAATATGAGCTTGTATGAAATTAGAGACATATCAGGATTCTGGTATGATAACTGGATACGTTGCTCTTTCGCATTTTCACAGCTTATAATATCTATTAGGTCTGTGTTGAATTTACCTCCATCTGCTTTTGAAAGATCATTGTTTACGAAGTTGACACTGTTAGTTAATACCTATTCTCAATATGAAACTTTGAGGAAGGACATTTTAGACTTAATAACAACCTTAACAAATGGTAAATGGCTAAATGAACCAACTCCTTCTTTATTATCCCATTTAGGCCGCGATCATGCCCAGGTTTTATTGCATTCATTAGCCTCTGATTTAGAAAATTCATTTGATGATTACAAAATGAAGATCTCATTATATGACTTTATTTGCGCCGTTATGGATGGTAATCAAGAAGGTTTGTCAGTATTGTTTATTAGTGGAAGAGATGTATTTGGTGATTTTACTAAGTCTTCTAATACAAACCCTGACGATCAGAAACCTATTTCATTGTTAAGTATTTTAAAGAAGAACGTCCGGGACATAAAATATTATCCTAATTCTGTCAGTCTCCATTTGGCTGATGCAATTTCATTAGCGTTTAATTCTTGGACAACTGCGAGAGAGAATGATAATGATGTGGAGTTTGTTGACGAATTGATCCTTAAGATACAGTCACCTATTAATGACTTACCTGGAAATACAGAAGAATATATTGCTGCGTGTTACGAACTTAAATTAGTGTCGAAGATAGCAGAAATATTATCCTCTTTTTTGTTTACTACAAAAAATGAGGTTTGCAAGAGAAATATTGTAAATCTATTAACTTCTGATGATTTCATAGCTACTATGGAAAAGCAGTTTCGGATCAATAATTATCAACCTACGTTGCACTCCAATTTACAGGTTGATTTCGAAAATTCATTTTCTGGATTCGAGTTATCCCAATTCACCTGTTCTTTATTAAAGAGGAATAGATTTGGAGTTTCTACGGTTTACAGCTTGGTTTTGATGGATAGACTTTTTAATAATTCACCAGCCTGGGATCAAATACGAGAGCAAGTCGTTGCTTCAAGTATTAATTTACAGTACTTGAGCGCTCAAGCCTCGGTTGCTAAATCATTTGGTGCGTTGCTCACAGCTTTTTGCAGAAGATTTCCTTCATCATTGAATACAAAATTCTTGAACTTGGTATCACAATTATTGAGAATAAACGTTTCGGAGGGTGTCCCAGCAGAGTTCTTTGCAGATGTGTTTCAAGGACGTATTGAATTGGCCTTCTTTATTGAATACACTATATATACTACCCCCGAAATCAAAAAGGATTCAAAGATAGCCCTCGAAATTATAAAGGGTTGTTCAGAATTATTATCTGCCTCAAGTATGAATTTCCTCAAAAATTTGAATGAAGATTCAGGTAATTATAGACCTTTGCTTCGTATCTTATATTGCTCTTTGAACATAGTGAAGGATGACTCTGGCATGTTAATTGAGTATTTGAGTATATTCCGAGACCTATTTGAGCTCATTATCACTAAGGCCACTAAAAACTTATTCATTGAAATTCAAAATGATGTTTATTTATCGCGTACTGAAAAGGGCCATGTCTCAAATAAGATGAATGGAAGATTGGACGACCTAATGTTGATCTTGTCAATCTTGAAAGTTTTTGTGAATATGAAATCATCTCCTAGTTTAAATTATGAAATGGCTTCATTGATTGATAATAATGGTACCATAAAAGCTCTATTGAATCTTTACTTATTGTCTCATTTGATAGAGGTTAATGACGAACACATTTTTGCTCAATTAAGTTTAATGTTTATTCAAGAATTAATGACCATCGAAGTCATGGCAGAAAAATTAATCTCATCTGGAATGTTCTTGGTGATAGTGCAGAGTAAAATATCCAGTCCTATTCAAGCTGGTGGCATCAATTCTCTGACATCACCTCATTACCACAGAATTTGGACTAATGGGATTTTACCAATATTCTTAACTGCATTATCTAGGCTTGGGCCAAGCATTATTCCGGAAGTAAGCTTGGCACTTCAAGCATTTGGCAAGCAAATCGAGTCTTGTATCGAGAGTTGGTCAAAGGACTCATCCATGATAAGAATTACATCTTCCATGATATCTGAAACTAGTCAAATTTTGCTATTATTCAAAATCTTACAATCATTAAATATTAATGAATACTTAAATCAAGCAGATATTGGAAATGCTGAAACTATATCTGATGCTATTGATATGCAAATATTACCAGGTTTAGAAACTGAATCTAAGCGTGATGATTTTGTAGAATGTATCAATAATTTGTTAAAACACCCAAAGTTCTTATCCTCAAGAATACTTCCATGTTCACCAGAGGAGCAAAGAATGGTAGAAAAAGGGGATGTTGCTTATAGAAAATTTATTAATAATTCAATCGAAGAAATCCGTGAGTTAAAAGATTTCATCAATCATTAAATCATTTATAGAAGTATGTATTCCTACTAGAATAAAATTAATCTTCATTTTGGTACTCGTTTAAACTAAACGAAAAAGCGCGATGTTTTCAAAAGAGCCTTTGACACTGAAATATTCTGAATTTCAGCTAATAACTATCGAAGTACATCCATGTCGGTCTCTCCTTTCTTGGTTAGTGCTCCTGGTAAGGTGATTATATACGGAGAACACTCAGCAGTGTATGGTAAACCAGCGATTGCAGCCGCACTTAGTTTAAGAGCATATTTGTTGGTTACACCAAGTGAAGACCTGAACGTTATAAGATTGGATTTTCCAGATATTGAATTAACACATTCTTGGAATAAAGATGAAATACCTTGGGAGGATATTCGAAAATATATTACGTTTGAAGATGAAAAGCCTGTTATAACTGAAGAATTGGTTCCAGAAATTATTGATTCATTAAGTACTGTTTTAGGTAATGTTGACTCTAAATTGCATTATACGGCTTGTTTATGCTTTCTTTACTTGTATACAAATTTATGTAACAAGGATATTCCAGGTATGAGGTTCATTGTAAAGTCTACATTGCCTATTGGAGCAGGTTTAGGATCATCAGCTTGTACAGCCGTATGTCTTGCAAGCGCGTTAGCTCGTCTTGGTAAACATGTTTCAGCGGCATGTCATACTGCTGCTGAAAAAGTTACCAAGAAAGAAAATTCTGATTTAGATTTTATCGATAGTTGGTCTTTAATGGGAGAAAAATGTTTCCATGGTAATCCTTCAGGAATCGATAACGCAGTGGCTACATACGGTGGTGCAGTCATGTTTCAAAGAACAACATTACCATCTCAACCATCTGTGCGTACTACTATGAGAAATTTCCCACCTATAAAATTATTGCTTACGAATACCAAAGTTCCAAGAAGTACAGCTGCTTTAGTAGGTAATGTTGCTCAAGTTAATAGGGCCTATCCAAAATGCGCTGGCTCAATTTTAGATGCAATGGAACATTTAGTACTTGAGGCATATCAAATAATGATTAGACCAACATTTGGTAAAGAGGAGAAAGACCAATTGCGTGAACTAGTTAATATTAATCATGGGTTATTAGTTGCTTTAGGTGTTTCCCACCCTGCCTTGGAAAAAATTAAAATTATCGGAGATACTCATAATATAGGTTCTACCAAATTGACTGGTGCTGGAGGTGGTGGATGCGCTATTAGTTTAGTTCACGATGATGTGGAAGAAGAAGTTCTTCAAAAGGCAATCAAAGAGTTTGAAAATGAAGGATATGAAACCTTTGAAACTTCCTTAGGCGGAAAAGGAGTAGGATGTTTATCATTGGAGGATGTTAGCAAAGACAAAAGAGAAAATGTATTTTCAGCTGAAGTGTTTTCAAGTTTTAAAGATAGAGATGAAGTTGAAAAGGCTTTAAAGTCTGAGATTTACGAATCTTGGAGATTTTGGTAGTTTCAAGTCATAAATAATATAGATTGTAAACTAAATATGTTGCTAGTGTATATAAAAACTATTTACAGCTTTAATAATAGAAATCAAATACCTCTGTTGAATTCTAAATATTCAATGTTATCGCCATTTTTGTCTTTTAAACCATGGAATTTTTCTTCTAATTGAGATACCAATAATTGCCTTCTTTGAGGGAATATTGCCAAAGCAAAAGGTAACGCTGCCAAAGCAGTTGTAAAAATCAATCCCATGTTAGTAGCAATCTCCCACTTTTTGGATTTGCCTTTTAAGAAACCTGACTTTTGTAATTTGACCAAAATCAAAGGTGGAACAACCATTACAGGTGTTGCATTTATGACACGACTGGCAGCGGTCTCACTAACAGCATATACAGCAGCAGTTTGAGATATGCCGACTTCTTTTCCTTCTTTATCATAGACATTGATACCCTTTTTTATTTCCTCACTTCTCATCAAGAATACGTTGACTACACCTGCAGAAACAACAGCTGCAAAAGGAACTAATCGACCTAAAATCATTCTTGTACTAGGCTTTAAAGATTTCAATTTTGGAACTATAGCATTTAAACCTAAGGCAACCGAGCAAGAAGCAGTCACGGCCATAGTATAGTTTGTGATAATCTGTTGAGTGCTCAATGGATGCGATTTATTAGCATTAGCTGTGTTAATAGCAACATTTAATGACTGGTTAGCTACTTGCCAAAAAACTGTTCCCGCTGGACCTAAGTTTGGTGTTAACATACCAGCAGTAACAACTAAATTAGACAAGACACATGAACTCATTCTGAATGGTAAAAATACTGTTTCTCCAGTATCTGGATGTAAGGTAGAATCCAAAACCCTTTTAGCTCTCCATAATTCTGGGGTCATACTAGGTCTTACACCATTACGATATTCCCAGATCATTATCTTAGCAGCTTGAATATCTTTAGTAGAATTCAACAACATAGTTGGGTCAGAGATTTCAGCACAGTGCTTTACCCTTCCCCAGTATGTTGATAAATCATACTTTGATTCAGGTAATGGAACAGGTCCCGAGATTGAGGACGCCATGGTCAAGTTATGCTTTTATAATATTTCCAATTAAAAGATAGATTATATGGTCTTAAAGAAAACCTTGAGTCATATCGCGATAAAAACTCAATATAATTTTTGCACAGTCTTTCTACATACTGAACTATAGTCAGAATGGTAAGAAAATTAGGCATAACATTAGGCATAGGAGTTGATATTCTCAAGACAAATAGGTTTAAGGAATTGCTATTATCGAAGGGTGAACTCAATTCACTGTTTACTTCTAGGATGTCGTCAAGAATATTACATCCAGAGTTCGAGTTACCCAAATTTAACGAACTTAAAGATAGCAATAAACTAAACGAATGCATATCTCTAATATCCGGTAGTTGGGCTTCAAAAGAAGCAGTTTATAAAACTTTAGATTGTGAATATCAAAAACAGTTTCAGTTCAAAAATTGGTATAGATATTACAACGAGCAAGGGAAGCCTTTTATACGAAGTGATTTCTACAAGAAAGAAAATGAAGAGTTTCATTTAAGCATATCTCATGATGATGGGCTATTAGTAGCGACTGTCTTGAGACAAAAAATTTACGAATTAATGAACGAGGATTTTATAGGTAGTTAATAATAATTATACGACAAATTGAAAGTAGTCTATCTACGATATAGCGACGACATTATTCCCATTCGACAGTTGCTGGTGGCTTGGAAGTGATATCATAAGTGACACGAGCAACGCCGTCGACTTCATTGACAATTCTTGAAGCGGTCTTCTTCAAGAAAGCTGCTTCAAAAACGAACCAATCAGCAGTCATGAAATCAACCGTTTCAATGGCTCTTAAAGCGATAACTTGTTCATAAGTTCTTTGATCACCCATAACACCAACAGACTTAACAGGTAATAAGGCAGCAAAAGCTTGAGAAATGTCCTTGTACAAACCAGCTTTTTTAATTTCTTCAATGAAAATGCTGTCAGCTTCACGAGCGATTTTAAGTTGTTCTCTGGTAACTTCACCTAAAACTCTAATAGCTAAACCTGGACCTGGGAAAGGATGTCTCCAGACTAAATCGTGAGGAACACCCATAATTTCACCTAAGTGACGAACTTCATCTTTAAATAATTCTCTCAAAGGTTCGATTAATTTTAATTTCATATCTTCTAACAAACCACCGACATTGTGATGGGTCTTGATAGTTTGAGATGGTCCCTTAAAAGAAATGGATTCAATGACATCTGGGTATAAAGTACCTTGTAATAAGTATTCGATTTCTTGGCCAGATGCTGGCTTAATCTTAGCAGCTTCAGCTTCAAAGACGTGAATGAAGTTGTTACCGATAATCTTTCTCTTTTTTTCTGGATCAGTAACACCCTTCAATTTACTTAAGAACAAATCGGTTGCATCGACAACAGTCAAGTTAATACCTAAACCTTCAGTTAAAGTCTTGTAAACTTGTTCAGTTTCGTTTAATCTCATTAAACCATTGTCAACGTAAATGGCATGGAAACGGTCACCGATGGCTTCTTTCATAATCTTAGCACCAACAGTAGAATCGACACCACCAGAAACAGCACCAATAACTTCAGCAGTTGGACCGACTAATTTTTGAATTCTGGCAATTTCAGTATCAATGAAATTTTCCATAGTCCAGTTGTTGGAGGCTTTACAGATATCAATAGCAAAGTTTCTCAATAAAACTTTACCTTGCTTGGTGTGAGTGACTTCTGGGTGGAATTGAATACCAAAAATACTTTCCTTTTCGTGGGAAATGGCAGCAAATGGCGAGTTGTCAGAAGTAGCAACAACCTTGAAACCAGTTGGCAAAGCGTGCAACTTGTCACCGTGAGACATCCAGACTTGTGAGTGGTCAACGCCATTGAATAAAGCACAAGACGCATCTTCAACGTTCAAGGTAGCTGGCCCGTATTCTCTCTTGTCACCTCTAGCAACTCCCTTACCGTTAATCCAAGCTAATTCTTGCATACCGTAACAGATACCCAAGATTGGCACGTCCAACTTGAAAATATCGTGGTCAACGTGGGGAGATCCTTCCTCGTAAACTGAGTATGGTCCACCGGACAAAATGATACCCTTTGGCTTCCAGGTTAATTCTGAAATCTTTTGGGTGCATGGCAACATTTCAGCGTACACATTAAATTCTCTCAAACGACGAGTGATTAAATGGGAGTATTGGGATCCAAAATCCAAAACCAATATGGTGTCGAAAACTTTAGAAACTTCAATTGGAACGTCAGCAGGATTAACCATTTTTGATATTGATATTCTAATTTATGCTATTTGATATTAAAACGAGAAGTTACTTCCCAAGATCTAATACGAGATGATTATTTGGCGATAATTTCGATTGTATTTATACTAAATTTTTTTTTAATGCTCATCGAAAATTTTATTACTCACACGTCCAACGGAGTCAACCCCTGTGGGATCTATGGTGGAATTACAAGTGTTTCTATGATTTGATATTATATGCTTTTATGTATACGACTCGACGAATCCCCTTAATTATGATTTAAAGCGGCTACATATACTTGAATTAAGGTATTTATTGTGAATAGGTATTCAAGCAATGACTCTGTGTGTATTAAGATTTTCCGCGTTCATATTGCATTGGTTGCACAATTGCAAAATTATTCTACCACGATAAGTTTATTTGTGTTTTGTTTTGCAAGCAGTTATCAAGACTTTATCGGTGTAAAGCCATAGAATAAAGCATAAAATCCTATAACCCAAGGAAACAGCTGGTCTAGTTTTGTGGAAATTAGCTTGAAATCCGCTCAGTGAACTTTTGTATTTGGTTCCATAGCCAGCATTATCGACTCAGAATATCAGATATGAGATCTTTACCGCCACCTAGAGTTACGAGAAAAAGAAGATGGATGAGAATCAAACGTGCCATTCGATCGTTCTTTGCAAAGGGGTATGTGACCGACCCAGGGGCATTCATGCCTACGTCTGCCAGTAACAGACGGTCTATTTCTACAATCAGGAAATCCAGATTTTCACCAAGGTTTCGTAAGTCACGAATCAACCGGTCAGAAATTGGCATAAGGGAAGGAGCCAATGCGGGCATTGCAACCGCATCTTTCGTGGGAAAAATGGCATCTCGAGCATCGATGCCTGTACTAAGACGGCATGGTCCCAAAAACCTGATGAATTTGACAGTCAGATTCTAGTATTTTTAGATTCGCTTAGCTATTTTCTTTAGTACATCCGAATGCAGTTAATTTCGACATAGTACACTTTGTGCCAATAGTTCGGCCAGGCGCCAATCTAAATCTAAATGTTGCTTCTCTAGGAAGTAAGTATTATGTCTGACAGGAAAAATCACGTGACCGATATATTGTGAAAAATATTTAGAGATGAGATAAATTTTTTATGAAGAGATGGTATAACGATAATAAAGGAAACCTGGATTCAATATTAAAGCAAATATGGCGGATGACAAGTCACAAATTAAGATTAAGTTCTTCACTAACGAGGAAGATGAATCTTTACACACATCAGATGCTCCATTGTACGTGCCAGTGTCTTTAAAAAGATATGGGTTATCAGAGATCGTCAACCATTTATTGAAGAAAGATGGCGAGACAGATGAAACCAAGCCAGTCCCATTTGATTTTCTTATTGATGGTGTCTTGTTGAGAACATCATTAGAAGATTACTTGGTGAAAAACGGGTTATCCAGTGAAGCATCGTTGAATTTGGAATATACCAGAGCCGTCTTACCTCCGTCATTTTTAGCATCCTTCAACAACGATGATTGGATTTCATCCTTAGATACCATAAATCCAACATCAGCACCGGTTAAGGCTTCAAACATGAATATTACAGAACCAAAAATTTTGTCTGGTTCGTACGATGGTATTGTCAGAACATACAATATGTCTGGTAAGGTTGAAAAACAGTATGTGGGCCATTCAGGACCGATTCGTGCAGTTAGATGGATTTCCCCAACAAGAATTGTTTCATCTGGTAACGATAGACAAGTGAGATTATGGAAAACTTCAATTGATAGCAATATAGAAGATGATGAAGAAATTGAAGATGGTAGAACATTAGCCATATTAGAGGGACATAAAGCACCTGTTGTATCTTTAGCAATCGAATACCAAAACAATCGTATTTTATCAGCGGGTTATGATAAAGCCATTGGATTTTGGTCAACCAATTACAAGGAAATGACAACCATCCAACCCTTGGAATATGATTCTAATGTCATATCAACTTCTTCGAAGAAGAGAAGAAAGATGGCATTACAAGATTCAACTATAAGACGTCGTTCACCTCTTTCATTCTTGGAAGGCCACTCTCAACCAGTTGAAGATGTTATATTTGATTTCAATGATTCAACTGTTGGTTACTCCGTATCACAAGATCATACAATTAAAACATGGGATTTAGTAACCTCTCGTTGTGTGGATACAAGAACCACCGGATACTCATTATTATCATTATTACAGTTGCCATCCTTGAATTTATTAGTGTGTGGTTCATCGGCCCGTCATATTAATTTATTTGATCCAAGAGTTAGCTCAACTACTACCGAGCAAACTAACAATCAGAAATTAATAGGACACACTAATTTCGTGGTTGGATTATCTAAATGTCCAACTAATGACAATATGTTTGCCTCATGTTCTCATGATGGTACTGTTAAGGTTTGGGATGTTAGAAGTGAAAAATCTTTGTATACCATAACCAGAGAACAAAACAATGCAGCTAAAGGTCAAGATAAAGTATTATCTGTCATTTGGGATAAAGACATCGGCATTATTAGTGGTGGTCAAGACAAGAAAATTCAAATTAACAAAGGATCTGATATTACCAAATAAAACTATGTACAATATATAAAATATAATCCCTTTTAATAAATAGTATTATAGAATCACTTTCTAGAATTCTCCTTCCTCGCTGCATTCCACATGGTCAACCCATAATATCCTTGCCACATACTCTGTTTATCCGTCATATAACCAACTAGCTGATTATCAGAGCCAGCAAGACTATTAGCGGATTTTATATCTTTCCAGCCCATTGCTTTGCGAATCTTTTTCAATTCGTCAGAATTTAACTCTACTTGAGCAGCAGTGCCATATTTCAAGGGACCTATATTTATCCAATAGCCATTTTTGATTTTATTCTTTCTATTTGGTGTTGTTAATTCCTGAATGGTATCTAAATAACTAACCAAATTTTCTGCAGTGTCAATGAAGAATGCTGAAACAACGACAATATTTTCAAATTGTGATTTATTTGGAACCTCAAAATAACGGAAGTCTTCGTGGTTTAATGCTAAATTTTCCGGTTTGGCTTGGCCACTATGTACCATAGATGATCTAAATTGAGATGTGCTGTCAATGAAGTTCGAACAAGAATGGATATACGGAAATAGATCATAATCCTTTTCTTCATTTTCTAATGAATAAATAAATTCATTGCATAAATGCATCAATCCACTGTATTCTATCGCATGAACTGCACCATATCTGGTTTCGTTTTCAGAGCCTATATTTGCAATTTCATGGGCTATTCTTCCTAGTCCTGAGCCTGGTATTATGATGCAAGTCTTTGATCTTTCCTGCACCGGGATTACATGATTCAATTGCTCATTTATAAAATCCATCATAGGCTTCAACTCGGCTTCCCCATCAGGACTCCAGTCTCTTATGTAGTGTCCTAACGCTTCAATTACCCTGTAATTGGTAGATGATGTATTGCTACTGTTTGATCCTTTCAATAAATCAAAATCTTCATACGATATACCAAACTTTTTAACTGCTCCATCTGCAATGGCTGATAATATTTTTTGATTATAGCTTATTGACTGTTCGATTTTCGTCAATTTCTTCAAGTACCCTACATCTTCACATAGTTTTTGTTGTCTCCATGTCATCATCTTGAATAATCTCTTTCTCCGATCGTTCACATTCTTTGTATTAGCAGAATATGCTTGCAAAGATCTTATGGCCGACAATATTTCGATTCTCGAGTGCTCACTTATAGATTGAAAATGATTATGACCAATTGGGTTCTCCACACGTGGAATTCTAGGAACAGATTGATCCCCGATAGTTTTGGTTACATCTATTTTTGATATCAAATTCTTAAAAGCCCCAGTACGTGATATCATATTAGTACAAATAAACACAACTACCAAAATGGGGATTTGAGAATTTCCGAGAACGAAGGATAGCACTATGTAAACCAATACACAGGTGAATGCTGTAGAAAGCAATAATACTCTATCTGAGGGCGTTCTAGATGAATAATGAGGCCTAGACGTCTCCATGAATCAGATTATGCCTTAAAAAATGGTATTTGATCATAGTAGATCTGTTGAAATCGATATTGATGGTCGAGATTGGTAAACGACACAAAATCGATTGTGAAGAACTCTTACTGAAATCATAAAGCACTTGAAGAACAAACGAAATCCAAAGTCAATACTAATATATGCTAACATACAAACAAAATCAAGGCGATGTTTGATTTCGATGATATAACTCCCGTTAAGCTTAATGAGGAAGAACCACAATTGTGTCAGATATTATACGATAATGAATACAAGGAAACGATGGGATTATTACTAGCATTAATGCAGAAAGATGAACATTCAGAAAGAGCATTATGGGTGACGGAGAAGGGAATCGAGTTATTGGCATCTCATTATACCATCTGGAACTATAGATATAACATTTTGATAGGCCTAAACAAGGACTTGTATGAAGAACTAGATTGGTGTGAGCAAATAGCACTTGAAAACGAAAAGAACTACCAGATATGGAATTACAGACAGTTGATAATTGAGAAGATCATAAAAGATGATGGAGGTAATGGATTCAATCCGCATCGCGAGTTTCCTATCATGAATGCAATGCTCCAAGAAGATACGAAGAACCACCATGTGTGGTCTTATCGCAAGTGGTTGGTCGAACGGTTTGATTTATATGATGATGAGAAAGAATTGCAATTTGTTGACCAGAATTTGGAATACGACTTGAGAAACAACTCGGCATGGACACATAGGTTTTTTCTCAAATTCGGTCCTCAAAACGTTAGTCAGGATATCGTCACTCAAGAAATTGAACTCACCAAATCAAAAATCTTGATATGTCCGCAAAACCCATCTAGCTGGAACTACTTATTTGGCATTTACAAAAAATTTAACAAAGATGTTAGCGAATTGTATGAGTTTTGCTTGACATTTGCCAACGTACAAGAATCGCCAGATGTGGAGGTGGTTATAACTAGTACTTACGCATTAGAAATGTTAGCTACCATCTACCAGCGTCGTAGGCAACCTGCGTTAGCTGTAAAGGTATATGATCTTCTTTCTACCACATACGATCCCATAAGAGCCAACTACTGGAACTACGAGAAAGGGAAAATAACCGTATAAGAATATAACGCACTTGATGCATATGGAAATAGTACAGTGTCTGTAGCAGATAGCTAATTTAATAATATACCACATTATGCTATTTAGTGATTATCGTATGTTATCATGAAAATCAGATAAAATGCCAATCGTTTTATTTGAAGTCAGATCGCGTAAAGTTGCAAATAATGTTTCAACTTGTGAATATAGTATGCAACGTAAAAGACTCTTCACATATCTCGTATCTTGGCTTATCTTGGGCCATTTAGCAAACGAGAGGTACCAGTTAAGCAAAAGGCAACACACCTAATATACGGCCTAAACTGAAACAGGCACCAGGTCCCACAATATTAGCATATTTAGCAATCGGTGGGAATATCTCCCGAAGATCCCCCACAGTTGTTAGACGAGAGTCCCAAAAGGTCCAAATTTCGATCGATTTCTTTAACCACCACATCTCCTGCCAATGAGGCAAATGCAACTGCTTCGTCCTCGCAACAACCCACTCCCACACCGGCTTTCACTTAGCGTACCCGAGACGCAATTCCGAACCTTATATATTGCGAACCTTATATTTGGGTAATTTATCCTTAAACCTTATCGGGCGATGTAATCTATATCTAGGGACCGACGCTAGCATTATCTTGCTCTTTTCACATGAGGCTTCCACTGTCAGACCCCTTTGGCGAACTACTTGCACATCCGTGGGATATTCCGGCTGTGGTAGTCTGTTTATCCCCTAAATACTGAGCCCCTTCAGCAATATAGAAAACATCAACACCGATATATCTTAGTCTTCAATTGATCGATAACGTAATTCGTCCACAAAGAGACCTTTTGCAACGTGAACATTCAATCCATCCTTTCCCTGAACCAACTCTCTTGTCTATGGTCCTTATCGAAGGTTGCAAAACACCTAAAATATTGCCTATTCGGGGACTCACACCCACCTCTTATCCCTATATAGCGTACCGGCCACCTAGTCGCCGTTGCGGCGGTCGGCTACAGTCTAGACCAAATATGGCTGGAGGTCTAGAACTAGGCTCAGACGTCTTATACACACTATATGCAGTAACACTCCTTTTCGCCGCTAATACTGTCATGCATAACAGCTGTCCGTCCTGTACGGCATTGGGAAACAGATTGACACTACCTTGTTATATACTTTAACCTTTGAGCCTATACTCTAAACTAGCATATTCCATGCGGGAGACTCTCCTTCAGTGTCAACTATTAAAAGTCTATTCTCGTTATCATGGCGACTAACTGTAGTCTTCTAGAATATTATCCAAGTGTACCCATCAAGCATAATTCCCCCCACCAAAATATTTTCATCTGTTTTCGCATCCTGAGATCTGAGAAGGTCTGGGGTGTGCTTTGTCCCTAGTGCGCTAGCATTGTAGGTGATCTGTAATCCGGTGGCTTTTTCGCCAAAACCATGCCTTTGCTTTACTATTTGTTTGGTCTAATTGGGCGTTCTGCGCTTCCCGCGTGATAGTACGTCTATATTTATCCCACAATTTCAATTCTCTTTTTCCACAATAGGATCAAATTAACCGCGACATATCTGACCTAGATCTGTTGTTTTTTGCCTTATACGATTGTAGCAGGCGAATAGTCTACATATTTGCTTGTTACTTCGGACGCTACATGTAAGGATAGAATAGGCAGTTTCGCTTTATCTTCGTGTCGTATTGTTCGGCTATCTGCGCCTGTATATGAACGGAAAAAACCAAAAGTCGCAAAAAAAAATTTTTGAGGCGAAAAATTAGTAACTTCGTACTTTGGATATCATATGTATCCAGTAGCAGGACGCATCAAGATCCTATGACATAAACGAAAAATTATTAAAAGGAGTAGTCAGCACCAAAGAATTGATTATTAGTAAAGAAAGACATTTTTCTTTATAAAATCATTGGTAGAATATATTCAACCTACTATCAGTTTTATATTGTTATTCTAGCTAAATAAGCAGTTGATCTATTTGAGAATTTAGATATTTTTTTATTTTTCCATCACAGGTTTACTAAACAGATTAACAAAAAAAAGTAAACTACTCATCCATATTAGACTCCTATAGTATATAAGTGATACACATAGTGATGAATGGTCTAGGAATAGTTATTGAAGAGAAAGAAATGGACACTGACGGTGTTCAGGTGGCAGAAGAAGAGACCAAGAGAAATAGCTATCTGGGGGTGGTGCCGGTGTCCATGGTGACGCCAGATAGTGAAAGTGAGATATTATTGCCACCATTGCCCACTGATGAGACAGGAACAGTTCCCAGTAGCATAATGAGCGACCACAAGACGTCGGTGGCTACATCCATCTCAAATGACAGCTGTCTGTCGCTTGAGATAGAAACAACAGGGAAAGATTCATTATTCAGCGAGTTTGTACAAAATCCAACATACGAGTTGAATTCGCCAAGTTTGAACATAGATCCGTTGTTTTCCAACTTGGCGTTGAACGAAGCGCCGCAGGTGGCCGACCAGTCAGCCACAACATCACATAATACGTCGCCTTTAAGACGATTGAAGAACTTCAAGAAAGGAATCCGCAAGCTTTCTCTCTCGAAGATGAGTGCTCCTCCGATGAGTGATCTTGTGTCTAACGCTCCATCGAGTGTAAGACCGGGGGTGAGTCCTCTAATCACCGAAGAAACTATCGATTCGTTTCTGTCGGCTTCCACAATCGAATCATTACATTCAGCCGCTAAGGTGAGAAAGACAAGTTTGATTACTCCCATGACGACACCTATTGGTTCGCCTGTAGGGTCTCCTATCATAACGTTATCGGAAAACTTGTCAAGTTCATCGAAAAATGTTAACGACCTTGAACGTAACTTTTTCCGTAACTTAAATATCAATGGCGCTACACCAGAAGTCTCTAAAATGGAAGACTTAACCAAACTCGAGGATTTAATCAACTACCTGAACTTTTTAAACCAGTTGAAGATACAGGTTATCGATGCTTTTGAGTTAACTAAAGAAAGGTTGATTAAATTTGGTTGGTGTTCAGATGACGATTTGAATAACTTACAGTTTCAGAAGGATTCTTCGTTACTGCAAATCGACACTAGAATATTACAGCTCGAAAAAAATTTGAACAAACAATACAACACGTCAATTTTGTTATGTTCTAACAACAAGGTCCAAAAAAAGTCAAACTCTGTTAGTTCAAGTTCTAGCTCGATGGACAATTTTAACTACATCAGTGAAAATTCGAAAGCATCCTCCATTAGCTTGAAAAACTTGGAGAGTAAATGCTTTTCATATCCTGATTTTTAGTTGTTTACTTTTTTGGTGCATACTTTACGTGTTTGCTACTTTTATGAAGCTTATGTCTTTACGGTGGGTTTATTTCAGGGTAATTTGGCGTACTTTTAGATAAGTATGTCCAATTTAAAATGGGTATCTTTTAGCATATTATAGAGAATTTTTAGATAGAATTGATAAGAATAGATTATTATTCATTAGATAAGAGGATACTTCATTTGTAAGAATAGTAAGATATCGGGTTCGTATTTGCGGGACTAGAATTAGAATAAAGATTGCATATGATATTTTATGAGCTATAATGAGTAAGTGAGAAATGTTGTAAACAACGAGATGAGCTTTTGCGGAATTTCTTGTTATGAATTTATACGAAAATCGTTTTCTAACGCAGACTTTTCTTGTTTCGTTAATTCGGATGTGTGAATGTAATGCTTGCGGTTGCTCAAACATTGTTCAACAATTGAATTCAATACGAATACTTGATCAATTGTAACAAAATACTCAACCTATTCGGCAAATTCGTTTAAAACGCTATTGTATAAACTACATGAACCTAGAACTTATATGATCACACATTACGGTGGTAAAATCTTGGGTGGTCAAACTGTTCTGTAAACAGTAAAGCATGTTTCGAAAACGCAGAATCCAAATATGCTACAAAATACAAGCAAACTTAGTATGAGGACGTTATTCGATTTCTTTCTCGCTTTCCTTTTCCCCTCCAGTCACTCATTGATTAAAGAATGGTGCAGTGAATAGGAAGCTTTCGTATCGAAGAAAAACATACAAAACATAATAAAATAATTTTGCTAACAATTTTTTTGAACCTCATCAACCGAGTCGTGCATATTACAATTTACTTGATCGATGGTTGAAGCACTACAACGTAATTTTACTATCAAATATCAGAACATAGTAATACTGGTCATAGCTTTTACATCTTCTAATGAATTGTCATAATATCGAAAAAAATATGCATTCTATGTAAATTAAATATACAGACTATCTTCACTGGTTGGTGTCAGCTTTTTATATTGGTTGATCATCTGTTCATGCTTTCTCTTTCTTTCTCCAGATCCCAATTGTCGTTTATGCCTTCTGCTTTTCAAATGTATTTGCCAATTTTCCTCTCCAACGGCAATTAGATTCTTTCCTTGCTTATCTTTGCATACCTTGCATTCATAATGCTTCCAATTCTTTTCAGAACCCAATTTCTTATTGCTATTGATGTTGTCGAGAAAGCTATTATCAGGGAAGATATCTTGTAAATGTTCTGGAGCTTGTACATGGGTCACAGAACTAGGACCGGTTGTTAGGAATTGATTTGCAATACTTAAACCTACTTCTCGAACCTTTTCATTCCAGGAACCTAAATCTGATGCATCTAGTAAATATAACTTTCCGCCATATTTGAAGTTAAATCTTGCTTCTTTATTAAGCTCAACGGCCAACAACTTCTTTATCCATTTGACCTGATATTTCGCATATTGCCTTGTTCTAATTTTCATTCTATCAACTCCTTGATTGAACCATCTAGAAGATTCTTCTTTATTCAAGCTTCCAGTCGATTCAAGCCAGGGCAAAAATTCCTTAAAACCTATAACTTGCCATATCCCAGTAGTACAATCGGGAACAGGCACTTGAGCTCTATAAAACTCATATAATTCATTTATTTCGTCAAGTGCTCCAAGTTCCATCATATTGTCGACTCTTTTATCTAACCTGTCCTTTAAAATTTCTGGATCAGAATATACCCAGAAGAGTAGAGTATTGTATCTTAAAGACGTGTCTTCTAATTCATCCAACTTCTGCTCATGGTAAATTTCAGACGGTTTCTGTCCTGTTGTCATGTAAATTTCTAGAGCTCTTCTCAATTTTCTCTTATCCTCAGGATGAAACTTTTCAGCTATTATGGGATCAATCTGTCGTAATTTATCAAACATTTTAGCTACAGGGCCATCAAGAAGTTCAACGTCGTCCTTAGTTAATTCTCTTGTCACTTTCGAGTTATTTATATTTTCACCTACGGTTTTGTTCTTAAATAACAAGTTTTGCAAGTAATAATGTGTACCGCCTATAATTATAGGTATTTTACCTCTACTATGTATGTCTTCGATAGCATTATTTGCTTCTTTTGAAAATCGATGAATAAAGTATTCTTCATTCCAATTAACATGATCCATGACATGATGAGTTATACCATCTCTTTCCTTAAGCGGGTGTTTATTAGTTATTATGTCAAGCTTTTTGTATACTTGCATTGAATCTGCATTTATAATTTCCCCGTTAATTGCCTTGGCAAGTTCAATACTAAACTATAGGTTTGTTAGCAACTCCATATTTCAGTTTTTAAAATAAGGTAATATACTCACTTGTGATTTACCAACGCCGGTAGTTCCCACTATTGTAACTATATTTTTCTTGGGTTTTGTCATCATTAGATTTTTAAAGTACCTAAGATATCTTATTATCATCTATATTAGAATCATTAGTTGCATTTAGCTTATGGTTCCAAATTATGAAAAAAAATTTATTAGTGCGAATTTAGCTACTCTAAGATTGTACATACATTATCCAAACTTTATACCCTGATTTGGGTCCCATGTACCACCCATAGACTCTGAAGGAAAAGTAGGGGTCAGTTGTCCAGAATCTAATGATTTTGCTGGTACTGATTGGTTATTCAAGAACAGTTCAAGTTCCCTTCCTTCTACTCTGCGGTGATACACATACTCATCACATTCTTTTAGCACACTATTGCTTTTAGTAATGAAATCACTGTAAAATTTCGATCCCTCGTTAAGATTTGATATCAATTCCAAATATTTTGTATATACATTTTCTAAAGTTTGTAGTACTTCTTGTCTCTTATATTGTGACTCATTGTTTGTTTGTTGATACTCAGATTCAAATTTCTGGTTTAAATCATCAATACTTCCTTCTAATGCAATTTGGGCATGTTTCAGATCTTCTAAAAATCTAAGGTCACTGTTAAACATTGTAATATGCCTTTCATAAACATCTTCGAATGATCTTTCATCTATTACTGAACCCTCCTCGTAAAGTTTGTATTGTTTCTTTTTAAAACTATCAATTATGCTGGGAAGAATATTATTATTTCTTGCTTTTATTTCTATCCTTGTTAAAAATTGTTTTCTTTGATTCTCTATCCTACCAACTTCATTTATTAAGTCCCTTAATTGCATAATAATTTCATTAATCTTTGTATTTAACTTGACGTAAGTTGAATTAGGGATGAACTGTATTAACTCTTTATAACCTCCACAGTACAATTGCAAATATTGTTCAATTTCACGGTACTGAGAAATGATAAACTGATCACCTTCCTTAGCCTGATCTAAATATGTTTCCATTTTGTTTATCTTAGAAATAAGTTCAGCAGATGCTTCACTTGATTTCAACCTTGCCCATCGTTGGGATCCTTGTCTTTCTCTCATTATGTCATCCTCATCTGCCTCAATTTTTAATCTTTCTTGACAGCCTTCTAAAATGTGTCTACTTTCCAACGTCAATTTTGCGATTTCATTTAACGAATCTTCAATGAGTTTCGTACCACCATAAGATATTATCTCTTGTGAATGCTGTATAATTGATTCTGGCAAATTTTCTGGTTTTTGAATAGTATCAATTGATGCTGGTAGATTCCGTTCGGTGATAAATTTGTACATCATTTTATTTAAGGATTGAATTGGGTCTATAAACAGTTCCCTTATAAATGTATCCTGTCTCTCACGATATGCCTGACCTACTTGAACTATTAGATAAGGTAACAATTCTTTAAATAAGATATTACTTTCACTAGATGATTCAATTGTTTGCGGTAAAATGGATTTTACTAGAGTTGCTCCAGAAATTGGAGGCAAATCACTCTCCTTCGGTACAGGCTTCAAGTAGACTAAATCATTGTCTTTCTCAGCGACCCTCAAAGTGGTTTTAATAGTCTCGGTTAACCCTTGTAAATCTTCAACGACAAAATCATTCACATACTTCTTCTTTTTGAATGCGGATTCACAACTACCAAGTGCAACTTGTAAGTTCGCAACCTGTTCTCCGTATTTGAAGCTTTCGTGATTGAGAATAGATATTCTATAATGTGCCGCAGCCTTAAAGTGATATTGCTTGACTGTTACATGATTAATCCACTCCAACTTAATAAATTCAGACGAGTTACCATACTTGGCTGCAGTCGAGTAATATTCTGATGTTTGAATCGATAGTCTAGCTATAACTGAATCTTTCATTCCTGACGCAAGTGACTTTTGCCATATAGTTTCTTGCGCTTGTGCTATCATTAAGCTTTTCAAAAATAGTAATGTTTCTGGTTGTAGGTCTTTGGGAATACGAATCATTCCCGTCTCTTTTTCATTCTCTTTTTGTACTTGTGAAATCATTTTATCGAAACAGCCTGCTGCAGATTGTAAATATGAACAGGACTTTTTCAATCCTTCATCGGTATACCTTGATTCCTTTAAGGCTGCCTGTGAAAAATACGATCCCAATTGATATAAAATATTCAATTGCTCGATTTTTAATGATCTTGATCTAGTGGGGCCACTTCTTCCATATCCCAAAGTACCGTACCAACAAAATTCGACACATTCATCTGGAAACTTTTTGATCACATTGCTAAGCTGATGATAGTATTGAATACTAACCAATTCATCATTATTCTTGACTTGTTCATTTTGTAAGTTGCTTATGCTATTTCTTAAGTCTGTTATTGTTTGAAGGTCTTTATCAAACTTTGAGGATGGCTGAAAATACTCCTTCTTTATGATATTTCTCAACTCATTTCCTAAATTTATAGTATCAGTTTCACGATATGGAATGTATAATAGATTTGTATTCATATCTCTTCTATCCAATCTAGTATCTACATTAATACATTCTTTTATAGGTTTAACAAAATCACTGTAGATTATAGTTCGTGCATTAGTCGTGCAAATTATTAATATATACAATTTAAGTCCTACGTAAGATCCTAACTTTTTCTTCCATCTTGTGTTCATTATCAACGAGATCATCAACTAATTCATGCAAATATTTCGATCTTGAATCTATACTTATTTCTTCCTCCTGTAACATTTTTGTGTATCCATGTAATTCAATATCTGCTCTATTCAATTCGTTGTAGAGGTTACCAATACTCTGTAATATATTATTTTCTCTAGAACTGTAAGATGAAATATCTATACTTGCAGATATGGAATTCTCAATAGAAGAAGACTCAGAGGATAACTCATGCAATTTAGAAACGATTTGCTCAGCCGCTTTAGACGATTTTGGAAGATGACTTGATCTTGGTGAAACATTGACTGCTTCGGCATTCTCTAACTCCTGCGAGATTTCATTATTAACTATATCAAAAATCTCCTCGTCTAAATCATCAATAAAGGTAGATTTGTAAGTGGGATCTTCATATTTAGCATAGTCCGAGTTTATTAAAGCTCGCATTTCATTAAATATCAATAAATCCAATTTGGAAGAACTAGATGCATTGACTTGTTGCAATGAAGAAGGTTTAGGAATAGGTAATTCTCGCTGCACCGCCTGTGATCGCCTAAGCTTTGCCTTTTCTTCATCTACTTGACGTAAAATTTCCAAGTTTCTTAGTCTTTCCCCTTGATCAACTCTACTATCAGAAGACATTTCGTTTGATGTTTCTATTGGTTCCTCATTGGGTTCATAGCTCGGCAAAATGATCCCAGTATCATTATGCGGTTTTGGTAATTTTGCAAAATAGCTCTTTAATAAACTTAAAACAGACTTTTTCCATTGAGTCTTTGATTTAGATGACGGAAGTTCTTTCGATAATGGCTCCTGCTTCACATCCGGTGTATTTTCGGCCAATAAACTTGACTTCGTTGTCTGGTTTCTCTTCAATTCTCTTGTCGCTTTCAAAATTCTATCATCTATGCTTTCTTCATGAGAGGCACCCAAATTGTTGTTTGATCCCTGTTCCATTAAAACAGACGGATTATCCAAAGAATTTTCCGGGGCTGGTAAGTCTAACTTTCGTTTTTTGAGTATCTCTTGCTCACGCTCATGAAAAATCTCTGCTGCCGCTTCCAAACTCATTTGAGGTTGCTTAGCATCATTATTCTTAGCCTTTTTGGCTTCCTGTTTTCGCTTTTTATGCTTCTCATCTACTTCTTGTAACGGCACTCCTTCCTTAGCAACTTCTCTTTCAAATTTAATCCTTTCAAGATGATTTGCTTCATTTTCCTCGTCAACATCATATAAACCAGATTGGGGCTCATGCTCATGGGGTATGTCTGCATTGTAGTCAAATTCCTGTCTTCTCTTCTTATTCTTTGACTCTAGACTCACTTTCATACCAGCTGCCTTCAATTCTCTTCTCTTTTGCAACAATGATATTCTCTTACTCTCTTCCAACATCCTTTCTCTTGCTTTTCTCTTTGCTTTCTTACCTTGAGTATTTGCTAATCTCGCTCTTGCTTCACTCAACATTTCCTTTTCTTCATCATCCATGTCTTCTTCGTCAGGTTTGGCTGGCTTACTTTCCGGATTTATATTCAAATCACCAACATGCGACGATCCGGTAGCAGGCAAGGATTCAATACCCGGTCCTGATAATCCCAAATCATTTGCATCGCCTTCGGTTCCAACATCATTAGTGTCTTCTAATAATTTTTGATATCTCTCAACGCAATGAGTAGCAGTGCGCCCGATAATAGGAGCAATACTTCTCCACTGATTAGGCAACAACTTAGCTAAACTCAATAATTTCTCATCTTCCTCTCGACTCCATTCTGATTTAACAATACTAGGATTAAGCCATTCATTCCACCTAGCTTTTGCTTGCTTGGCTGATTTTTTGGCGAGTAGCGATGCAACCCTAGACCACTGGTTCAACCCATATTTTGAAACAGCAGCCTTTAAAATCTCATCTTCTACATTTGTCCATACACCACCTTTCACATATATGGGTGGCATTGTATTTATACGTATTCACCGTAATACTAATGTCTCCTTCAAGCTGATAGATATAATGTCTTCCTGTGATTTTAAAACTATACCGAAAAATTCGCGGCCCCGTACAGAATGTAGAACATGAAAATATCAAAATCGACAGAACAAATTTACAATTGTTCTTAAGATTAGATTAACTTGCCAATCGAGATGCCCATATTTCGTCCCAAGCATCAGAAATTGATCTTACAATGTTATCCACCAGGCAAAGGTGTTGACAAGAAACCAAATCCATCGGAACTAAGTTATTTATTATATTATGCATCTACTCGTCGGGTTAAGTTAGAAAAAGTAGTTACATTTTTAGATCGTAAGACTACGTCAGATGTTAAGCATAATAGAGCAGGTAATCTTCAAGTGACATTGACTATTATATCATCCTTGATAGAGGAATGTTCAGAAAATTTGAACGTGTTTGCTTCATTTGTGTGCTCCATTTTGAAGTCCGTTCTTCAAAGTAAAGATTTGTCTTTGTGCAAACATGCTATCCAGACATACGGTGTTTTATGTTCTAAGCTAGATGGTGGATTATTTTCGGGAGATAAAGAATTCGTTGATTCATTCGGTAGCTTGTCACAAAGCTTAATAAATATTGGTAAGGAAAACCTGAAAAAGCAAGGTCCTAACAATTTGGAATGGCAAATGATATCACTTATGACTTGTAGATATCTTTCAAACTGTTTGGGATATAATAACAAATTCAGTAAAAAGTTTATTGAAATTTGTATTCCTATATTAACTGATACCGTGCATGCAAACAACAAGCAATCGAATTTATTGGCTATTTTGAAAAGCAATGTAAACATCGAAGATGAAAGTCATCACCTCGGAAGAATTTCTCTGACCAAGACCAATCAAACAAATAGAAAAGTCCAACAAGATTTGGATAATGATGCAGTACAAGAAAGTAACCTTAATGAAGAAGCATTGCGAGGCTTGAAGTCACTATTCAGTACGTCATTAACTAGTCAGATTTCTGAAGCTACAAGAGCTATTGTCAAAAATAATTATGCAACAACAATAGACCCTGTGTGGGGATGCACATTTTTAGAAATGTGTACAACTTGGATACCTGTTCAATTGAGATTCATTACATTATCGACAGTTTTGTCAAGCTTGACCTCGTTATCAAATAAATCTACTAAGCAAAGTTCAAATTATGCTATACAATTATCATATGCGAATTATTGTTTGGGATTGGTATCATCGGATGTTAATATGATAGGTTTATCAATTTCAGATGTAATTCAACAAATTTTATACTTGCAAGCTAACTTATTATTATCTCAATCTCACTATTTCCAAGAGGATGATGTTAAGAAATTATCCATGATATATTCCAATTGTGTTTGCAATTTATCAACACACATATATTACTTTGATCAAGTGCCTGATTCCATCAGGGAAATTTTGATCAAAATTGTATCTGTTCTAGAAAATTCAGTTATTTCAGGCAAAACTGATACTGATGGAGTATACAGATTTATCATTACGTTACTTGAAGATATTTCTATTATTTTTGATTTACTTAAAAAGAAGCCTAGTAATATCAGTAGAAATCATGTTAACTTGGAGGACTGGGACCTCAGTTTAATCTTATTATCGTCCGAGATGGGACTCGATCCAAATAAGGATCAGAAATCTTTGTTTTCTTATGAACAAGTTACTTATATCCAATTCAAATATTTGCTGGTTTTTGAGTACTTTTTAAATAATGAACTAGTTGCCAAAGATGAAAACATGGAAACAGGTGCAATTAATAGTATTGAGAGCTTCAATGTCGGTGGAGACTACTTACAACCTGATTATAGCAATTATATTAGTGACCCAGGTAATTTTATTTCCCATTTCTTGAGTTATGTTGATAAGTTTTTTTCTGGGAACTCTATGGTTGATGTTAATAATGCAAGGATCCTTGAGAAATTATTAAAGGATATGATATCAATCTTAGGTATAAACTTTATCAATAACTTTGTTCCATTTTTCTTCTATTGGCAATTACCACTTAATCCAAATTTAGTAGATGAGAATACAAGAGTAAAAGATACATTGGGATACACGATAATATATCATTGTCTTATAAAAATGGATGAAATATATGAACTAAACTATGTTAAAGATACTGAGTTTTTCAACAGTTTGTTAGGAGACATTAATTACAGAAAATTGAACAAGCTTTGGATTAATGGACTCCAATCTGAAGAAGAAGATGCCGTTTTAGACAATCACCATGCGCTTGGACACAGAGATGAAAGTGGTACCTTGAAGTTTAATCCAACGAGAAAGAATTTGGAAGACTTTGTAATCGGCAATGCATTCACGTTGTCGTGGATCAATCCTCATAGGGCTCTTATTTTGGATGTAATTAATGATAACCTTCCAAAGAAAGCAAATAATCAAAATCTTTTATCAGAATCCTCTGATGAGCCTTCAATTGTGGAAGAGCTGAGTTATCATACGTCGGCAAGACAGAACGGGTTCGGATTAGGGTTAGGAAATGCCAATGACATTTCATCGATCCATTCAGGTCTATTGTTTAACCAAAACCACAATATCAACATGAAAAATGTATTTTCAAATGGTAATGAAACCTCTAATGGGTCGGTTTACACATCAGATAGACAATACAATACGCCTCGAGTATCTGATTTGAAAGATAGCATTCTAATGAAAAAGAAACCGGGTGTTGTCTTCAACGAAAATTATAATTCAGACACAACTCCGGGGTCTGTATTGTCAAAGCAGATGGTTACATCCGATATTGATTCAATTCTAGGAGGATTAGATATTGACGATGATCCTGAAATTATCGTATAAGTCTGTGCATTAATCCCTGTATTACAATCTTGTAATTTATGTAATTCTATTTATTTTTAATACAAGCATATGATATTAGTTGTTTGCTTCCGTTTCGGCATATCTACAAACTATCTGCATTAATATTACTTATATTAAATCCTTAATGTACACTATAAACTAAAACTTCTCAATCATTTCTGGTGTAGAAGGTAAGGGTCCAACAATCTTACTAATAATGAATTTATTCATCGTCACTATCATCATCGTCACCCAAGGCTTCGAATGCATTGAATGTGTTAGTGTGTTTGTCAGCAATAGCATCTCTTGGATCCACTGCTTTAGAAGAACCTAAGTTCTTGTTGTTTGGCTTAACTTTGACACCAGCATCCTTGATGCTTTCTCTAAACTTGTTTCTTTCTTCAACACCATCCTCAGCACCAAATGACTTCTTTGGCTTGGTTAAAGTGGCCCATCCGTCGTCGTCGACCTTGATGGCTTCAACACTCTTCTTTCTTAAATTAGGCTTGTTACCCGAACGAGACCCTCTTCTTTTGTTCATGTGATGGTATGGTCTTTCGTTACCATTTTCATCAATATAAGTGTCTCCATTGCTCCATTTAATATTTTTGTGCTTTTCGAATTCGGCTGCTGTATGCTCTTTGACTTGTTCAACCATCTTATTAAATGCATCTAAAACTTCTGGTTGAGGGGTGTATGCCTCTTCCTTAATTTCATACAATTGTTCTTCAGTATATTTGGCCATTTTCTATCCTATCCCTATCAATTCAATATACTAAATTATATAGTTTAACCTTAATATATGTTTGTATTGTGGTTCTACTAAGCACTAACAGTTCTTCCATATTGTTCTTTGTTGAAAAAAATTAAATTGTTTGGTGTGGCGCACGACATTTATGTCACGCGATGAATTTTTGAAGAAATTTTTTATATACAGTATCTAGCTCATCAACAGCGATGAGTTCTACCCATATATATGAAATTTTAGATTTAACATTTGATAGATAACGGTAGGTTGAACGACGAAAACTACAGAATAACAGTGAAAAATGCCTTTAGCACATAACTTGAATAAGGTGACAAAAAATTTGTCCAAGTCTACTGGACAGATGCACGTAAAAGGGCGTAAATTCAAGCAATTGAACCGTGCTACTTTGAGAGATCAGAAAATTACTGCTAAAAAATTGAAGCACCAAGAACAGAAAGACAGGGAACTTGCTAGTGTTCAATTTATGAAGGACAGTGTGAATGATCACGCGGACCAAGAGGTATTTCTGTTAGAACAGATGAAGGCATTTATTGAGGAGTACATAGGAAGACACGATGAAGAATTGAAGGAATTGAAAGAGCAAAGAAGACCAGGGAGACCTGCTACTAGCCGTCAGCTGCAATTGGAGGTTGTTATTGAAAACGAAAAGCAAGTATACGCCACCGGTTTCAAGATACCTGATTTAAGTAATAAAGAAACGGTTGAGAGATTGAAGCTTTGGAATGGAACAAGTGGTGGAACTACTGTGATGAAGTTTATTCATGTTTCTAAAGATATGAATGAGCTTCCAGTTAAGGAAGAGGTTATGAAAGATAACTGATGATTGTAGAAGACAAATTCAATTCATGTATACTAGATAGATTTAATAACATATTTATTAAAACATAAATGTGGCATAACTAAGCATATTGTAAACGTTTAAACTATATACCGAATAAAATCCGACCAATTCCAATATCCAGATTGGAACATGACCCATTATTTTGGTTATAGAGATATAATAAATCTATAAGAGAATCTTCAGTGAGCGCACCTAGCCTTATGATGCTACTTGGTACTCCAAAGGAACTTTTTCCAGGTAGAAGATTGTTTTTGAGTGGTGCTGCTAATATCAACCTTATTGCCAGATTGTATAGCTATATCATTATTAGGTATATGTCCTTCAATAGGTGTCTGAACATCTACTGGAGTAGCGCTTTCATCGTCTAGCCATAGGTTTAGTGACACTAAAACAAGGAATACTGCTCCGGTAGTAGCAAACATGGTTTTAATTCTGGCTAAATACATATCCCTCTTCAAAGTCTTATTCCTGGTTAAAACCAACATCTTTTCTTTCTCACCACCACCACCACCACCACCAATTAATCTCCAATTGTTCTTTTGTAATTTGTTAACATTCTTAATAAACCTTCCTAAATCCTCTTCAGAAAATTTATTCAAAACGGTGAACATGTCTTGTGGCAAGCTATTTTTACCTAATGGATTTTCTTTAGACATGATCGTTTCACCATTTATAGTCAACAATAAATATTCAGTTTCACCATTATTTAAAATAGGGAAAAATAATTCTTTTGATTCTTTAGACACTTTACTGATGGGAACAATAGGATCAAAAAAGTTATGTGATTCCAACGATCTACGCGTATTGTACATACTTTTACTCCACTCATAAGCCTTAGATTCCCTAAACTTTCTTTCCTTTGCTAAATCCTTTTCTTTCTTAGCCTTATTCAAATAACTTTCAATGGATGACTTATCAATCTGCGAAGTAGGAATTGATGAATGCGATGATGGCTTATATTGTTTAAAAGTTTCTCTAACTTTTTCAGTAGTCAAATTTTGTAACTGATCATGCTCATTATTAGTTTCATCTTTGTCATTATTTAGTGCAAAAGCAACTGCATCTTTTATTTCTAATTCTGATTTGAGTAAGTCATCGGTAGAATTCTTAGATTTCACTATTCCACTAGCTTCAAAATCGGCTGCACTTTTCTGTTTGGATAACGAAGCTAATAATGATGCTGAGTTTATATATTCTTGCTTTGGCTTTGCATCAGACTGAGTAAAATCACTAATATCAAATCTGTTTGCTGACTCAGATATTGGGACAGATATTTTTCTTTTACTTTCATTCAATTTGAATTCATTATGCATCATCTGATTACTCTCTTCAAAGACAGTTTTGACTATTTTGTCATTAATAATCTCCCCAGCATTTCTTTTTTGAACTAGAGAATACAAGAAGAAAGGATAGTTTCTAATCTTCAGATTAAAAAATCTTATTCTGTCAACCATATTGAGATAAACTGGAAATTGATAAGTGCCTTCTTTGTTCGATAATAAAACCTGTGATATATATTTATCAAATTCCAACTCATCTATGCCTAGAAAATCTGATGCACCAGTCAATTTAATATGATTAAAAAGTTGGTTAAGTGAATCAATAAATTCATTGACGAACTTTGTATTTTGCGAGATAATTGAATTTTGAGGCTTTTGAGACTTATCAAAAATCTTATCATTTTCAAATTTAGCAAAAACCTCTCCGCTCACCAATACATTATCCAATATGAAAGATCTGTTTCCATTGTATTTGAATAAATAACAAATATTACTGTACAATTTCGAATATGCTATTCTTTTATCCAAATTAAACTTTTTCTTATTAGTCATCATCTTTTTCAACGTTACAAGAATTTTTTTAGAATTAAAAGATCTAAAATCGTTCCCTCCTAATTCTGATCTCAATTGAATCAATTCAAGCATATACTCCTCCAAAATAAAACTATCTGGAATTTGTTTATATGGACTTGCAGATTTATTTGATTTGAATTTGGACCTTTCAAGTCTATCAAACACAGATTGGCTTTGAATTAACGTATCCAAAATTGCAGTGTTTTTGCCATTGATATCGAATAGCTTACTGAGTCTTCTACCTAGCCTCATAAATTCATATACATTACTTTTATTCATACGGGAAGAGGTGTTGGAATTTTCTTTTCCATTATTGATTTCAGCAATTCTTTTGTTCATAATGGCTTCAATTTGATCTGCGGAATAATCATTATAAGAACCCTTCAACTCATCCTCCCTAAATATTTCCAATTCATTTGAGAACTTATGCAATTCAAGATCATCAGGGATCTGGGTATAAGTACTTGTCTGTTTCTTCTTCTTTTCAAACCTCTCGAAAACAGACTGACTATGAAGTAAAGTATCTAGTATGGCAGGATAATTATTAACCTTGAATAATTTGTTCAAATTCTCCTCGAGCTTCAAAAACTTATCAATGTTTTCTCTGGAGATAGATGATGATTGTGTCTCACTATTGTTAAGTACATTATTGATCCTATCATTCAAAAGGCTCTTTATTTGAGCAACAGAACAATCTTGATACGGACATCCCAATTCATGTCTAAGAATATCTAACTCTGTACAATACTTGTGCAATTCAATATCCTCAGGAATTTGCGTATAATCTTCCTTTTTCTGTAATGGTTTAGACCTTTTTGCAACTGATTCAAAAACAGATTGCGAGTGAATTAGGGTATCTAAAATTCCCGTGTTACCTCCATTAAATTGAAATAATTTACATAGTCTCCTATTGAGTTGAATAAAATCATCAACTTTGTCACTAGTGAAATTAAAACTTAGATTATATCCAGTTTGGACTTCCTCAATGGCATGTTCCAAAATACTAAGAACTCCAGAAGAAGAAAAAATATTGAAGCTAAAACCACCTAGTAAATCGTCTTTTACAATCTTTAATTCATTAACAAATTCATGTAGGAATAGGTCATCAGGAATTTGTGTATATTGACGTACTGTGGGCGTCCGTTTTGTAAAATCGAATTGTTGACCAGAATTCTCAAACCCAGCTTCATAGACTTCAGTCAAATATAAAACCCAAGAGGGATCATCTACCAATTTGTCTAAAACCGATAAATCCCAGGTAATATATCTCGATAAGGTGCATAGCTCTAATTCCAATACTTGTAAGTTGTCAAGAATCACACTACTACCTTTAAAGAAATTTATTAGTTTATCCAATTCCTCAAATGTGTCTGCAACAACTAGATTGCCAAAATTCTTTCTACTGGAGGATTTCAATAATTTTAATTCATCAACAAAGTTAAACAATTCAATTTTTCCTAAAACAGAAAATTCATAATTTTCCCTCATATCATTCGAAATAATAGCTGGTGAAATGGCTTCTAACTCAATAGTTCTCAAGTCGGAATCCTGTAATGTTCCATTAGTAAAGAATGGTGTAAGTTGTTCTAAAAGTGTCAATGAGATATACTGAATTGTCTCATCATTTGAAGTGATAGAAAGCTTATATAAAAATGATGCTAGCTTGGCAAAGCTTTGAAACGAGTCTTTTGATAAAAACCCAATGAAATTTAATTCAGCTTGGTGACTTATAACAGTCTTCTTGAAGTTTTCTTTTTCTCCCGAGAGCTCATTTATCTTATTAATAATAAGCTTTGAATTCTCATTATTAAGAATGTATAATAAATGAGAAGATTGAATAGGAAGTGCATCCAAAATTGATTTTAAATGCTTGTATCTCTGAATCTGAAAACAGCCTTTAAAGAAAGTCTCAGAGAAATCAGCATTTGTCTCATTTACTCGTAAAAAATCGTCATACTGCATTATTGTCAGTTCAATAGCACTGGAAATCTCTGTTTTAGTCATTCTCTCGAATGAAAACTCATTTGCAAGCGACTTTAATTCGTTCATGAATTTTCCTATGCCAAACTTATATAAGTCCATAATGATCTTATTACTTTCAAAATCATTATCCAAATTGTTTTTCAAAAGAGCTGGAAAGCTCGAATCATGCCGAAGATATTTTGAAAGTCTCTCAAACATATAATTATAAGAAGTGTAGTTATACTTATTGACACCTTCAATTTTCCCTTTCTGATAGTTATCCTTGAAAATATTTAAATTGGTCAATATTTCTTCTGAAGTAAGCTGATCAAACGTCTGTATCTTACGTTCACAATTCTTCTGAATGAAGTCTAAGAACTTACGGAGTTCAACGTTATACCTCTCAATAAATTCCAAATGTCCTTTACTGTCATTACTAGGAAAGTTCTTATAATCTAAAGGATCTCGCTTGACGTCATTAATACATTTAGTAACAATTTCAGGGTTGATCAATTTCGATTCTAATCTTGTCAAATTAAACGGATTGAACTTAAATTTGCCAGATGCTTGTTCCCGTTTGCGCCCAGTGGTTTTTTTAAGAGATATAAGATCAATCTCATATTCAATTGCCCGCTCAAAATTGGTAGATGTAGCAAACGAATACGCAAATGACCTGCTGCAACATGACTGGTGTCTCAAAGGAACCAGCGACTTGATTAAGTATCTCAGTAACATCAGCGGCAATTTACCAAGCTAGATAAGAACCAAGGTGAATAGCTCAACAAGAATCAAAGAACTCTGAAAAAACACGTGAATCAAATATAGTTATTAATAATAAGTTTACTCCTTCAACGTCAATAGAAGCAATTTTGACTTGGGATTGGCTTGTATGTCTAAAGTTATAATATCCGATCAAGGACCTTATCTGATCCCTTAATAATTTATGATACGATAAGCACACATGACAAACCGCTATCGGTCCCGTTCCACAGTTGAGCGAACCATACACCTACATCCATACACCTACATCCATACTTGGTTTTCGCGGTAAACACTGTCTGAGTTCCATCGTTTTATTAATGTCATAATTCGCATAATAGTAGTCAGCTACCTCCGCTCCTTTATCTTGGTATATTTCAGTTGCTATTATATAATGCATATAGTTGATTAAAGGTACATACACAACGATGTTTGCTATATGCAATGCAAAATATAATAAACGCGATTCCGATACATAGATGCGCTTACCCAAATTTCATCTCCTTCAGAGTCAGCCTTATATTTTGCTCCAGAGTCACCTGCATTTATTACCTTTGAACCGTTCATCTCATCGCACATCGTTAATCGAAATTGTTCAGTGAGTATTGTGTAGCAAACGAAGCCGTATCTGTGACATCCTTCTCCAACGCAGCGCTACAAATAGGATTTTATATACGACTTACAATCTAGGCATTCCCACAACACGCCTGTGCAAGAGGCTCCCACCAAAGACTCAAAAGTTCCCCCAACCTTATCAGGTTCTCAAACTAATATGCGTCTCCCTACAGGTGAATTAGGCGCATCTTTATTTTTATGGTCCACCCGCCAAGAATCCTCCAACCGACGTCAAGATGCACATTTTTTAATCTATTTCTCTACATGTGCAATTTGTGCCTAGATAACCAAAATATATAATAAACCCGATATATTAACGGCGCATGTCTTAAGAATATTGCTTTGTATGCACGCAATGTAACACTGGTCTGCGTCTTTTATTATTTTCGTGTGCTTTTTTGTCTTAACTAAGTATCTAGCGAGACGTTGCGTTTTATTCACCGCCTTCAACCGCTACAACGGAGTCCGTATCAAACCACCTAGCTAGACTTCAGTAGCACGTAGTATAGATAACAGATGCAGTATAACAACGCAGCGATCGATTTTTGGGGGCAATGTCGTACGAGTCAGCAAATTATGCCGCTGCAGCTTGATTCATATGTGCACTTCTCATCTCAGAAAGATTTTTTTTGTTCGGTCTTCGCGATTGCGTGATCAAGAGAAATTTTCTTCTCTGTCTGAGAAACGAGACCCTTTTAACTTTAATTAGAAACGTTAAAAGTTCCTTTTATAGAGGCGATATACACACCAAGAAAATTTAATTTTAAATTTTTCATTACATACTAAAGGTCTTATTCATTTTATTAGCATTAGACTTAAACTATAACAGCATTATACCCTTAGTCAATATGTCATCAAGTGGGAGGTATCAAGGGCCGATACCGACTAAAATTTCCACCTTGAATAATCAATATGGGGGAGTGCCTATTACTAAGGTAGCACCGTTAGAAGAGTTGATAGACGATTGCTTCAAATATTCTATCGGACAACTTAACGATGCAAATAAAGTAGATGTCGTCAGGCTGTTTTCGAGGTATATTGTGGAGGCACACTGTCATGAAAATCTTTCGTTTTTAATTGAAATATTCAAATACGAATATTACTTCGATAAAATAATAAACAAGAGCAAAAATACCAATAGGGGGGCAAAAGAGAACTGTTACTTGAACCTGTCATTGGGAAGATCGATAGGGGACCTTCCGTACCCCACAAAGAAAAGAGAAGGGGTATTTGCAAGGAAAAAGAGTACTGCCGGGATGTCTGTGCGATCAGAGGATCATGAACCAATGACAGTGTTTGCATCTACTATAGATGATTTAGAAGACGCACCTCAAGGCAGTGAAATGAGTAATGTGTGGGATAACTTGATGGAGAGGAACGTTGGAGACTCGGACACAGAAAATGAGTCAGACGACGACAACGACGTGGAATCGAAGAGTGTGGACAAAAGTGACACAGAATCTGACCATGATTTAATTGAAAATCAATGGAATTTGATCATGAATAGATACGTGCTTCATAACGCGCCAGAACAGATTAATCTCTATAATTTGTCGTATAAGAAAATCGTTGAAGAGGATAAAATTCCGAACATTTTCCACAGCCCTTTGGTTTTGCTTCTGGCGAAAAATGAGGTTTTGCGCTTACTAGAGGAAAATGTATATAATCTGTTTTCTAATTCATATAAGGAAAAGGATTCTAGAACCAGCTCGCCAATCATTCAACCTAGGAGGGTTCAAGAAAGTCCATCTTCATTAGGGATGGATGACTCTAATAAGAGCCGCCTGATTGCTAAATCCCATTCCGCCAATGTCTCTCCAGTGTTAACTCCCACCAACTCGAATGTTCCAAAGCTTTTCCACAAAATGAACAAGTCGAGATTATTGCATTTATCGTCATCTACAAACAATTTACCTATCGATTCAGGATCTAATTCCTCGTCATCTTCTGCATCATCCCTTTCAAATATATTAGACCATTTGAGGTTGAACACGAATCATGTCAATTCTCCTTTAAATGCTTCACCAATTCAGACCCCGAACCAGAGTCAATCGCACTCGCTTTCTACAAGTCCTTTATATTTGAAAGAGGATAAATTGTCCAAATTTGGTAAAATTTGGAGGTCAAAAAAGAGTACCTAATAGAATTTATATTATAGAGTATAAATAGTCATCGTAGCATAATAAATTTTATATTTATTTACTATTGTTTCCAACTGTATTCTGAGAGCGAAATTTTGTGGATACCAAAATTCGCAATCTGTGCACATCCTTATCAGCCAGCATATCCTGAGATGATCACGCAACCTTATCACAGATAATATTATTACTACTGTAATCTACATTAATTAATATTCGCTAAAGAATTGCTATAGAAATACATGGTCAAGTATGCAAGAGGGTTCGGAAGAAGCTGATGATTCCGTATCTGCGTCTTCCACATCAACTCTGTTCGAATTACCCGAGTACATACTCAAAAACCTAACTCCAACTAAGGGAAGTAACTCGAAAGATAAGAATCATCGAATAAGGAAACTGCAGATTATCAAATCAAAAACCCTTAAATTGAAGAAAAGGTCACAAACAATAAATCAAAAGATTAGAGACTTGAGATTACATAGGGAAATAATTTCTAATAAGATTGCAGAGGATTTATCGGATAACTTACAACGTGCTAACGAAAGAAGAATGGCATTTCTCGCTAAAAGACGAGAAAGGGCTAGGAAAGTCCAATTGACTTCTTTAAAGCTACCAATTGTACTACCATTCCCTACATCTTCCAAAAGTAGGCAAAATGAGATAGAATTTGCAGTCGGGGATATAAAAGACGTCGTTATAATACAGAGAAGCATTAAAAAATATATATTACTCCGAAATGTGAATCAATTTAGGGCTTTCAACGTTTCTAAAAGTTTAACACAAATGACGTATAGTGAAGCATTACTGTTGCTCAATCCTCAAACAGAATTCGTTAAGACCACAGTTTCTATTCTTAGAAATCTGGATTTACCTGATATTCTTCCTCGTCAAAAATATAAGAGTTTTCTCTATTCTTTGATAATGATTGCTGATTATAAGGATTCTTTAATTCATCACACTCATTCCGGATTCAACACGAATATATCAGACAAAAATGTAAACAATCTTGCAAATTCAGTGTCCCTTCTTTTATTCAAACTGGCTGAAAATATGATATGCAAGTTTGTTGAATTTGTTTACAGTGATCCTAAGGAAATAGAAAACCCGTGGAGTCTTCCGAAATTAAAGCTATGCAAAAGTTGGAAAGTTTATCACTTTCTATTTCAGATTTTCAGAAGATTACATTTCGATAATTGCATGATCATCATAAGCGATGCCTTAGACATCGTTCAAAAGCAGTTATTAGTGTGTCAAGCTATTGAAATCGAAATGCAAAGAGATAAATATGTTAATAATCACAAGTACTTATCTAGACTTTCACAGGTTTTTAATTTTTCTGGCACAGAATGGACCTATTTTGGAGAGGATTCCGTTATGTTTATTAATAATCTAAAATTGCGAGTATTTGATAAAGCCATTCCTGCAAGGCCTAAAGTTAGAGCTAGTATAGAGGTACTAGAAGAATTAGATAATATAGTCGAAAGCACAAACAATCATTCCATAACATTTGATCATCTCGTGTTTAATATTCCGCCTAAAATCCCTATAAATAAATGGAGAAAATATTGGATACAAACATACCGAACTAAAAAACGTACACTTAATCAGAATAGGTACAGAATTCCCACCCAATTAAAGTCAGGTTTTTTCAATGTAAACTCTCAAAATATGCCGTCAAATATTTATATTGAAAATGTATTCAGAGATTTAGGTATAGATTCAATTCATACTAAATATGAAGTTTTACGCGGCGAAAATGATTTACATCTGTTTCTGGCTGACTTTGACTTTATTGTTAGCGATACATTCCTCATACTATTTGAGTATTGCATTAAATTCGAAGATAGTAATAATAGTGAAGGATTTGATATTGCTATCACACAATTCAGAACTTTGAAAAATTCTTATCAAATTGCAAGATATAACACCCATAGAGAGTTATTACAATATTTTAAACTTCATTTCTTTTGTTTAAGTCACTTGGCATCGATAGGACCACATATTTTGGATTTTGTACCAAATTCATGTAGCGGATTTATTGATATCTTGAATAATCTAGACCATATTTCTCCCGAAGGTTTTGAAGTTTTCATAAATTTTTACGAGGAATTAGAGATATTGATAATGAACTTATGGCTCAACCGATGTAAGAATAATAGTGAGGAGAAGATCAAGGCATTTGAAAATATTTGCCAATTTATATCAAAGAAAAACTTCAAAATAGAAAATGGCACCAATTCTCCTCATTTACGATTCCCATTATTCTACAAATTCCTATTACAATACGATAGTGATTTTGATAAGCACCTTATGCTGTATAATTCAATCATTGACTCCACTTTTGAGTATCCAAATTTCGAATCATCCTCGATGAATGAATCCAGCTTTAGATATTTTAGACAGATCTACATTAATTTTATTTTGGACAATCTTTGGAACCATGATAGCAAATACGATCCAGATTATTCAACTAATGAATTTGATGTATTTTTCAAAGAGGAAATCAAAGTTCTTATTACTAAATGCCGTGTCCTTCTCATTTCTAACTGTGTGCTACATTTAATTTTTAATTTTTATCATAAAGAAGAAAGCGCTGATGGCCAAAAGTACAAATATTTGAATACTGTATCCATACGCAAAATTGCAGATATCATAATACGATTCTTTTCTGAGAATGTTAATGTTCCAGAAATTAGTCTTTTCCTTTACAACATTGTGGAGACTCACACAGATGAAATACTGAAACTGCATATTCATGACTTGATTTTTTACGTACATAAAGAGTATGTGAAATTGATTGAATATGACGCTGAATCTTTACTTAAAATGACACTTACTGGTAAGTTTGTCAAATTAATCAATGCTGATCCACTGTCTACTGAATTTGAATACCTATTGAAGGGAAATTTCAAATATTTCATGATTCAGACAAGGCAGCTGGTAGCTGAAATCAATGAAACTCTTAGAGAAATATATGAGTTATACTCTCCTTTATTAAACTGGATTTATAGGGATATAGGTGAGCCTAATATTTAGTACATATGCGCAATAAAAAAAAATTGGCTGTTAAAGATTTCGAACCGCGCTTAAACTAAAAATTACTTTAATTGGCTGATAACGATTTGACTCATTTGGGCGTGAACGACAAAGATAGTGTAAGGAAAATTTTTCAATACTTATTACTTTAAAAGAAACGATTTTTTCACTTTTTAATTCTAAGCTATCTAATTTAACGTATTAATCATGTTAAGACAAACGGTTGGTAGATCTGTTGTCAAGAGATTAAGTTCTGTTGCTAAAAAAGAAATAGTTGGATCTGCTTCTTTGAGTTATAGACTTAGAAGCTCCAAACCTACGACAAGATTTTATTCTACTAGATCAACCGTAGTTCAATTATTGAACAACATTGGATCTAAAAGAGAAGTTGAACAATATTTGAAATATTTTACTTCTGTTTCTCAACAACAATTTGCTGTTATTAAAGTCGGTGGGGCAATTATAACGCAACAATTACCTGAGTTAGCTTCATGTCTCGCATTCTTATACCACGTTGGATTGTATCCGATTGTGTTACATGGTACTGGTCCACAGATCAATGAATTATTGGAGAATGAAGGTGTTGAACCTGAATATCTGGATGGTATTAGAATTACGAATCCTAAAACCATGGAAGTAGTCAGAAAATGTTTCTTGGAGCAAAACTTAAGATTAGTTACTGCACTTGAAAAGATGGGTGTTCATGCTAGACCAATAACAGCAGGTGTTTTTGGAGCTGAGTATTTGGATAAAGATAAGTACCAATTAGTTGGTAAAGTTACTTCAGTCAATAAATCGCCTGTTGAATCTGCCATTGAAGCCGGTTATTTGCCTATTTTAACTTCGTTGGCTGAAACTCCTTCTGGTCAACTCTTGAATGTGAATGCTGATGTGGCTGCTGGTGAATTAGCAAGAGAATTCGAACCATTAAAGATTGTTTACTTAAACGAGAAAGGTGGTATTATTAACGGTAATACCGGTGAAAAAGTGAGCATGATTAACTTAGATGAAGAATATGAAGACTTGATGAAAGAAAGTTGGGTCAAATATGGTACTAAGTTGAAGATTAAAGAAATTCATGATTTATTGCAACATTTACCAAGATCCTCGTCTGTTGCTATCATTGATGTTGATGATTTACAAAAGGAATTGTTTACTGACTCTGGGGCTGGAACTTTAATTAGAAGAGGTTATAAATTAATCAGCCGCAATTCTTTGAAAGAATTCGGTAATCCTGATTTATTAAGAGCTGCATTATTAAGAGACCCAGAAATTAAATCTGGTAAATTATCTGTTGCATCTTACTTAAAACATTTAGAATCTGTTGAATTCAAATCTTATGGTGATGAACCATTAGAAGTGTTAGCCATTGTTACTAAAAATGGCTCTCATGTTCCAAAGTTGGATAAATTTTTGTCATCAAGAACGGGATGGTTGAACAATGTTACCGATAACATTTTTAACTCCATCAAGAAGGATTATGAATCATTATACTGGATAGTGAGTGAAAATGACTCAAACTTGTCGTGGTACTTTTCAAAATCTGACGGTTCATTTTCAAAGAACGGTGAAATCTTGTTTTGGTACGGTTTGAATACCGAAGACGTTTCAGAGTTAATTAATCAATTCGATTCTGCTAGTATTGGATCTGCTTTATCGTCCTCGAATGAGTCTGGAATTTTCAGTTCCCCAACCCAAAAGAAGGGTTTCCACACAATGGCTCGCCGTTCTTATTCAAGTAACCCTAATCCTCCAATTCGTGAAGGTACGAACACTAAAAAAGCTAAGGTTGCCCTTATTGGTGCAAGGGGTTATACTGGACAAAATTTAATAAGTATGATTGATAGCCACCCATACTTAGAATTATCTCACGTTTCTTCTCGTGAATTAAAGGGCCAAAAATTAAAGGGTTATAATAAAGATAATATAGTCTATTCTAATTTACAAATCGAGGATATTAAGGAACTTGAAAAGAATAATGAGGTGGATGTTTGGGTTATGGCATTACCAAATGGTGTCTGTAAACCATTCGTTGATGCAATTGAATCTATTCCTAATAACAAATCCAAGATTATCGATTTATCTGCCGATTACAGATTTGATACTACCGGTGAATGGGTTTATGGTTTACCTGAATTGAATGATCGTGCTACAATTGCGTCTGCTAAGAAAATCTCAAATCCAGGTTGTTACGCTACAGCAGCTCAATGTGCAATTGCACCTTTAGTGCCTTACATTAATGGTACTCCTTCCATATTTGGTGTTTCGGGTTATTCTGGGGCTGGTACTAAACCATCACCTAAGAATGATGTCAAGTTTTTGGCCAATAATATAATTCCTTACTCTTTGACTGACCATGTACATGAAAAGGAAATTAGTAGCCAATTAGGTTTGGATGTTGCATTTACACCACACGTTGCACAATGGTTTCAAGGTATTTCTCACACTATTTCAATTCCTATTAAACCAAAATCCTTAACTTCTCGTGAAATCAGAAATATTTATCAAGATAGATATCAAGGCGAACAATTGATTACCATAAGTGGTGAGGCCCCATTGGTTAAGGATATTAGTGGTAAGCACGGTGTTGTTGTGGGTGGCTTTGCAGTTAATTCAAAAGAAGATAGAGTTGTTATTGTTGCCACTATAGATAACTTATTAAAAGGTGCATCAACACAATGTTTACAAAATATTAATTTGACCATGGGTTATGGTGAGTTTGAGGGAATTCCTGACGATTTAGTCATAAGAGGTTAGATATGCTTTTGGTATTTAATACTATACACTAGGATTTATAAATTTTTTTATAGATTAAACATATTCTTATTATAACAAGTATTATCTTTGTAAGAATTCTCCGTTAGATATATATATATATTATAAATTAGAGTGTGTAATAATTGTTTTACTCAGATAGTGGAACAAATTTTGATTTTATGATATTCTGCGAATACTAAAAATACATCCACGTTTATTTAAGAATCATAGGTTTTCAACAACGAAGATGCTAGTTCCACCGGATAACTTTGGCCTTGTAGAGCCTGGTATTTATAGGTGCAGTAAATTAGAACCTGAGCATTTCCCATTCTTAGAGACCTTGCAATTAAAATCATTAGTAGTTCTAGATGCTGAAAAGCCTCCACGTTTGCTAAAGAATTTTATTGAGGCTAACAATATAGAAATATACAACCTTGGAGGATTAAAAATATCAAATCATAATCATACAGGTGCTAATTCTAGTTCAAATAAGGATGACAATGAAGATGATGATAATACAGAGACCTCTTCTACAAGCAGCAAAACAGAGACGGGAGAGTACAACCTAGGAAAGACTGAAATAGAAACTATCAAACTCACCAGTAAAAGCAAGAACGATCAATGGATGTTGATTGAAAGGAATATAATATCGGGTGCATTTGAATTGCTATTGAATAAGAGTAAGCACAATATCTTACTAATTGACTCAACATCAACATTAGTTGGCATACTAAGGAAAATTCAGAAGTGGAATTTTAATTCAATTATTAACGAATATCGAATATACTCTGGTAACACAAATAAGAGTAATTACTACGCTGAAAACTTTTTAGAATTAATACAAACGGAATTGATACCGTTCGAAATTGATCGTTTAAATTCACTTTTAAAACAGCAAGAACATCAAGAAGAACAATTGCAACAAGAACAGCGTGCTCCGACTCCGCCATATCAATACATACCAAATAAAACTAGAGGCATGTTCCGAAGTCCTGATTTTCAAATACCAGGCTCAAGAAAAAATTCCATGGATAGCAGCCAATTCGACCATCAATTTGATGATGAAAATGATAACGAAAGTATCGATGATGAAGATATTGACGACGAACTATTGTCTGCATCACCTCAAATTCCAGCAAATCTTTTGAAGTTGGCTGAAATGAGAAAGCAAGATAATCCTAGAAAGGAATCAATAGATTCAACAGGATCGGATGATGATAAATTTACTCCAGGAACATCTCCAAAATATGTTAGATCAAACAGAAAAAACAGTTTTAATAATGATATGATCCTTTCTGCATCAAGAGGAAGTTTCGAGAGAAGATATTCATTGGCTGATAATAAATTTGTCCGCCCAGGAAGTTTCAGTAATGCAAATCATAAATTTAGAAATCAGAGTATCAGTAGCTCAATACCCTCTTCAAGATGTTCCTTTGAAGGTTCTCTGAGCCTTATCAAACGATTAAGAGAAAAAGAAGATATGGAAAAATCTAAGGATTTAAAGTATTCAAAATCCATTGATATTACGCCCGAAGAGGCACAATCATTACGAGAAAATTACGATTACAAGTTCTACAAGAAATTGGATAAATATCCAATAAGTTTTGAAGATGTTAGTATCATTAAGCTTAAATTGCCCCCTGATAATAAATTGCCTGGCTGGTTTATAAAGAATAGAAATTGTTGGGAAGAGAATTTCAAAGTATTGAATAGAGTTTAATATTATAAGGTATGTATGTATATAAGTGTATTATCACCTTCTTCCCCATGTAGCCTTAGAATTTCCTGAATAGTCTGTATTTGAATTATTATTTGCACTAGCATTCAATCCATTCATACTTGGAGAAGCGTTAAGCATTCTTTCCCTAAGTCTCGAGCCTGTTGTTGAACTATTTGTTCTACTTGGTCCAGAAGGATAAGATTGGGTGTTGTACCCAGATCCAGGTATAGATTGCTGTCTCGATTTGTTGTACATGTCTTGTAATCGACTCGACGATCTAGGCGTATATGCTGGTCGTTGAGATTCCACTTCTGGTACCGGTACCGGTTGCTGTTGCTGTTGCTGTTGTGATGCTTGTTGTGGTTGGAAATAAGATGGTGTCTGAGTCCTATTCCCCGAGTACTGACTTTGCTTATTTTGGTTTGCTCCCTGCCCACTGCTATTGTAGCTAGAATACACTGGCTGATACTCTGAACGGTAGTTACTATTACTATTGCTAGGCCTGCTGCTTGGCTGATTAGTCTTCACACCCAACCACTCGGGATAGGATTCACCTTTTCCATCAAAATATTTAACAAATGCATTATGGATCAACGTATCATCTTCTGAATTCCCATCATGGTCTGAATGTATGGATATATTTTGAATGGATGAGGACAACGAAAGATTGGAGAACTTATTGGAATAATTTTGTTTTATCTTAGATAGAAAGTTTTTTTGAATACCTGATTCGTTTTCTTGCTGGTTAGGATTCATTATACGTTGAGGTGATAATCTATGCTAATCGATGAATTTATGTATTGGAAATCTTCCCCAGCATGAAATTCAGTATCAAGGAATGTCGCAATATCATAATGTCGCAATGTCGCATTATTATTAACATAAGCGTCTCTTTCACAGGAGTGAATTATAAGACCATATATTATGCCATCAATAACATAACACAACTAACTATCCTTAATTCTATTATTTCGGGACTAATTGGTATGGAATTTCTGCAATAATTTCTGCATTACATTTTGCTTAATACTGCATGTGTGTATTACTTTTCAAACTTCCTTTCATTCATTGTAGTACATCGAAAATTATATTTTGACTCTTTCTGACTCCATCTGTCAAGTGGCTCCTCGATTAATGTACTATATAACAGGACGTATCAGTAATTATGTCAAATGAAATAATTAAACAATATTCTTAAATAGATCTATAGGACTTAGCAGCCTTGATCTTCTGATAAATATCGATTATATAAGCGAGATGCCTGAGATGAATTTAAATTTTCTATCTAATATAGGAAGAAGAATTTTCAGTTAAACCTAGCCTACTTAATTACTACAAGCAAATGTTGAAGTTGAGACCAGTTTTGAGGCATTTGGTATTCAGGCCTGCAATAGCGTCTAGGGTAATTACTAGAGGTATTGCTTATAGTAGCGTTCAATACAATAAGCTCGCAAAATTAGATAGTGCTAACGAGCATGCGAATCAAGTGAAGGTTGCAGATGAGGTAAAAATTGAAATTGCAACAGATTCGATTCCAATGCCGGATTCGACTCCGGAGGCACCAGCTACATTCGATGGTTTGGCCAAAACAGGACATGTTCACAAAGATATCTTGAAGGCGATAAATTTGGCTAAATTCAAGACGTTGACTCCAGTGCAAGAAAAATCACTTGTTCCCATTTTGGAAGAAAATGGAGTTGTTTGTCGTGCTAAGACAGGAACCGGTAAGACGTTGGCATTTGTTATACCTACTTTGCAATGTGCACTTGAAAATTTCGACCCCTCAAGAGGTGCAAGAGGCAAAGTCCATGCGTTGGTCATTGCCCCAACGAGAGATTTAGCTTTGCAAATTGAATCTGAATATAAGAAAATTATTGAAAACATGCCACATCAAGCTAAGAACAAGGTTCGTATTGAGGTACATATGGGAGGGCGTAAAACTAGACCAAGCCATTCTGCGCCAGCCATTGTTATCGCCACTCCAGGGAGATTAAATGATAATTTGAGGCAGTCGAGGTTTGCTAACATGTTTACTGATTTGAAGTATAGAGTTTATGATGAAGCAGATAGACTTTTAGATGAAGGGTTTTCTGTCACTTTGGACGATATCGACAATCAATTGAAGAAGGCACATAGCATGGCTACAAATCCTAATGCATCATTTAAGTCAGTTTTATTTAGTGCTACCGTTGATAAATCTGTTTCCAATTTTGCTAAATCTGTCATGGGTGAGGATTATAAATTCATTAATTGTGTTGACGAGAATGAACCAGAAGCGCATGAAAATATTGAACAGACCTTGGTTAAAACTAATACTATTGGTGAATCTTTCAATGGGGCACTCGCGTACATCATTAATAATATGAACAATTCAGGATTTAAAGCAATGGTTTTCTTACCAACTGTAACTGCTACCGATTGGTTTTACTCCATGTTGATGAACGCTAAAGATAAGGAAATGTATGACACTCAACAAACGAGAAAGTACGGTTCGAAAATTTTACGTTTGCACGGAAAAATGAGCCAAGCAGCAAGAGATAGAACAGTTAGAGATTATCGTAGACTTTCCCATGGTATTTTAGTTTGTACTGATGTTGCTGCAAGAGGTTTAGATTTTAGTGATGTGAGTGATGTTGTCCAAATGGGACCTAGTTCTGAAGTTGCGGATTATATTCATAAGATTGGTAGAACAGCCAGAGCAGGTGCATCGGGTAGATCTATATTATTTTTGTCGAGTGCAGAAAGGAATTATAGTAAAGCATTACAATCGAAGAGGGGTGTTAAATTTGAACATGAAATAAAGTATGAAACTGCTGAAGAAGACAAAGAGTTAGTCAAGCAAATTGGTGCTGATGTGGAGGATGTTGAAAGTTTTATTCCTACTTTCTTAGGTTTTTATAAGCAAGTTGGGTCTGCCTATAGGATTGCTCAACATGATTCGTTATCACAAATTATTGATTATTATAGATTTTTAATCAATGATCCTGAAGCTAAGCTTTCAGTTGGTAAGGGCTTTTTGAGAAACGTTATAAGCGTTCCTCCGCGTGAAGCTAGTCTCTACTTTGATGTTCCAGGTGGATTTAACTTCAGTACAACAAATAATCGGTCTGCTAAAAGAACTTTTATGGATAACTCTAGCGGAAAGAGAGGGGGTTTCAAAAAAGGTGGATTCCAGAGAAATTATGAAAATCAGGAGAATAGAGGCTACTCAGATAAAGGCAATTATAGTAGGCAAAATTTTGGTGCTTCAAGAAATAATAGAAATGATTACTCAAAGAATAATTACTCTAAAGATTTTAGAAAGTCAAACAACAAGCGTGATAATAGATGGAACAGTGGAAAAGATGAAAGTGGATGGTAATTTCGTATTATCTTTGAGTTGATATTACATAGTACAGAAAATTTATTTGTATATAGTTTATAAGAATTCTTTATTTGATAGAACCTGTAGATTTTTGCTTCCGTTTTTTTGTTCTGTTATTTCGCCTAGAACTTTTCCTTTTATACTTATTAAGCAAATTTGAATATCCAGAAGCGTTCTGCAAGCTTCGAAATTGCCCTTGGTAATGATCATTATCCATGTGGTCGTCTATATAAACATCTCTAGTAAGCACAACATAAGATAGAATGCAGATAATGATCATAGTATTCAAAATCGAAAGCCTCTTTTGAAACTTTAACTGATTCCCTAATATAGTCATTTTATGATGTGATTCTTCTAGCAAACTTTGATGATTATATTCCTGCGACTTAAATAATTTAGATGCCTCGACCTGAATATTAAAATATGCGTTCTTAAAATAGGATATTTGGTTATGCATGGTATCATTAAACGAATTAATCAAAGATTCAAAATTTGAAGACTGTCGTTTTTCTAGATTTGTAAAGGCCTGGGAAAGTAACTTACTTTGTTCTTCAATATATAATAAAGACAAACTAGCATTTGATTCCAATAAAGATAATCTTTTCATTATATTTTTATAAATCGATTCCTGTGTAGTTTTAGTTTCTATTGTCTGGGTTGTTTCGGGTTCATTAATTAATGGATATAACGCATCGCAGTAATCGCTAGCTGTTGAATTAATATCTTTTAAAAAATCATTCAATCCCAAGTGAGGCAAAGCCACCCTACATTCCTCATTTTGAATATTAATACCTGTGAAGTTTGAAATATCTTTCATGGAATTATTTATTACTAATTCCTCGTTCTTAATTTCGGGTTCTCCACCAATAAAAGACTCATGACCTTCAGCCATTTTAAATTCTTCCATCATTGTTTTCCCATAAACCCTAATGAGTGATATCGGACAGTAGAATTCGTCTCCATAGTGACTTAAAATCTCCAATTTTAAATACCTCGCCCAAATAAGCGGGTTTTCAATATTGAAAGACTGAACATCTCTTACATTCTCAGCTTCAAATTCACCTAAAACCTTCATCCCAGATGAGCCAACAGGAAACCTGTCAGATACAGAAATCCGTATTTTATGAAAATTTGAACTAAAGAATTCAAAATTTCCAATCACAACAGTATCAACAAGAATATCTTGACACAACTCAATAACAACAAATTTCTGTGGTGAAGAGCACTGATTCAATAAATAAGAATCCTTGTTTTCGACTAAAATAGCTGATGCTCCTTTGGCATGAGAGTTAGTTTTCACGATAGTAGCAGCGCAATCCACTGATGCATAATTAAATCGATCTTTATATACTTTTCCTTGATCTTCATCTGATGGCAGGATTATTTGCGTCCCATTATCTACACCACTGTTGGTAGGAACTAGCTCTTTTGAAATACTGTCTGCTTGTGGCTGAGAGTCATTTATTTGCTTATTATCAGCTTTTTGCCGTTTCCACTCTTCGAAAGATAGAAAGTGGCATTCGTCGATAGTTTCATTCGACTGATTCTGTGGGATTCTCTTGCTAGTGTAATTCTGCACAGGGGTAAAAGGCTCCGCTGTGCCGCTTGTAAAATTCGTGGAATTCACCTCACTGAGGATCTCTAAGTGTGTATTACTTGACTGGTCTGTTATAATCACATCGTCAGAATTGCTTATTTCAGGTATAACTTTCTCTAAAATAGAAAAAACTGGACTATCAGAACTGGACATAGATTCGGTAGAAATTGTGGATACGACAGAAGTTAGCGTAGATAAGACTGTGGATATAGACGTAGATGTCGACGTAGATGTCGACGTCGCTGTTGATGTTGATATGGTTGCATACGTATATTCGGGTATTGAAGGGGGGTTATGAATAGGAGGCCTTACCTTGGAAAGACTGGTTTGATGGTCGAAAATGTTTTCAGCGTCTATTAAGCATAAGTCCGTAGTGCAAGCAGGTTTTCTTATGGGTATATTTTGGGGGGTTTCTAATAATTCTGCACCATTAGTCTGAAATAATGTAATAAAGTGAATCAATAAGAAAGTCAATCTGTTATCATTGATAATCATTACTTCCCCTAAGGTTCAAATGACATATAATTGTAGATGATTAGTCTAATGATAAGGTGTGTTCGCTTGTTTTAATCTCGTGATTGAGGTACAAAATATAAATTTTGTTCGATGAGTTTAACGAGATATACATCAAAGAAGTCTTTAATTGTAGCTAACTAAGGAATATGATAAAGACATTTCCATTGAACTCTAGGGCAAAGACCACGGCTTTGAAACAGCCGAAAGAGTTGTTTGCTTTTGCTAGAGATATTGATGGTGAATACATTTTCGATTCCACAAAGGCCCAACAAGAGAATTTATCGTACTATTATTTGCCTGATGCATATGTTGACAAGCAAATTGATTTAGGAGGTGGATACAGTAATTTCAAAAAGATTCCAGAAGAGCAAAACCTTGGAGATTTTCAAGCGTTATTAAAAGGAGTGATGAATCATGAACAGAGCACCGGTGCCAAGATAAACACTGACATAGTTACATTCAGAGGTTTAATGACCAAGCTATTAACATTGCCATATAACTTAAAAGACCCATTAGATTTCCATATAATTGTGTACGATGGGCAACTTTTTATTAAAAATAATGATGAGATAGAATTAAAAAGAAGACAACAAAATAGCCAACATGATGATCCAACCAAAGACGAGATGATGAAAAAATTTGAATATTCTGGATATAAATTCGAGGCAATAAGTACGTTACCGAAACCATGGGGTGATTGTTCCCGTCAGCTTATAGAGAAAAGAAATAAGAAGGTTGTTAACAACTACGAGCAATACATATCAGTTGTAAGGACGGGGATTGGAAAAGTAAAGTTATTACTCGCAGGTGAAGTTGATTGTTTGTGGGATTATATACCTGAAGATGGAAAGGATATCTTGCCCCATTACGTAGAATTGAAGACTAGCAAAGTGATAGAAGCACCAGGACAAGTTGTGAATTTTGAGAAGAAATTATTCAGAACATGGGCACAGAGTTTTCTTATTGGAATTAGAAAGATAGTCTATGGCTTCAGAGATGACAATCTAATTTTAAGAAACGTCGAAGTATATAACACTGAGGAAGTGCCAATTATGTTAAAAGATACCATTAATGTAAACACTAAAATAGTATGCATGAATGCATTAAAATGGTACGGAGCAGTAATCGAATGGATAAATAATGAAATACCTAAAGACATTGATAAGCTGTGGTCATTGACATATGATCCGGGTTCAAAGAGCTTTTCAATAGTTGAGTTGGTGCAAGATAGTGAATTGCGAAATAGCGTTATCACAGAAGAATTCAAGCAGTGGAGATCAACACTTCATAAAACAGAATCTTAGATTATGATGACTTCCAGCTGTAATGCTACCAGGTTCCTTATTGTAGCTATGACTATGTATATACAGTTAAGTTGTATTCAAAATTCAATTGTAGGTGTATAAGCTCTATGTAAAGTTAGCGAGGCCGCGGTTCCATAACTATTATCTATCTGGAGACCAACGTCCGCATTTTTCCTATGAGAAAGCCACACCTTTTTTGATTATGGGCCGACATCAATTTTCATCTCCCCGGTAAATACATCCGCTTGCAGACACCATACCAAATTACTTGAAATTCATAAAGAACTCCAATTCGATACTTCCCGCATAATGTAGTTCACAGTTACGGAGTATCCCTCAACACCATTTAGTATCTTTCTGCTGAATAATTTTTGCATTCTTAAGCCAATGCCATGAAATATACATTGTGCCTCATCCTAATTCCGTGTATAGTTACAATTGCAATCTGACTCTTTAGCATATGCCCTAAGTCTCATCCGGTATTGTTTCTAAACTATTCACATAGAAATATATAATAATGACCTTTTCGAGTTTAATTCCAAATCTGGTAGTCTACTAACGGCGGTCTAGTATTGCAACCATTAATAATCGTCGGTCATATCGGAGTGACATATTACACAAAACTGGGACCGCGCTCTGACGGATTGTGGAGAAAAAACTGCTCTTCACATGGTCTTCCATCTACAACGGGAACTAGATGGATGGTCTACTGCTCAAAATGATGCCAAATTATCAGTCTAACTCTTGGTCCTTGGTAGTTATGGATCATATATACACCATGTAGAAAATGGAAATAGCTGTAGGACCTCGAATGTGTTAAAAACTCTTACTTTTGGACCACAGGGTCCATTGGTGCGATTCTTGGTGTGCGATTTATACCTCGGCTATCTACGCTCATACACGCTGGCCACTTAGAAGCAATTTATTATAATCAGCCTTTCACCCCGCTTACCTAAAATTACACTGTGATGATATATAAGGAGAATAAATTCTCTGGAGAAAATTAAACTTTACACATTTTTTCATCTATTCACAGGTATATCTAATACATTAATTAATTACAATGGCTCCTGTTTACACTAACTCCAACGGATGTCCTATCCCTGAACCATTTGCTACTCAAAGAATTGGCCAACATGGTCCATTATTATTGCAAGATTTCAATCTTATTGATTCATTAGCACACTTCGATAGGGAAAGAATCCCAGAAAGAGTTGTCCACGCCAAGGGATCTGGTGCTTACGGTTACTTTGAAGTTACCGACGACATTACCGATGTGTGTAGTGCAGCATTTTTGGACACTATTGGTAAGAAGACCAAGGTTTTGACCAGATTCTCCACCGTTGGTGGTGAATCTGGTTCTGCTGATAGTGCCAGAGATCCAAGAGGATTTGCCACTAAATTGTATACCGAAGAAGGTAACTTAGATTTGGTATACAACAACACTCCAGTTTTCTTTATTAGAGATCCATCTAAGTTCCCACACTTCATCCACACCCAAAAGAGAAATCCAGAAACTCACTTAAAAGATCCAAACATGTTCTGGGATTACTTAACTTCTAACCAAGAATCCATCCACCAAGTTATGACTCTTTTCTCTGATCGTGGTACACCAGCTAGTTACAGAGAAATGAACGGTTACTCTGGTCACACTTACAAGTGGTCCAATAAGAAGGGTGAATGGTACTACGTCCAAGTCCACTTCATCTCCGATCAAGGTGTCAGAACCTTGACCAACGAAGAAGCTGGTGAATTGGCTGGTTCCAATCCAGATTTTGCTCAAGAAGACTTGTTTAAGGAAATTGCTAAGGGTAACGGTCCATCCTGGACTTGTTACATCCAAACCATGACTCAAGAACAAGCTAAGAAAGCTCCATTCTCTGTCTTTGACTTAACTAAGGTCTGGCCACACAAAGATTACCCAATGAGAAGATTCGGTAAATTAGTCTTAAACGAAAACCCAAAGAACTACTTTGCTGAAATTGAGCAAGCTGCTTTTGCTCCTTCACACACCGTTCCATACATGGAAGCTTCTGCTGATCCTGTTTTGCAATCTAGATTATTCTCTTATGCTGACACCCACAGACACAGATTAGGTACTAACTACACTCAAATCCCAGTTAACTGCCCAATCACTGGCCGTGTTTTCAACCCACACATGAGAGATGGTGCTATGAGTGTGAACGGTAACTTAGGATCCCATCCAAACTACTTAGCTACTTCCAAGCCTGTTGAGTTCAAGTCTTTCAGCATACAAGAAGAACAAGAAGTTTGGCAAGGTGCTGCTTGTCCATTCCACTGGAAATGTACTGACAAGGACTACTCCCAAGCTACCGGTTTATACAATGTTTTAGCCAAGTATCCAAACCAACAAAAGAACTTAGCTCACAATGTTGCCGTCCATGTTGCTGGTGCTGACGCTCATATTCAAGACAAGGTCTTTGATATGTTCGCAAAGGTCCACCCAGAATTATCCGCTAACATTAAGAAAGAAGTTTTACAAATTTCCCCAAGAAAGTAAATAGGTTATATGAATTATTTGCTGATGTATTTATAATTTATTTCGAATCAATATTTATTTATTTATTTAATTTTTCAATGTAGAGTTAGAAGATAACCACAAAACGGTTATGACTAGCGCAAGAATGAACATGTACCTTAAATCAGCAAGCCAACGGTCAGTTACATGTTGAATTTAGTAGAAAGCATAATATGAAGTGTTTATAATTTTGTAGTATTACAAGATTTGCATGCACATGCAGATCCACACTTGCAAGATGTACCACAGCATGACGAACTTACCTTTGAACCAGAAGGCTTAGATTCGCCTGTATTTGAACTCAAATTCGTTTCCTTTCCACACATAATTGATTGTTTTATGGTGCTTTTTTAACTAGTGGGAATACTTTCGAACTCTCACAAGTATTTATATCGACCTTTTTCTCGATACCGATAAGGCGGAAAGTGTTTCCTAATTGGGAATGTCGAGACGATTTGAAAAGTTCAAGCTTTTTAAGCGCCTATGACTGCTAATTGAGTTACAGCTGGATCAACTCAATGGTATTTAAAAAGATGATGTGTAGTAAGTACAGTAATAACATAATTCATTATCTTAAATATCAATTGTCCAGTACAATGATGTAGCTAGAGATTTTGGGGATATTTTTCCTTTGAAAATTTTGATTAGCCAATTTTCATGTTTGGTGGTGAAATGCAATATTAATAAAACGAGTTTACTAATATACTAGAATACTATTTCTTATTCATTTTTACATAATACTTCAAATAGATGATGTATACCGTATTATAAAGAAAAATATTGTCTCTATGCGATGTATGAACTGTGAAATATACTATGAAGTTATGGATTCTGGATAATCCTGCTCCTCTCTTATAGTGACATATCCTGTAAAGATTTGTCTCATGGGGTACCATGAAAGTTAGTTTTATACGAATTTAGTTTCATTCAATATTAGTGAATTTAATTTTAGGTACAAAATTGTAATTTCTACGAAATGTGCAAATTTCATATGATTTTGCAATCATCACTGCTTAGAGTTTGCAATAGCAAATTATAATATTAGTACACAATATATTCCGGTTTTTTTCCAAGTATTGCGTGGAAAGCAAGAGAAGCAAAACTGAATAGAATGTTCGTTTCTTAACTTAGTGATTATTGTAATACATGGCTTTTAGCATGACAATATGGTTCTACACAGCGATTATAATTTAAACTAATGACCTTTTACACCTGCGGCGAGTGCAGCTCATCAACTCTATTCATCTATAACTCTAATTAATGCATAGCACTGAGTCGTCTTTGATTCAAAAGCAATTCAGCAACATTATTGACTAATTTTGAGTTTTGTATCTCATATGCACGATCTTCTATTTACAAGTTTATGTCGGACGAACTAATGAAAAGTAACGCGCTTCACACTCAATTTCAAATTCTTCAATGAATCTTGCTATCAAAGCATTTTAACTATTGTAGTTTGCTTTAAAAACTTGCTTTGAACGCGTTTTCACATCACTTGCAAGTATCTAGACTCTGCGAAACAGCTGGAATTCGGACCAAGGATCCAGACAATAAATTCACGACGAATTGCGTGTATTCACTGTCGGTACGCCCTCATATCTGTGGTCGTGTGATTCACTATACTTAGAGCAATCTGGATCTAAATTGCTACGATTTGGGGTATACTATTGGATGAGACTTGATTTTTGTGTAATTTTTCACTTGAAACATGACTATATACTACAATTAGCTTCACCCGATTCGCGGCGTAAACGAAGAATGTCAGATGTAGGAATCGGGATTCAAGTCTCCACATAGATGGAATCGAAGAGATTACATAACACACCACCTCTTTTTCCAGTCATATGCTTTTTGGAGTATTTGCAATATCGGAAAGTAGGTGGTGTCAAATTTGATAAAAAATTGTTAAGAAACTCATATCCTTTCAGTTCAGGTACCACAAGACTCGAAACGTAGGATAATAAAATCGAACAATCTTAAAAGGTCTTTAAATAGAAGCGACGTAAATAGAGGCTATTAACTTTGGAGTTACTTTCAAACATGGCGTAGAATTGTTGTAGGCTTTAAAATTCTAAACCCGAATGATAGTGAATCACGTGAATGGAACAATGCGTTTGGATCCCTGCAACGCTTTAGAACAATAGTGCATGGAATCATAGCCACCGACTCAAGGAAGCTATTATGACCTTTTGGGAAGTGTAGTTACTATGCAGAAAGTCAGGTACTAGGTACCCTGACGTAACATAATAGGGACATTAGGGGCATAATAAAGATATGTTCATGATTCATAAACACAAAGCTGGTTAAGTCGAATCAACAGCCGTTTAGCAAAAGAATAGGCTATACGTTGAAAAGTATATAAGAAAAGATAATTTCCCACTAATAGCCATATTAATTTTTCTTATTATTATTTTATATATCAATACAAGATATTATACAAATTAATTACTATAGACATAACACATAATATAACACATAATGGGTATTAACGCTTTACAATTCGCTGTCGATAATGTTCAATCTGCTGCTGGTAGTGCCGGTGATTCTATTGCCTCCGCTGTTGGTGGTTCTGGAAGCAGTGTCACTTCTGCTATTGCCGGTGCTGGTAGTGTCAGCTCTGCTATCGGTGGTGGTGTTGAATCTGCTTTAGGTAGTGCTACCTCCGGTGCTGCAGGTGCAGCTCAATCTGCTTTAGGTAGTGCCACCTCTGGTGCTGCCGGTGCTTTAGCCTCTGGTTCTTCTGCTGCTGGTGGTGCTTTAGCTTCCGGTTCTTCTGCTGCTGGTGGTGCTTTAGCTTCTGGTTCTTCTGCTGCAGGCGGTGCCTTAGCTTCCGGTTCTTCTGCTGCCGGTGGTGCTTTAGCCTCTGGTTCCTCCGGTTCTTCAGGATCTAGTGCTTCAGGATCTTCTGGTTCCGGTTCTGGCTCTAGTGCCTCTGGCTCTTCTGGTTCTGGATCTGGTTCTAGTGCTTCAGGATCTTCTGGTTCCGGTTCTGGCTCTAGTGCTTCTGGTTCTTCTGGATCTGGTTCCGGATCTGGTTCAAGCTCCAGCTCTGGATCTGGCTCTGGATCTGGTTCCGGCTCCTCGTCATCATCTGAATCTTCTGCCAACTCTCACGTTGATTTAGGTGTTTGGAAGAAGGCCGCTGCTGTCGCTGGTATCGTTGGTGTCAGTTTCATTTTCAATATCATGTAAGGTACTTTTAACTTCTGATAACGGATTTATTTAATGATTTTCTATGACTTTATAAAAAGTTAAACTGCTATTTTATATGTATTTTACGAACTAATAAATATTATAATTCTTCTAATTTCGCAACAATATCGTAATGGGAATATTTGCATCACGTGATAAAATATTCTAGAATATATGTAGATGAGATGTAGAGGGCCCATTAGGTAAATACGATTTAAGTATACATGATATACCAAATATGCCTTCTGACATTGCAGTAACCTCAAAACCAAAGAAAGGAAAACCAGCAAGGCTCCAAGTTGACCCGGAAACTATCCCTGACGATGATAAACCGCCACAAACTGGTAATGTATTCAACATATGGTTCTTGAAGTGGTCAGGAGGAGATAGTTCAAATAAAAACTTCACGAAGCTGAAATTTAGGGTAAATATTAAGAAGGATTCAGGCTATACAAGGGCACAGTCTAATGCACCATTGTGCCTTTTTTTTGCTCGAGGATGTTGTTATTTAGGCAAAAAATGTTCATATTACCACAGATTACCGAAAGATACAGATTATTTCATTCCTACTCAAGATTGTTTCGGGAGAGATAAAACCAGCGATTATAAGGATGATATGAATGGAGTAGGATCGTTCAATAAAGTGAATAGAACCTTATACATAGGAGGACTACATATGAATGATACAATGGAGAATACCTTAACCAAGCATTTTCAAGAATTTGGGTCGATTGAGAAAATTCGGGTACTTTATAATAAGGCTTGTGCATTTGTCACATTTCGTACTGAGAATGAAGCACAGTTCGCCAAAGAGGCCATGCAAAATCAATCTCTAGATGGGAATGAAATCCTCAATATAAGGTGGGCTAATGAAGATCCGAATCCTGAAGCACAAAGACAAGAGAAGAGGAGATTAGAAGAGACAACCATAAACACAGTAAAAAATTTATTAGAACTGGTTTCTCAAACGGAAAACAAGAGAAAAAAAGTTACAGTAGAAGAACCAGATGAAAGTGAGGAAACTGAGTTGCCTGAAGTAAAGGCATTACCATCGCTGGAGACGTCTTCAGGCTTATTCAATAGTTCCTCGCTAGATGCGCTAAAACAGATGCAATCTAAGAAACGAAAAGTAAATGAATCTCGACCTGAAAGAGACTTTAATACAATGTTAGGGTATTCTAGTAGCGATGACGAATAATTTATTTATATAATGTACAATATTTAATCTCGTAATATTTGTGATTGGGTAGAAGCATGTTTTAATAACCATTCCGGACATTTTTTGTTACCTTTATTTAAAAACTTTTTCAAATCTAGAAAGACCTCTGAGTCTCCATCATCAATGAATGTACAACTTGTACCTTTATTGCCAGCACGTCCAGTTCTTCCAATTCTATGAATATACTCATCAAACTTTTTAGTCATTTGGTAGTTCACTACTAATGAAACGTTGGGTATATCAATACCTCTTGCAGCAACATCGGTTGCAATTAATATTCTATCTTTTCCTTCACGAAAACTCTCAATTGCTCGTTCACGAGCTTCTTGAGACTTAGACCCATGAATCACGGTGTTCTCAGAAAAACCTTTCCTACCTAGTTCAAATGATAACTCTTCACAAGTCTTCTTGAAATTAGCAAATATGATTATAGAATAGTTTCTGTTTTGATCTTTGTGAAATCTCAATATACTAAATAATTTATCCATTTTCTTAGGGTCTAAAATTCCATCAGATGTATGCTGAGAGCCGAAATATTCGAATTGTTGATTAATATTATCGACAGCTTCACCCACATTTCCAATGAACAAATAACCAGGTTTGATTAAGTAGTTTTTAGTAATTTTCTCAATTGGAGGAGAAATTGTCGCTGTAAACATTAAGGTTATTCTTTTCTTAATATTAAAGATCCTTCCATCCATAGTAGTTTGAAGTTCTTCACTAGTAGGTAAGTAAGTTAGGATTGATTGTAATGATTTTTCGAACCCCATATCGATCATTTTATCAGCCTCATCCATGGTAAAAAAGTAGCATTTACTCAAGTTGATAATTCCACGCTCTAACGAATCAATTAATCTACCAGGAGTGGCAACTACTATATGAACACCATCACGAACGCTATGGACCGTTTCTTCATATTGATGACCTCCAATTATAGTGACAACATTCATGTTAAGTTTGTCTCCAAATAGTTTTGCTTCTTTTGTGATTTGTAGCGCCAATTCTCTCGTTGGAGCTAAAATTAAACCAAGGGGTTTATTGAAATTTGATTCTTGTTGATGCTCATATGATAAGTAATTGGAATCAACGGACAAGATATACGAAAATAAGGGTAACAAAAATGCTAACGTTTTACCAGAACCAGTTTCTGCTATACCTACTATATCTCTCGCATTTAATGCTAATGGTATAGATGCTCTTTGGATTGGAGTAGGACTATCATAATCCAAATCTTTAATTAAAATGTTTAATAATTTCGTAGGCAATTTTGATTCAGCCCAAGACCTTAATGGGTTGTCAATATCACCCCCTTTAGAGGTTATATTATAGTCTTCTTTAAAGATTCTCCAATCTCGGGTGGTCATTTCTTCTAATTGCTTTTCGGACCAATGCTTGTCGGTGAGGCCAAGTTCAGGTGGGTTGGCGCTAGTATCATATCTAACTAATGGTTGATAATTTAAAGATGTATCTTCCTCTTCATCCCAGTCGAAATTGAAGTTCTTACCTTTTTTCAGCTTCTTTCTTATATTCTTTGATTCAGAAGTAACCTCAATTGGATTACTGTATCTTCTCTTAGTTCCATTATTAATGACTGTTTGTTGACGCTTTTTATCTTGTATGTCTTGGTTTCTCTGTAGACTTAATTTTTGCCTTTCCTGTTTAGATAAAAATTTTGGCTTTGATAGTGCCTGGGTTGGCTGTATCTTACCAATTAACTCGTCTACAGATATTGGTCTTTTACTCATGCTTGTCTTTAAGAAATTAAGTCTTCTAGAGATGGAATACTATTGACTTCTTTTACAGATCCATCCACGTGATACTAAAAGATGCAAAATATGTCACAACATTCTCTATAATCTATATATTCTATATATTCTAACTATAGTATAACAGGTGGCTTATTAGACCTCTTTGTATAAATATAGCCCAAGACTAGAATAGCCGTGAGTACGCATAGTCCTGATGTTATTTGAAAAGTTGATTTATAACAGCCCGATCCTTTGTTACAAACATATTCTTCAGCTGTATCATCCCACTTAGTGCTATTTAAATCATAATAGTAACCAAATATACTTGTCATTAATGCTAAGCCAAAAGTAGTACTTGTATACATAGTACCCCAAAGGAAGCTATAATTACGCATATTAAATAGATCCGAAATTATCGCTGGATAACAAGTAAAGCTAAACCCGTAAGCGTATCCAATGATGCAAGAAGCCAACAGTAATATTTTATTAGCCAGACGTAAGTCAGAACAAAGCCGTGTCAAGTCAATAAAGTTTATGCAATGACCTGCAAACATCAAGGATAAACCTAGAATCAAAATCCAATGCCTTTGACAATGTGCCTTCCTCACTAGAAAGTCGGACTGAGGTCCCGATGTCAATCTTCCAATGAATGAACATATCGCAATCAAGGAAACATGTAATGCTTGGTGTGTTTGTAATGAAGGAGAGCCGGTCTTTTGTGATACTTCATTATCGTAGTAATAATGTATAGCCTTCAAAATAAACCCAATAGAATAAATATACATTTGACCAAAGCCCTGGATGAGCGAGAGTATAAGATAATGGTACCAAAATACGGGGTGAATTAGTGACCTCTTCAATGACATAGATTTCAAATCATTGGTGTCCTCCGAAGAGTCACGAATTCCTTCAGATTCTGATTGATTTGAAATTAGCAAACCAGTCATTTCATCGCACTCTACCTGAGTTTCTTGATGTTGTTTCTTATCTTCAAAATGCCCATCTACTCGAATGAATATAAATCCCAACAAGATTAGAAGGCCGCATGCAACATGCATAAAATATAAAAACGCCCCTATATCTCCTTTCAAAATTCTGGACGAGATAAACAGAAACAACAAACTTGAAATCGCAAACGATGCAATGGTTACACTTTGAGCAGAACTTTTGTAATTAGGGAAATTTAGCGTCACCGCCTTAATAGCACTGAAATACCCCGAAACAGACCCAATACCAACTAAAAACATAGAAAGGAGCAACAAAGTCATACTGCTATTTTGTCCGAGTCTGTAGGAATCATACAACCATTTATATCCAAGCGAAATGCTCACACAGCTCACAAGGATAGGCAACTGTGTACCATACGTATCGGTAATCAACCCTCCAAATAATCCCCCAAATGCAGTTCCAATGGTCGCACTAATATTCAAGCTTCCCGTCTGTGATGCATCTAACTGGCATCGTTTCGCCAAGTCTGTACTGTAAACCGAATAAACGAATATAGTTCCCGTCGATAAGGCCACTGGGATCGAAGCAAACAAAATTAACCAGTGGTTTGTAACCGGAAGAAATTCGTTCACTACTTTGATTCCTCGGTGAAAAATATACATGCTGATTTTCTAATCCGTATCGCTATACTCACCTATGAAAACAACCTTCAAACGGTAGGATAAAGGTGGTTTACTATCAAGCTGATAGCCATATATCATGTGACAGCAGCCACTTCCAAAAATTGAAGTCGACACAAAACCGAATAGTCGTGTTCGTACCGACACGACTCTCGACGATTTCTCGTCGACGATTTTTCACTTAGGTCCACTTAATAGTTTGAAGTACTTTACATTCAAAGCCAGAAGTAAAAGAATTAAATATGCCAGTTGATCCAGAAAAGTTAGCTAAGTTACAAAAGGCCTCCGCTGCCAAGAAGGTTGGTGGTTCAAGAGTCAAGGCTAAGAAGAATGTCAAGACTGAACAAGACGACACTAAATTGATTGAAGCTTTAGGAAAGTTGAAGGCACAAAAGATTGAAGGTATTGAAGAAGCTAACTTCTTCAGAGAAGATGGTAAGGTTTTACACTTCAACAGAGTTGGTGTTCAAGGTGCTGCTCAACACAACACTTTTGCTTTAACTGGTTACCCACAAGAAAAGGATGTTACTCAATTGATTCCACAAATCTTACCTCAATTGGGTGCTGAAAACTTGGAAATCTTGAGAAAGTTGGCTGAGCAAATTCAAGCCGGTAAGAACCCAGAATTGAACGCTGGTGCCGGTGCCGAAGGTGCTGAAGAAGAAATCCCTGACTTAATTGAAGGTCAAAAATTCGACGACGTCGAATAAGTCAATTACACTGTTAGAGGATATGAATGATCGGTAATATTTATCATACGATGCCGTGCAATTCCGCCGTTAAGATTTTGGCTCGATAGATGCTGGTATTCGTTGAATACTTATTTTTCCTCGTATTTAAGGCATGAGTAATTTTATTTACTTTATATACGGATAATGATATCGCTAAATATTGAATATCTACTGTACGTAATCTGATATTAAGTATCATTACTTTCGTATTACTCTCTATGTACCCAGCCATCGTGCCCTAGATATCGGACGATCTGGAATGTCTAACCACGACTCCTGCACGATTACACTAGTTTATTCAAGCCTTGTACGTCAACATGTACGTTGTCATGTGTGGAATAGTATACGAGCAATAATGTTAAACAAGGGCATCGTTGGAGTAGAGGAGGCTTCAATAAAACAATGTTAGCAAATTGACAGCTGCATGGCTATAAATAAAAGGGGGACACTCCTGTTTAGGCGACAGCAACTTTATGGGAAAATCTGTGAGAAGTATAAATACTCCTGTTACCTTCCCAAGAAAATATTACCACATATAATTATTGAATATTAACTCAATTGATATGACATTATCGAAACACATTGACGCAGAAAGTTTGGAATCCAAATTATTACAACAGACGAAGAAAACTGTATTGGATAACCACGAGGAGTACATATTTAAATATAGTGCAAATGCTAAAGTACCAAAATACGAAATTCCTGAAAAGAGTTCTAGTAGTGAGTTAGTGTATAAATACATAACTGAGGAATTGTCGTTAGACGGGATCCCAACATTGAATTTAGCTTCATTTGTGAACACGAATATTGATGACGTCCCATTGAGATTAGCCTCTGAGAATATCACCAAAAACTTAGCCGATAATGATGAATATCCATCATTGATCGATATTCAAGCTAGATGTATTACTATTTTGAGTAATTTGTGGAATGCTCCTAGCACCATTGACAAGAAAACGGGAAAGAAGGTTGTCAATTCCATTGGAAGTGCTACTACTGGATCATCTGAAGCTATTATGATGGCTGGATTGGCAATGAAGAAATCGTGGCAAGCAAGGCAAAAGGCAAATGGTAAGTCTACTGCGGAGCCAAATATTCTTATGGCTTCATGTGCACAAGTTGCGTTAGAAAAGTTTGCTCGCTATTTTGATGTCGAAAACAGAATAATCCATATCAATGAAAAGTCGGGTCACTTAATAGATACTACAAAAATCAAGGAAAACATTGATGAGAATACAATTGGTATTTTTGTTATTTTAGGTTCAACATTCACAGGTGCATTTGAGCCTGTTGAAGAAATTTCTAAGCTTTTAGATGAGGTTGAAAAAGAAAAAGGACTTGATGTCAAGATTCACGTCGATGGTGCAAGTGGTGGTTTTGTCGCTCCATTTGTTTACCCACATTTGAAGTGGGATTTTTCTATCGATAGAGTCATATCTATTAACACCTCAGGACATAAGTTTGGTTTAACTTCTGCTGGTTTAGGATGGATTATTTGGAAAGATTCTAAGTATTTGCCTGATGATGTCAGATTTAAATTAGATTACTTAGGGGGAGTTGAAGAGACTTTTACATTCAACTTTTCAAGACCGGGATTCCCTGTTTTATTCCAATACTATAATTTCTTGACTTTAGGAAGAGAAGGTTACACCAAAATATTCAACTCGTGTCTTCAAAATGCAAGATTATTATCCAATTTCTTGGAAGAATCGGGTTACTTTGAATGTCTTTCAGTTATTCATAAAAAGATTGATAAGGAAAAACAAGCCAAAATCTACACAAGGGAACATATTGCAGGCCATCATCATTCAGAAAAAGCAGTAGTAAACGAAGAGTATGAACCAGGCTTGCCTGTAGTTGCTTTTAGATTCTCGAAGAATATTCGTGAGAAGTATCCAGATATTCCCCAATCAATTTTCTCTTTATTATTGAGAAATAAAGGATATATTATTCCAAATTATAAGTTAAGTCCAGATGAACAAGACATTGAGATCTTGAGAGTCGTCGTTCGTAATACTTTGGGATTAAACTTACTAGATAAGTTGATGACCGAAATTATTTCGACCATCGAATTGTTGATTAAAGCTACTGATACAATTACTGATGTCTCTACTAAAGAGAAATCTTCTGAAAGAAACGAGATGATTTACAGCATGTTGTTGTCAATTGCTTCTAATGGAGGTGAAGATATCAAACAAGTTAAACAAAAATTCTTGAAAGATAACAATGAGCAACACCGTAAGCATACTAAGTCTTACCGTGGTACATGCTAAAGTTTCTTACTTCATTAGATTATAACAAGTAAGTAGGGTTTATAGTATATGGTATGATGAAATATAGGTTTTTTTTTCTCTCTCAACATGCAAGAACCAATTTTTCGCAGTCATTGAAAACCTGCGATAATGGTAGCAATCATATCTAAGAAAAAATATATAAATGAAATATTCTCTGCAGATTTTTTTTTATGTTTAAATTACTGTAAGACATTATTATAATTTATCATAAGGATGGCAGTAAATCAACAAGAGCAATTAATCACGCATAAGGTGACCACGATTGTTTCATTGGTGTTATCAATCTACGGCAATTTGCGTTATTTAGTTGGTAGATCTCCTTTCGATTCTGACAGTCCATTCAATGTTAGCAACACCCCTTTTTCATCCAATATATTGGTGACCTTAATATACTGGGGTATATTATACTTCTTGCAAATTGTGTTTGTTAGTCAGATTTTTATTCCAGCCCAAGAGCTGGCTAGGGCAAGAGTTGAGCTTTCTCAAGTAGTTGGATGGCACTTCACTATTTTCAACTTTGCTCAGTTTATCTGGTCAATGTTGTTTGCTAGAAGACATTTCATTTTAAGTGAAATCGTGTTGTTCATTAATTTCTTCAATATTTTGGCACTCTACTACAGTCACAAAACCTACAGCATCAAGCCTTTGAGCAACTGGATTTTAATTCATTTGCCTACTAGTGCTTTGCCATTGTCATGGTTGTTCTATGCTATTTTCTGGAATGGTGCTGTTATGTTCCACATTCACAAGTTTGTTGGCAGAGTTGTTTGCAATGTTTTGATCTGGGATTTCTTGATTGTGCCATCAATGTTTGTTCTTTTCTACAATGATTATGGTGTTGGTTTGAGTTCATCTGTTTTGATGTTCGGCTTAGGTTTAGGCCAATTGTTTACAAAGGTGTTTGCTTTACAATGGATTTTTGCATTTATTATTGCATCTATTTTATTGGTACTCAGTTTGGTCGCAGCAGTTGCTGGATCATATTATGTCAAGCAAGAAAGTACCAGAGTCACTGATTCTGAAGCTGCACCATTATTATCTAATTAAGCTTTCCCTTCTGACTTGTTCGAGCCAAATATTATTTCTGGTCTTTTCAGGAAGTCATGGACTTCACTACACTATATATTCTATATATTTCTTATGACTTTAGCTTAATTGTCCTCTTTGAGTAATTTCATGCTAACGACTACCTTATTAAATGTAAAAGACCTCTCTATTACTCAATTTCGAGTTTAATGAAACTATTATACCACCATTTTGGAATGTAAATAGCCTTACATTTAAGAACATCAACTCTTAGGCTTTTTCACGTTCTTTTGTATGGGATTTGCCATCTTTTTAATCATTTTTTGCCTCATCAATTCCATTGGTTCATTCATAATTACTGAATTGTAGTATAATATATTATCATGTTGCGCCAACGATGAATATATGTCTCGATTTACATTTGTCATAAATTCTTCTCTTGTGATATCAGCATTTCCAAGACCGATATATTTAGATTTCAATTGATTATATTGATTAATATCTTTCACCTTATCTGCCATGATGGTTTCCTTGTTATCTAATACTTTCTTGGGTTTTTAGTATATAGAGTGTTAATTGTGTATAATTATGTCCTCATCTCAACGAGTGCACAACCAACTTAAAGTATGGCTAGATAAAATGTACTTATTACCTAATATAGAAGTCTACCATTTGACTCCACTTTTCATGAGAGATGCTACACCACTCGGCTAAATGCCTTAAACGTTGGTATCACTTTGGAAGAATGCCGTATATTAGCCCTTAAGAGCGACAACATCACTCATCTGGTAAAAGACAATAAGTAGTTAAGTAGATATGGGGATATTGTTGGGGAACAATTGTTGTAGATGTATTCCAAAGGTAAATTTAAATGGTCGTGCACGACACTGATATGAGCGATCTATTATCAATAATTTAAGCATATTGGAGATTACATTTATCTTTTAGTTTAGATAATAGTTAAGAAGAGTTAGAAATATTGCTCAGGAAGTTATTAAAATATATTTCAAGAACATTTCAGTAGAATAAAAACCAGGATTCTTTATTATTGCTAAAGCGGTGTAATTTAATTATCTATTATGGGACCCGTATCTCATACACCCACATCATCGAAGATTTCAAATATATATAACCGCAGAACCAGTTTCGGCGGCGTCAACGATGCCAATAAGACTATGAACCATGTGAAACCTCAGAAAACCAAAATTTTATACAAGGCAAAAAACGAGAAACCAATAAATATTCCAGAGCTTATTCAAGATAACGATGATTCATCATTGGAAATATTCAAAATGTACCAGCACAAGTATTACTTGCCCCATAATAAACGGATATCAAACATTGCATGGAGAATTCAGAATAAGAAGATTCTTGCATTAGATAGACAGAAACAGAGGGAAGAGCGTTATAACCAAGACAAACAAAACCATAATTCCTCCAATGACAAATTAGATGAATTTGATTACATTAGCCAGATAAGAAAAATGAGTCAAGGACAGGAAAGAGAAGAATCCATGACCTCTTCATTTGACAATACTAAGCATTCTCCGTATACAAATTCTTTAACGTCCGATTCGTCGCTTTTCAGTGGGAACAGGTCAGTTAGTGCATCCACAGCCAACCCATCAACAGGAGAAAAATCGAATGAAAATTTGCTTACTTCATATATCAGTTCATTAGAGTCTACATTCAAAGATGACTATAAGTTACCGGAAAAGTTATCCAAGACAAGTCCCTCGACCAGGAATACAAAGTTCTTACAATGTACAAATTGCAATACAAAAACGACACCACTTTGGAGAAAATCTAATAATGGAGACTTATTGTGTAATGCTTGTGGATTATTCTATAAATTACATGGAGTGTTACGGCCTTTAAGTCAATCTAATCATAAACCTTCAGTACTGAATGATACAATTACTCCGATCAATGAGTCACAAATGTCAAATATTAGGAACAACACAAATTATGACATAAGTCCAAACATAATATCTCATCATCATCATTATATTGATACCTCAAATGACGAGTCCCGAGGGCAAGTAGACCAAGATCACAATGATGATATGAATATTGATCAGTTTCTAGAAATGGATCCTTCTGGTAAAAATGTATCTACACTGAATAATACCCATCAGGTTTTAGGTACGGATTTCACCCTGAATAAAAACTCGACGAATAACAATATTGATGAAATTGACATGTTATTAAACATGAATTTATTTCAATCTGAATCCTTTGTTATTGGAAATGGGAAAAATAATATGAAACCAAGTAAGGAAAATCATAATAACAACAGCAACAGTAACAGGAATGATAATATTATTACAAAGGGAGGTAATAGACTTGACAACCAAGGTATGGTATATGACATTCAAAATATGGGTGAAGTTGGAATTGGCGACGAAATATTAGCTGACGAACCAGCGGAGGAAGGTTCTAACTGGAATTGGTTAGACTTCCTTGCAAATGGAGATAATGAAATTAATTCATCTTAAGGTTTAAGGCATTACGAAGCATATATTTTTACAGACTTACTTTAGAGAAACTAAATATTTAGCATAGTGTTTAATATAGTTATTTTACTAATTGTATATAATAACCTGCTTTCCATTCTTAGACTCAGCAATTCCTTCTAAGAACAACTTGACATATTCGTCACTGGAAGACTTAATATTATATTCCTTACCGTTAAAGGGTACAGGTTTTAAATCGCCTGATTTATATAAATCAAGAACTTTCTTCACTGTTTCAACCTTTGATTGAGGATTACGTTTGGTATTAGCTGTTAACCAATAAGCTTTAGAAGTTACATTTTTGAAAAGCGATTCACTACTAGAATACATCAATGGCTGACCCAGCATTCCACCGTAGGTCACAAGATGAGGAGATCGATAATCCGTTAAATGATTACCAGTTAAGTGTGAGACTAATGTAGCACCACTCTTACCGCAAACACAATTTAACGCCAAAATGACCTTGCCTCCACTTACCCAACCTGGAACAATATTTGAAATATACTCTTCCGATTCTGCTTCCTTATCTGTGATAACCTTTGTACCGCCCAAATCAAGCAACTCCTTTACAATTTCATCCTGATCTGGCTTTCCATCTCTGATAACCGAGATAGTCTTAATGTTTCGGGTCTTCGCAATTTGCACTACAAACTTACCAACTTGCGAGTTTCCCCCATTCTGAATAATCCAGTCATTACCATTTGGATCCCAGTCTTTTATGAATTGGTCAATTAACTGATATGCGGTACTTGGATTAATGGAAATGGTTGCAGCTTGCGCCAAATCAATAGATTTGTCATCATCAGACGACACCTTAATGAAGGGGTCTGGATTCTCTGTATTGTCTAAAGTGACAAGTGCATGTGTCCTCCATGTACCAAAACTAGGCAATTTTGGAATAACCCAATCTCCAGTCTTGTAGGTATCAACATCCTTACCAACCTCAATTACCTTATATAATCCTTCATTACCACCAATTGCAACGGGAACTGACGTTCCCAACTCCGAAGTGTAATTGGGCTTTGAGGCATAAGTACCCGAGAGCTGATTTAAATCAGAGGGGTTAATTGGAGTAGCCAATGCCTGAATCACCACTTGTCTAGGTCCTAAAGCCTGTGTGTCAATTGAGAAGGCTGTACCCAGTAATATCTTGGAAATGTCTCCTCCTTTCGTATATGTGATTGCACTTGCGTTGATCTGGACCATATTTAACCTCTTATATCTGTCTGTATGATATATGGCTTGAATTCTTACTAACTAGTTGCTTCCTTCCTAGTTATATACCAACTCTTCTGTATCTCACGTGACATTGATTTGTAATGCCCGGATGCAAGTTCCACTCTGAACTGTGGAAGATTTCTAGATGGTGCAAATGATATGTAACACACATTTAGAGCTCATAAAGCTATCATATAATTACTGTCGACTGAATAATGAACCCAGTTCAAATTCCTTCAGATTCTGATTACGACTTCGAGTACAGAATATATAACCATTGATGTAGGTGAATATTTTGTGGGTCGTTCGCAGTTTTCGATTGAATTCATTAAGGGTCTACCAAAGCTATCAAACCACTTATAGTACTACTGCGGTCGGGAAACTCACACAGTTTAATAATTTCTATCCACTGTTATTTGTTAAGAAACTCCGAGGTTGCTATTTGACAAGCAATATACAGATAGAGAAACATAATAATGAAAAGAGTGAAATCAGAAAAAATATGTATATGTTTTCATTATAGGTATCCAGCACATTCGGCGCTTAATGGGTCTCAAAAACTCTTCACAACCTAGTACTAGCGATGTTGTAAAAGTTGGGGGAGAGGCGGAAATATTGCAAAATGTCGCGTTTTCAGGCTCGCAATGTCTCGGAAAAAAGAGTGCAAAATGTCTCTATTAAGCACCGCCTATTTTTATCTTTGTGTAACCAATCTCGATTGGAGTTTGTTTATGAAATGTAACAATTAGGAAATAGGTTGATTTTTGCAATATTCAAGATGCTAACCGTGGTTACGTTCCATAGTTAACGTTATAAGGTAAAAATAGAACGTGAGCGTTTTCATTAAGAACAAGAGTAAAACTCAGTGCCAAATATTTTCAAGTAATACTAAAAGGGCCAAAAAAGAGTGAAAGAAAATTATTCGATTTCTTGCTGGAACACAAAATTCTAACAATAGCTATTTTGAACATTGATTGTAGGGGCTATACTTCAAAGCAGTGTTTAAATTAGCTCGGATATCCAACTTACGGTGATAAGATATACGTGAGTAGTGACAAGAAGCCAAAATTTGCTTGATAGAATGGGCATATTGTCGAAACTAAGTCTGGAGAAAAATACGTACTTCAACAAACCGAAGACCCATCACACGAACCTTAGTGAGAACTCGTCGTGTTCGTTAACTGAGAGTGAATTTCTGCTGACAGGTTCACACTCTTCTAATTCATCTAACGAGACTACTGGCATTCCAATGAACAAAGCAAATAATGGGGCACCTCGGAGAGTCAAGAATTTGCCTATTGCATTGACTCCAAATATCGGAGGAGAAAAGTATAATTTTCCAACAAGTACTGCTAGCAATAAGGGTTCTACTCCAAGGGGAAATGGTAGGCTGTCGACTGAACGGAAACCACCTCCACCACCAGAAAAAGAGCCTAGGCAGTTACCTAAAACCCAACGTCATCCTTATACAGCTCACATCCGAAATCTTAGCCAAGATGCATACTCAAAACTACCACAACCGGACCAGGCTAACACTGCATATTTTAAACCAAAGAATGAACAGTATTCAAATAACCAGGCAAATTCTCAACAAGTGAACCAGGCTTCATCGCACGAGCTTCCTATTGTTCACCATCAAGGTCAAGGTCAACATCAACAGATGGAGATGCACTCGCCTTTGCGAAATGAGCAAGTTTATTCTGAAAGCAGACAACCATATAGAACTGAAGAGCATTACTTTCAAGCTCAGAGGGCGATGAACAGTGTACCTACGACTACAGATCGCTCACCTAAGCATGATAATGTGATTCAAACCCCTCAGAACATGCAGAATACTCCCTCAAAACCACTGTATTACCATGAACAACGCTCTGCTGTAGAAGAATCCGAGGAAGATTCAGATGAGTACACAGAAGAAGATTCAGACACTGACTCAGAGGAATACACGGATACATCGGACGAATCAGTTAATAACAGTAATACAAACGCTTCTTACACAAATCAGTATGCCAATGTTCCGCAACAGCACCCCTATTATGAGCAGTGGATGCAATACTATGCCTCATTAGCTGCTCATCAGCAACAACAGCAACAACAGCAGCAAATGATGCCTAATAGAAGTTCTATGTACGGGTATAATCACCCATATCAAATAAATCCTCTGCAATATTCAAGTATGAATTCGTCTGATCTTCGTACTTCATCAACTCCTGAAGGAAAATTATCGCCTTATTCAAACGATTCTAATCATTCAAGACAGCATTCCCATAATTCGCAGGAAACTAACTCTAACGATTCTAAAAATGACTATTTAACTCATTATAAAAAACGAAGCGGACAGAACTCAATAGATGATTCAAACAATGAGTTAGTTTCGAACTCAAGAAGGTCAACAATAAAGTCCAATAGGTATCCATCTGTTCCACTGTCTATATTGGAATCACATTCAAAGATTCCTGAAAAATCGAAAGCGAGGGTATCATCGTTAGATTTAAATTTTAAGCCAAAGGAGTATCATAAGTATGACGATGACAACGAAGACAAAAAGGATGAAATTAACGAAAGTCATGATGAAGGTGCTAGTGTACAAAAACAATATCAAGATAGTACTACATCAATAGCTTTTGGGCTACTGAACATGGCCCTTGATAACCAAAATGATGAAAGACATATTTCAGATTATAGCAAATTTCTTTTCGAAGGTGATAGCCAAGCAGAAGAAGAAGAAGAAGAAGAAGAAGAGGATTATAAAGAATCCGCTGATGTTAACAAAAGCAAGAATAACCAATTCAGAGTCAATGAAAGTAAGCATGAATTGTCTCGTCATGAATCCATTGAATCAAATGATTCTGTTGGTTCAATACAACGCGAATCTAATAATTTCAAGGTTAAGGAGCCAACTTCTTCAAATACACAAAGCGTGAGGGATTCAGATCTAAGAGAAAATAATAAACAAAAGAAGGAGAGAAGAAGAGAGAAGCATGGAAGAAAAAGCTCGTCTGTCAACCCAGATTTGTCAATAACAAGCCAAGCTGATTTATTTCATGCGAATAATACAGCGGACGCATGTCAACTGCAACCAACAACGATGCCCTACTTGAGACATTCTCAAATGCCATCTATGGAGAGTATGCCATTCAATCAGAATGGGATACCATTTAATCAACCAATGATGGCCTATAATACTGAGTATCAAGGAATTGCACCACCAATGGATCATTCTAGAAGACAAAGCATCGCAACTGCTGAATCGAAGAGACAATCCATGATGTTTTCCACAGGAAATGTTATGCCACCATATGGAGCACTTCCAGTGCACAATAATAGAATGTCTATGCCAGTTATCAGTATGAATACTTCAAATAAACTAGTTCAAATACAGACAACTGACAGTAAAATTAAGAAAAAGGTTGAAGAGTTTGTTGAGTTACGTAAGGTTATTGCATCAGGGAATAAGTCATTAGAATATCGATTGAAGTGGGTCAAAATGTTAATTAATGCAACTAATTATCGCTTATATGCATTTGTAAATATCAAGGGTGAACCGATCCTGCAAGAATTGAGCAAACATAGCAAGGCTTTATTCCTTAAATCATCTATAAATCATTTACTTAAGTTGGTAAAAGAATACGATGTCCGCAAAAAGAACGAAAATATTCATTCGCAGGTTTGTTACATTTATGGTTGTCTATTGAAACATGATTATGCAGCATCATACAACCAAGACTTTGGCATTGAGAAAGATATTCAAGAATCGATTTCGTACTTTGAAAAGTCATTGGAACTAAACCCAAATAACTTTCAGAGTCTATACAAATTAGGGGAAATATTTGAATACGAGTTTCCAGACCAATTTGATCAAGCATTAAGTAAATATAAAGAAGCGGCTAAGTTAGGATATAATCGTGCTATTTATAAAATGGCACTTTTATACTTAAATGTTCCTCTGATAAGGTCTACTAAATTCTTCAATTATCTTGTTGAACTCTCAAATATTGACCTTAACTCAAAGGATGTTGAATTAACTGGTGAGGATAGAGATGAGTTGGAGGAGATAATTGGTTTAGCATTTTACCAACTCGGAAAAATATATGAAGGTATTTATCCTGGCGATTTACATGCTGAGGATGAATTTATTTCTAAATCACTTGAACGTGCTCCGGTTAATTACGCAAAAGGTTTGACATACTATAACAAGTCAGCCAAGCTTGATTGTCTTTTGGCTCAAATTAAATTGGGAAGTGTTTATGAAAATGGGGAACTAAACCGCCAGCAAAATCCAAGCAAATCTATCCAGTGGTACATGAAAGCAGTTAGTTCACCATTACTGTTTAAGAGACATCCGGATGCAATGCTAGGTTTAAGTAGATGGAATTTGAAAGGGAGTAATGGTCTAAGTAAATACATACCTTCACCTGATCCGGAAAAGGCTGTTATGTGGTGTGACAGGGCAATCAAGGAGTTCAACTCCCCAGAAGCTTATTTCGCTATGGCTAATTTAAATGAAATTGGGTTAGGTGATAGAAATCCCCAGCTTTGGTATTTCAAAGCACACGAGCTAGGACATCAAGAAGCTTCTTCTAAGCTAGGTTATGCATAATTTATGTATTGTTTATATATTCTTAATTTAAACATTCGGAAATTTTGAAGCCGACGAATCTCGTAGAAATCGTAGATAACGAAAATTTCTTATCAACAACAAAATCATCTCAAGGATTTTCTCCCACATATCATTCACATTCACATACCAAATTGGTAGAAAGGTTAATGTCGGAACCTAGGGGAATTCAGCAACCGAAGAGTTCTTCATCTAGACGACTCTCGATAGCAAAGCTAGCTAGATCACCAATTTCAGAATCACCAATTACTTCGCCCTCAATTAGAAACGGAATTAACTCTCACTCTTTGCCTGGTAATTCTCCGTTTTTGAAAGAACATCTAATGAGAAATGACAATGAGTGTATAGAATCATCGTCTTCTAAGTCATCCAGTAAATATAATGGCAGTGAAATCTTTCATGTTGGAGAAGAGAGTGGTGATAGAGGAATGGAAACAGATTTTTCAACAGGAATCGATGATCCTAAGATTATAAAACAAGTGCATAGGCATTTGCAAGAAGAAAAAGTCAATGCTTTGCAAGCAGAGGGAGGAGATATTACTAGAGATTTATATAAAATTGCGGACCAGGAACATAGACCTAAGGCTCCAAAACGTTCCCGTAGTTTATCATCATCTGAATTGGAAAATACAAGAAGAGGATCAACTGCCAGTTCACTTAACGTTCCTGGCGGATTTAGAAGACAATTTATTATGAATAATACCTTCAGGACCAAGAATCCAAATTTTTTAACAAGAAATTTTGTTGAGTTCTTAAGTATTTATGGACACTTTGCGGGAGAAGATTTAGAGGACCAAAACGATTTAATTGCATGCCATTATAAGGCAAATGTACCCAGTCATTATGATATTGTTGATGAAGAATCATTGTTGTTACCAAACCAAGAGTCTGTAAAGATTAATCCAAAGGGAACTGCTACAGATAAAAAAGCCTACTTTTTATTATTGAAGGCATTTGTTGGCACAGGGGTTTTATTCTTGCCAAAAGCATTTTCGAATGGAGGATTAATGTTTTCATCACTTGTTTTAGCCTTCTTTGGTTTACTATCTTTTTGGTGTTATTTGATTTTGATTCATGCTAAATTAGCTACTAAAGTATCAAGTTTTGGTGATATTGGACTTAAATTGTACGGAAAATGGCTACAGCAATTGATTTTAACTTCAATTGTTATCTCTCAAATTGGATTTGTTGCAGCATATATTGTTTTCACCTCAGAGAACTTAAAAGCATTCGTTGGGAGTGTAACAAGCATTGATACCAGCGATATTCATATCATGTACTTTATTTTCATTCAATTGATCATTTTTTTGCCCCTTTCTTTGATTAGAGATATAACAAAATTGTCATTACTGGCATTGTTGGCTAACGTATTCATTCTTGTCGGATTGGTGACTATATTATACTATAGTTTTTATGAGCTATTAGTAGTGAACCATGGGGTTTTTGGGCAGAATATAGAATACATTTTCAATAAAGAAGACTTTTCCTTATTCATCGGTGTCTCTATTTTTGCATTTGAAGGTATAGGCTTGATTATTCCAATTCAAGAATCCATGATCTACCCGAATAACTTTCCTAAGGTTTTATTTCAAGTGATTGCAACTATTTCAGCAATATTTGTAGGGATTGGTTGTTTGGGTTATCTCACATTCGGCAAGGATGTGAAGACCGTGATCATACTTAATTTACCCCAGGGTTCTCCATTCGTTATTATGATTCAGTTATTATATGCATTTGCCATTTTACTTTCCACGCCGTTACAATTGTTCCCAGCAATAAGATTAATTGAACTGAAATTGTTCACAAAAACTGGCAAATATTCATTAAAGGTTAAGTGGCTAAAGAATTTTTTTAGATTTGGTTTTGTCTTACTTACGGCTGTAGTTGCATTGGTTGGTGGACAAAACTTGGATAGATTTGTTTCTTTTGTGGGATGTTTTGCATGTATCCCTCTTGTTTATATGTATCCCCCTATTTTACACTTGAAGAGTTGTTGCAAATATAGCGATACTTTTAATAAGACTGAAAATAGGAAAAGATTTTGGTTGGGGTGCTTAGATTATGTTTTAGTCATAATTGGTGGTATTGCAATGATATATACTACATATCAAATTGTGGTAGGCTAAATTTGTTTTTATTAATAAAACTACAAATATCAATTCATTACTGTATATATTCAACTAATATATATAAATTATCTACTTCTTGTCCGAAAAGAGGTCAATCAAATACAATCTTGCATTATGAACTGAGTTTTCAATCTGAGTTGTTTTATTGTCTAATCCTTGCAATAAATACTTTCTCAAATCCTGATACTTTTCAGCTAAAGTAACCTGATTTTTGTAAACATCTGGTAAATTGTCCTTCTCATAGTTTGTAATTTTTTCCTGGACAACATTGTACGATCTTGGCATGAAATAATTAAATGCAACTCCACCAAATATAACTGGAGTAAAGAATCTAAGAGGTAATGATCTTCTATTAACTAAAATTGAACCCGTCAATGATGATGTTAAAATATAAATTAAATTCGGTAAAACAGGTTCTTTAATTGACGATTGGACTTCATTTTTAATTGTCTTGTATTCGTTACAAAGAGCAGATTGTTGAGTTCCCAATTCGGCTCCATAGTAACTTAATTTCTCATGTAGAATTAATCTAGCTTTATTAACATACTCTTCAAGAACTGGTGCTGTTCTAATTCCCATACCTTTAACGAATGAAATATTTCCATGGGATGATTCTTGTTGTTTCAAATCTTCGGAAATTTCCTCATTAAATCCTGGTTTAGTTATTATGACCTCGTCATCTTCATAAAACAATCTCTTTGGAGCCATGGTTATTATGTTTAATGATAATGAAATCAATTGATGGGATTGGTGGTAATAGGCACATTTAAAGCGAGCTTCGTTCATGAAGAAAATAAGAAAAACTGTCACGAGGAAAAATGACAGATATATTCTAAGCTACGAAACTTATTAGAAGATAATGATATAATATAAATACTTGCTATATATATATGTATATATTATTTGAATAGCTTAAACTTTGAAAAGCTTTAATTTTTAAATAGAATTAGATCAACATAATAAATAAACAAAGAACCCAAACCCAACGACTATTTTAGTGCTTTCTGAAAATACCTCTTTTTTTCTTGGTCTCTGCCTCTTTATTCGGATTAGAAATACCTCCCAATGGCTTTGCATTGGGCTCTACAATAGGAACCTGTATTTGGACACCTTCATCATTAGTTTGAGGTGTATCATTTGTATTAACCGAATTTGAGGAATTGCTAGATGCATTTGAACCATTTGGAAGTTGCAAATACTGTTGCTGAGGTTGGACATAATTGTATTGTTGAGCCTCAGAGGTATTTTGGGGTTGGCCCTGAGGTTGGCTTTGACCTTGGCTTTGACCTTGGCTCTGTGGGATAGTATAGCTACTAACAGATTTTTTGTGCTGAGGAGGACTTGTTCTGTTACCATTAGAGTTCAACGCCATGGTTGATCTATGCTTATTAGCTTTTGTGGCAGCAGGGTTAGTAGGTCCACCTGGCATAGGCATACCGCCTCTGCCACCCATATCTAAGCCTGATAAATCACCATTCATTTGAGGAAAAGCAGAACGACGATTTTGCTTTCGTGGTTGTGCCTTGAACCTTGACTCCATGTGATCAACAGGTGCACCATTCTGATACATGTTATTGTAATGTTGAGATGGATTTTGAGCATACTGTTGTTGATGTAAATCCTGATAATTATGAGCAGATGCTGGGAATGAACTTAATCTCTGTGGTTTTCCTCCATAACCACTTGCTTGATGTGGGTTCCCATTCATCATTTGAGGCGGAGGCATATTATACCTATTCATATTTGAATTCATAGAATTGACTCGTAAGTTAGGTGGTAATGCATTTGGGGGCAATCCATTTGATGGTAAACCGTGTGGGAGTTGTTGATCCATAGGAGATGGCATGTATCCGTGGTTATTATTATACTGTCTTTGGTTAAAATACATTTGTTGATTAGGTGGCATATTTGCACTTTTTTGTTGGGTGTCAAGATGCAAAGCAGGAGGAGGTTGCTGGTATTGTTGTGGTTGCGGTTGTTGTGAATGTTGCTGAGGATGGTGGGGTTGTCGATGTTGTTCATTATCGTAATATCCATTAATTTGGTTTTCATTAGGTACGGATAATTCCCTGTTGATGAGTGCCTGTTCTCTTTTCTGCAATTCAAGTTCCTTTTCGTGTAGATGTTGAGGAAGATCACCATTCACCAATTGAATGTTGCCATTTGGGTGAGAATTTCCATTGCTATGAAGAGGTTCACCACCACCATTCATTAAACCTCTATTTGAAACACCGTGACCATTCATATCGGCGTGTCCATTGATTGCATGACTATTTTGTGAAGCATCTTGATTCGGAACTGGGCTTGCTAAGGAAGCACCATACAACGCAATATCTGTTAAATCTTCCAAATTATCATTTGGAACAACAGATTCTCTGAAAGTCCTGTTGCTACCACTTTGAGGTAAAGTTGATTCTTCTTTATTTGGCTGTCCAGAGGGTTGCATCTGTTTAGCTTGATTATTAGTCATTTCTTGCTCTTGTAATTGTAATTGTTCAAGCCTTTGTTCAATTTGGCTTAACTTCTGTTGTTGGTGGTCAACACTAATATGTAATTTCCTTAAATTTAATTCTTGCTTATTGATGTCTTCCATGACTTGCCCTTTTAAAATATCCTTTTCTTTTAAATAAGAATCTAATTGATTTTTATTGGATTCCATCCTTGCCAAATCATTAGTAATAATATTTAATTGGTTTAATTTAGTTTCATGGTCAGCATTAACTTGATTCACTTTTGCCTTACTGATATTCGAAATAGTCTTTCTGGTGAAAAAGATTGAATTGGTGTCAGCATCATTGATTTTAATATATTGACACATAGTAGAATAAATATTTTCCAAATATGGGGTTCTAATGCCATGATCATCTGCTAATAAGATTGGCTGCAACAATAGTAAATCAATATTTAAATCGTGTTGCTTGTAAAAATCATAGAACAATGCAGGCGAGTTTAAATAGTTTTGATTCTTTGAAGTCTCTGGGAAGCTACTACACCAATTTTTGAACAAATTAGCTTCATTCTCAGATCCTTTGACTAATTTACAATCCATCTTTTTAATGATTTTAAATATTTCATTGATCATACCAGTAATAAGTGGCTTGCACAAAATCTGATTGGATAAATTAGCTGGAACTTCGGCTTCAAAAATAACAGATAAAGGATTGAAAACAATTCTTGGTAATGCTAGTTTCCATTGGTAGGTCATAAACTCCTTAGGGACAACAGATTTCAATAATGAAATATTATTTGATGAATCTTGCTGAACTAATTGCAATAATTTATATACCTTCTGAAAACTTGCATTTGAGGTAGATGAAATATTAGAATTCGTTAACGAAGTTCCCAAATATATTCTGTTATCGTTGTTTCTCAAAATATGGGTAAAGTTATCTCCATCGATCTGTCTGACGTCTGATTCGTTCATAATCGAACAAATCGTGATATCCTTCATTGAAGGAAAGCTGAGTTGAACAAAAGGCTCTAAATTAACATATCCGGTGCTTTCCACAACTATGGCTGACTTCAGGTGTAAAAATGGCACTAAATCTGCGCAGGCAGTCTGAAAATCTTGCAAAGACGTACAACTGATAAAAACAATATCATATTTGCTTGACCCGGGACTGATTTGTGACAAGTTCTCGTATATCTCATATGGCTTGAATGTAGAAGTCCCCAACGCAGGCGATCTCCAGTTGATACAATTTCCCTTAATTCTGGAATTTACCACCGAAACATTACAAGAATGTGTTTCGTGTAACCGCCAGGCATAAAATGCAACATTTGGATTACTTCCAACTAGAAATCAGTTAGTATTGATGCTCTACAGCAAGTACTTCTCGAATCACAGGCGCAAGAATTTTGCTGAATACCCGTTTTCTTTATCCAAAACACTGTCTATTCATTCTGAACTAACATACCTGTTAATATTTCGATACTCGACATTAAAAAGACTGTAGAGCTGTGTCAGATCAACGTATGTACTATTTCCTAAGAAGAAAAAACCGGAATTTTTTTGAAGTGTGATCGTCGATAATAATAAGAACGAGCAAACAAATTCGAACTCCCAAATACGGAAATTAATAGTTCCTTTCTTTTAACGCCTATAAAACACTATACCGGTCGTTTAAACAAACCACGATATATGTATATATGTAAATGCTACACTTTAACTAAGATAGTAAAACGAATAGTTGCTCGAGGTTTAAAAAGTGATCCAAACCGTTTCGGTGCCTGTCACTACTCAACAATAAATTTCTCAAATAGTGGCAGTGTAACAGAATTATTGAAACGCCATATAAAGCCTTGACTACGAATAATTTTTATGTAGGGCTTGTTTAATTTATTAGGGTATGGAAAGAAAGTTACATTTCGCCACTCCCAAATACTTCGAGTGTTTATTTGCTATAGCACTTCTCCTTCTGTAGTTTGAATTTTTACCTAAAACGGTGCTCGTTCAGCAGCATTAACATTATAGATGGTGCACGAAACTAATAATAGATATCGACTTAATTAAAAGGGCGAAGATAATCTGTCCATTGCAAATATTACATATATACACGTTACTTATTCCTACAGAATCATATTGTTTTGTTATCCCTGCAAATATGTACGATACGTGCGGGTTTGGAACCTGGCTACCCGAGTATCAGGTAGCATATGGGGATTAGTCGCGTTTGTAGATTTTGACAGGGAGGAGACTAGATTCATGCACGACCTCTCTTCTTCTCTATTTGAAAAAAAAATCTTCTGCTGGGACATAATTACATTCTTTTATTATTAGTAAGGCATCCCAATGGCGTCGTTTTTTGTTTCTCATTACAATTAACTTGATTGCCGTTGGACAATGGTCGTACTGCATTCCTTAGTGTTTGTGGTACGATCATTGGTTTGATGTGTTTATAGATCAATCTGAGGGTGTATCTCCGGGTGATGAGTTAAACTTTGACTCGTTCGGTCATAATCCCTTAAACATTTGGATTCAAGATCAATTGTATTTATTATTACATGGTTTTGTGCATTCGACTTTGTAGTATGTTCTGTGGTTAGTGTTTTTTGCTACAGATGTAGGATACGGAAACGACGGCAGAACATAGCAGATAAAGCTTTCTTTCAGCATTCAGTACAGAAATGATTGTAAACGAAGATGAAACTGTACGGATAAATGCAAAGTGGCTTAAATGAAACTGTCAATAATAAATATTAATTGAGTTAGAGGTTATGCATTTGGTAAAAATTTGGCGAATTGTGTAAAGTGAGACAACGAGTAAAACACGCTTAACACTAGCGGATTGGATACACGCGTAGCATATAATTGACAAGTCATGGGTAGAGGGCAACTTATATTGATCGAAGGTCTTGACAGATCTGGAAAATCAACACAGTCTAGTATACTTCTGAATAAACTTCCAGATGGAAAATTGATAAAATTTCCAGATAGATCGACTAAAGTTGGGTCTATTATCAACGAGTACTTGACTAACTCCGACTTGAAGTTATCGGATCAAACAGCACATTTACTTTTCTCTGCAAACAGATGGGAACTAGCTGATTCGATAATCAATGACTTGAATAATGGTCATTTCATTGTTATGGATCGATATATATATTCAGGAATAGCATATTCCTTAGCGAAACTGAGCATCTCGAATGATTCGGGACCAGAAATGGCAAGCATTGACTGGTTATATTCTCCAGATAAGGGCTTACCAAAGCCTGACTTGACAATATTTTTAACACTATCATTGGAAGAGCTAAGCAATAGAAAAGGGTGGGGTGAAGAGAGATACGAAAAAGAGAACTTCCAGAAAGCCGTGAAGAATTGTTTTCTAAAAGTATTGAATGCTGATGATGATGATTCGGTTCAAATAATTGACGTCAATAACTTGAATATTGAGCAAGTCACAGCAAAAATATGGGAAGCTATTGAACAAAGGAATTTTAATAAACAGACGGAAAATTCTATTCAGACGTTTGCATAATATGATCTTTAATAAATTTATTAAACATTGATTCTAATCTAATTTATCTAAATACGCTAATCTTTCCAAGATTTTATCCTTCAGTATCTCTTGAAACTCCCCACCCAAGAATATTTCATCCAATATCGAATATAATTTATAGAAATTAAATATTAAGTCTAATTCACAAACATTATCGAAATAAACATCTAATACTTCAACCAAAAAATGTATGGATTCTAAAGAATCCAATTCACTGTCAATGAGATCTATGGATGAAATAAAATACAATCCAGCGTATCGCCTGTAGACCAACTTGTTCTGTTGATATTCAATAAAATTAGACTGGTGCTTCAGGTCTCTAGAAGATATTAACCGATGTATCTCTGTTGTGTATCTTTGCTTATCTTGAGTAGTATAACTATTATCGAACCATTTAGCAAGCCTTGTTTTACCTTGCCTATTAAGTACTAGTATGAAATGAATAGCCATAATCTATGAATAACAAATAAGAAATAATGCAAAAGTCTTTTGGAATGTATCGGAATCAATCAGAACGTAGTAGTAGTAGTCCTACTTATTTTTCTTATGCTGTATAATTATTATTTGTGGAGATGATTCAAATTATTCAGTCAAACGACTCAGATTATGATTTTGATCTATTACCAAAAAAGTGCGCTCCTAAATGTAATCAATGTAATCATCCTCTTCATACATTAGATTAGTATGAGCGTTTCAGACGACGAAAATGAAACCTACAAACAATTCGAAATACATGAAGGTATTGCATTCTTAATTGAATTAACTCCTGAAATTTTTCTGCCTTTAAAAGAGCTAGACAATAAATCACAGTTTATGGAAATACTATCTAGTATAAATGATTTGATTGGCGAGTTGATTATTACCTTGCCAAATACAGGTATTGGTATCTATTTCTACAACTGCCAAAAAACTAACAAGAGATTCACTAAGGATTGTGGCCTAAACAGATTATTTAAGTTAAATGACCTAAACAGTTTCAATATGAAAATACTAAATGATGCGATTAATGATGATATTAATGGAATAAGCTTGCTTAAAGATAAGTTTCCGTATATAGAAGAAGATCAAGATGACAAACTACCTGCAGTTCTTAATACTATGTTGAACGAGTTTCATAATAATAAGAATTATAATAACAAGAAGCTCATTTGGTTTACAAATAATGATAGACCATTCAAAAGCGATAAGACTAAACATAATCTATGGAAAATTATTAATGATTACGACGAATTTCGAATAAATATTACCCCATTCTTCTTAGATAGCTATGCGGATGAAAAGCAATCTAAGAAAAAGGAATTCAATCCTAACTTATATCAGGAGATATTTTTGAATACAAACTATTTGAACAACCGAAAAGGCAATGATAACGATGATGATGTGGAAAAAGGTACAAATATCAAACCTGAATTTATTCAAGCGAACATGAATGATATTGTTTTTGATGGAATATCAAACAAGACGGCAAAGTTCAAGGATACTACTTTATCAACACAAATTAAATCGATCATTTTAAGGTTGAGAGAAATCAAAAGAATACTTTTTTCTTGCGATTTGATACTTGGTGATGGTAAAGGGGTTTCGGGTAAGTTTGGCTGTTCAGTTAAGGGCTATACAATTTATAACCACGAAAGATTGAAGAAGTTTAATAAGATTTATAATAGTGGAGAAGAATTGAAAATTGTTCACACATCTAGTAAGATGTTGAATAATAGAACAGGCGAAGAAATAGAAGTTGAAACTGAGAATAAAAAATCAATCACTGAGAAAAACGAAGATGCAAATATAAGAAAGGGGTTTCCTATGGGTAATGACAATGTATTATATTTAAATTCCAAGCAAACTAATTTCTTGAAAAATTATGCGTTTGACCATAATTTTGAGGATAAATCAGAAGCAGCAAAAGTTGAAGACGAAAATGAAGACGAAAATGAAGACGAATATGATGATAATGAAGATCTGGATGATCATAGCTTTTCCAAACCCCCATATTTAAAATTATTGGGATTCAGGAGTTTAAGCACATATCAATCTCATTATAATTCTTCTGCTCCTATATTTGTCACGCCTGATATGAATGATGGCCTTAAAACATCCTCAGCTGACGGAGGATATAAGAATTCATTTAAAACGTTTTCATCACTTTACCAGTCATGTATAAAATTGCAAAAATACGGAATATTATTTGGATGTCTCAAAAAGAATTCAATGCCAAACTTGTATTCTCTATATCCAACTAAGGTAACAAATTCCCAGAAATCCGGTCTAAATTTTCCAGAGGGGTTTTTTTTGATTCGATTACCGTGGTTGGACGATGTTAGGTCCTTGCCAGAATATTCATTCCTCAACGACGCATATTTAAATGATTTGTCAGGCGAATCTGTTCCAGCAGATATTTTACTAAACTTTAAGCATATTATATCTCAATTTTTCTTGAGAGAATATAGGCCCCTGGATTTCCCTAATCCTTCAATAAACTTCTTTTACAAGATAATAAACAATGAATTATTACAGGAGGTATTGAGTCCTGAATCGAAATCTATTGAAAATAATGACATAACTACACAAAAACTAATAGAATTAAGAGGGTACTTACAGAAAGAGGAAATACAAACAATGTTGAAAGCACTTAATGTGCGCTTGAATAAGCTTAGCAATGAATCGTTGAAAAGAGAGATGGAATCCAGTGATGGTACTGACAGCAAAAAGCGCAAAAAGGAAGTGCCCGAATTGAGTGAGGAAGCAGTATTAACAGCATGGAAATCAAATGAGTGGGGTCAGTTCACTGTATGGCAGCTTAAACAATTTATTTCCAAATACAAAGGATTGATCAAGCTGGCGACAAAGAAGCAGGATCTTATCAATAGTATAATTCAGTTTCTCGACAAAAAATATGAAAATGGGAATTAATCTATATGTTAGCTAGTATATGTATAAAATAAGAATCACATTATGAAACTGCATTCAGCTGTCGGTACTACGTGATTTCTGTATGAACATAATTGGGCAACCAGATTTGAAAAAAAAAAAAGAATGGACGAGACAGGAATCGAACCAGTGACCTTCTGCTTGCAAGGCAGACGCGCTACCAACTACGCCACACGCCCTCTTTATAATGTTGATAATTATACGTATATATATGAGAAGTATCTGTTAACTAACAAATCTGCTTTTACATGGAAGCTTAAAAACTTAAAAGCTCATAATAGTTAATAACATTTTAATTTTAACCAAAGATAATACACAACTTAAGCGACGTTTAATAAATATCATAAATCATCAGTAAATAGGTAAGTGGTACACTCATAGCTATCGTTTGCTAGTTCATGCACTATTTGATTTATAATACTTTAATGTATTTCATATACTTATTTTAGAAAGGATGTGGCTTCTGTATTTACGTTACTACTATTACTATTCCGAATTGGATAGAAGTCAACATTGAGCGGAGTATATATAGTATTATTATTGCAGCCGCCACAATCATAAGTGTATTTAGTTACCAACGTTCATACAAAAGACGTTTTGTGCATCTAATCAAAACCGTTCACCACCATAAGTCGGCTAATTGCTCTTCGGATCGTCTTACCAGTCAAAATTTAGCAACCAAACAACCACTTCCACCTAAACTTTCGTCTAAATAATATTAATTGCTGCGACATTGCCAAATACTAATTTTAAACATAAATAACACATTACGTATACTTGCCATATATAAATTGTTAATAACCCCCCAATGCTCTGCCATCACCCTTATCACCCCACAATTGCTGCATTGTAAACAAGCGAAATATTCTTAATTGCTTGTTCAAGTATCTCAATCTCAACTATTTTGTGTAATATTTTACCTTTTATGAAAAATCCCCTCCATATACTCCACTGGCATTATTATAGAAACAAACTCGCTAAATAGAACTGGCGTGAACAAAATACCTCACGGAGTTTTATAGTGCGATATTTTACTAGACCAGAGATACATTTTGTAGATTGTAATGCTGAAATATTCTTACGATAATGATACTTTATTGCCGTGCCTCCCGCTAGCAAGATACGACTTTTGTACCAATCATAAAAAGCACATAGTAAGCGGAATTAATAAGCTCTACTCGTACACTCGATAACAAGAAAATTTGAAGAAAACTAACGCAAAATTTATGGTCATCCGTACGGTCGCGCATATCTCGGACCGGACATATCGCATCTCTAATGATCTATTTTCTTAGCTGTCTCATGTATCAAGAAGTATATATATATATAGTATATTATTATTATTACTATTACTATTATTACTATTATTATTATTATTGAAGAAATTGCTCCAAATTTAATACTTTAGATCTATTTGATTAAGCTTATTAGTTCATTGTCATAATAAAGCAAAGGTATAGTAGTTAAGAATAAGTAAGTATTGCATTCTTCATTTCATGGGGTACAAAAAATGAAATTTTTAATTCCACCACATGAAATATTAAATTTCTGTTTAAGTACTGCAGTAAATTTAATTCCCTGTTATATACACGAGCTAACTAAATTAGGATGTCTGTACCTTTAATGACCAACGAGGTGCCCGAATATTCGGAGCATTCAAATACCGAAAAGTCGCCAAGGTATACGGCTCCAAGCGAACCATTACCGCAATATGAACCTTCTCTCGAGTATTACGGGTTATCACTAATCAAAACGGAGTTTTCGAGTCCGTATCACTACAATACTGGAAACAGATCATGGAAGCCTGTGTTGCTAGAAATAAATTCTACCCAGTTGAATATTTATGACTTAAAGGTTGAAAAAAAAGTGTTAGAGCTTATCGTGGCCTTATATAATGACTCAAACCATTTGAACGACGTGATGCAAATAATACAAAATGAAAAGATGACTAACGAAGGAGATGATGATTTGGACGAAATGTGGAACGATGCATATCAGGGAGAAGTAGATGACTTGAAACAATCTACGTCAAGCAAGTGGAAGAGTCTGTGGCACAAATCAAAATACAACAAGGTTTTGAATAAGGGAATTTCTCAATACTATGAGCTTATCAAGGACAATCGAATGCTTTTTGAGCCAACTAAATCGTCTTCTGAATATAACATATTCAGATCAAAATTTCAAGGAATACAAATTGCATCATACACTTTAAACAACCTGTACGTAGGTGAGGCACCATCTTTAAATCATTTAATATCCTCCATGTACAAGGAAGACAAGAGTCACATAAACAAGCATAACATTTCTACATTAGTGAAATATAAGAATACCTTGAGAGTCCGAATTGAATTAAAACAAATGCTCTTGCAATTCTGGTCGTTCTATGGAATGGTCCATTGGTTCAGAGCTTTAAGTATTGCAAAAGATTTGAGTTCTGCCTTGGAGGATAGAACCGTGACAAAATTAAAGAGTATTCCATCGCGTAATAGCCGTAATGACAACTTGTTAGCTGCTACAGAAGCGGCAGCGATGCTCGGTGCGGCATCTGAAGATGGTGGTGATGTAACATATTTTACTAATCCCTTCAGTTCTCAGTCACCAAAGCATATAATACTGGGAAACAGTGACCGTGACGATTCTGCACAGTTATCGATCGTGTCTCTGGGCTCTAATACCCCAAATTCTGTCTTTTCAAATGAAAGACGTGAATCTGTAGGTTCTACAGCTTCTGATATTTATTCCTCTTCCACGGTACCGAACAACAGATATAACAAAAATGTCAACAAGTTTAGCCTTGTGTCTTATGATAAAGTATTTGCTACAACTGTCGAAAAACAATACATTTCAAACTGCATTCCTGATTTAAACTCTTTCGACAAATGGTGTGGATTGGATGTCACCATAACTAATTACAAGCAATACCTTAGCCCTAGTCAATTGGACGCGTCTTCCAAGGATATTTTTATTTCATCGTCAGCTTTAGACAATACATCATGGGGCTTTAGCAAGGTGCTAAAGAAGTCACATCAACAATCCAACTACAGCAAAAGCTTTGTTATTGACCAGAAAGGTTTAGTAAGCCTTGCACATTAGCATTATATTATGAGTTCGAGATAGATTTAATATTAGACTTCATAGATTAGATTAAGCAGATAGCAAGCTTCTTGCTTGTGATTACAATAATGATACATATGATTAATGACAATGCAATAATATAAAATATTAAAATTACAACTTTACTTGTATATATGTATAATTTCGCAAATTTAATTCTACTGTGTGGTTAAGTTACTAATCACTCAATATAATCTAACTCATCCTACGTTATATTGCCATCTTCCAAGTGTGCAATTGCAGTAAAAACAAGCACTAATTCGATACACCCAACCAATAGTAAAAGCGTTTGTTTTCATAGAAAATTAAATTATTCCCATCATTCTCATATCATCTACATCTGGATCTAATTGTCCCTCCAGCACTAATCAAGTAGTAATTTTATTAGCTAATATACAATATAAGTACAATCTAGATAGAATGCTACTCACCGCTCGCCGGCGGTGACTAGATTTTGACCATGTCGTCGTATTCCAAATCATGGTCTTCCATGCCAAAATAATTTTCATGTTCCTGTTGGAACTGCTGCTGCTGGGCACCACTACCCTGCAATTTGCCATATCCGTTTATCACGTAGTTTTCCGCCTCGTCGCTAGGACTCAATTTGATTCCATCCACATCACACGTTGATGGCGACGAAAAACTATTCGTGTTCTGGTTCATAGACACTGGCGTGGATGGCATGTCGTACACGTTCGCCGTCTGGCTGTTTGCAAACGATATATCCTGGAAATTGATGTCCTCAAATTTCGTCACCGTATTCCCGCCGGCATCCACAAATTGTCTCACTGACCCCCACGGCGTAATCTTCACTATTCCTCCATCTGGATGGTTGTAAATAGGCCATTCGTTCGAGCTGCTAAACTCCTGTCTCTCTTTTTCGTTTATAAAATTTTTCACTTTCTTGGTGTCTGGCTCGACCTCTTCTCTTTTTCTTTTAGATGCGAAATTCATACTATATGCTGCTTCTCCTGCCATTCCTATCGATATTACTTTATGTGCAATAGATTCCTAAACTGCCTCGATATGTGCGATATATACCTCTTTACCAATCACTAATTAATATTGCAATGATTACTATAATATCACCTTAAGAGACTTATAGTGTTTAATTTTCTGTATATGGCAATACTATACTACACTGACTACTATGAAAAACAGCAAAGTGCGCTGGTTATATAATGATAGGACCATGTGCAGGATCGATGTTCAGCCAGGATTTTTTTTCTCATTAGTAGTTCCCTGACTGAAGGATTTAGTTCACGCGCAGACAAGCCGGGTCTGATCATGTCGCGTTAGCCGTCGGCCATCACACGCCAGACCCGAGGAAATGTTGGATGTGCGGGTGCACATCGATGCACCCGGTACTCACATACGGGGGCTAGACCTCGACGGCGGGGCTAAGCATCATGTGATATATATCACATGTCTGGCCTCAGTTGAATTATGCACCAGTGCACCAAAATAACTCGATACACCAAATACACCATACACCACATCCGTGCCCCATCGTGGTTTATGCGCACCAATTTTTCATCCAATGACATTATAGTAATATTGACATTCAAATACAATTTTTTATACGCAATACTAGCAATCATAATACAGACTTTTCTAATAGTTCTAATTGTATTGGGCAGTAATAAGCTAGACTGAACATGTTGAGAGTCAAGAATATAAGTAATTCGGTTCGTCTTGCTTCTAGAGCTAGACTTGGGTCCCTTTCATCAAGGGCATTCAGCAATTTTTCGAGATTGAATGCAGATGTTAGTGATGAATCCAATGTCAAGCCTTTCAGACATGCGTTAGGTAGAGACGCACAGAGATACTCAGACGAGCCTGGCACTTTCGGAAAGACGACTTTTACTGAGTCTATGGATGAAGTAGACATGACGTGGGGAAGAGACGATGATCCTAAGCACGTCGAGAAGCAAAACACCAAGATCAGACATTTCACCATTAACTTCGGACCTCAGCATCCAGCAGCTCACGGAGTGTTGAGATTGATTTTGGAATTGCACGGGGAAGAAATTGTCAGGGCGGATCCACACGTTGGGTTGTTGCACAGAGGTACAGAGAAGTTAATTGAGTCTAAGACGTACATGCAAGCTATACCATACTTTGATAGATTGGATTATGTTTCCATGATGACCAACGAATTGGTGTTTGCATTAGCCGTGGAAAAATTGTTGAACATTGAGGTTCCACTCAGAGCCAAGTACATCAGAACCTTGTTTGGGGAAATCACCAGAATTTTGAATCACTGTATGTCGGTGTTATCGCACATTATGGATGTCGGTGGTTTGACTCCTTTCTTGTGGGGTTTCGAAGAAAGAGAAAAGTTGATGGAATTCTACGAGCGTGTTTCGGGTGCTCGTTTGCACAGTAACTACGTTAGACCAGGTGGTGTGTCCCAAGATTTACCTGTCGGTTTATTGGACGATATCTACATGTGGGCTACCCAATTTGGTGATAGAATTGATGAAACCGAAGAATTGATCACCGATAACCGTATTTGGGCTGCCAGAACCAAGGGTGTTGGTGTGGTCACCGCTGAAGATGCCTTGAACTACTCTTTATCAGGTGTTATGTTGAGAGGTTCTGGTATTCCATACGATATCAGAAAGGCCCAGCCATATGACGCTTACGAATTGGTTGACTTCGATGTTGCTGTAGGTATGAACGGTGATTGTTACGACCGTTATTTAATCAGAATGGCTGAATTTAGACAATCTTTGAGAATCATCTACCAATGTATCAATGATATTCCAAATGGTCCAGTCAAGACCGAAGACTTTAAGGTTTCTGCTCCACCAAGAAGTATGATGAAAGAAGATATGGAAGCATTGATCCACCATTTCTTATTATATACCAAGGGTTATGCTGTTCCACAAGGTGAAACTTATACTGCTATTGAGGCACCAAAGGGTGAAATGGCTGTTTATGTTGTATCTGACGGTTCTGAAAGACCTTATAGATGTAAAATCAGAGCTCCAGGTTTTGCTCACTTGGGAGCCTTTGACCATATTGCCAGAGGTAACTTATTAGCTGATGCCGTTGCTATCATTGGTACCATGGATTTAGTCTTCGGTGAAGTCGATCGTTAGGCTCTCAGGCTAAAGTAACTACAAAATAAACCATTCATGATGCATTTGTTGATTCACGAATTAGCAGTAATATATTCGTTTCCTTTCAAAATTACAGAGACATGTATAAACACCAATAAAACAAGGAATCATACTCGGTTTACTTTATTATTGGTTCCTTGCTTATTATCATTTATTTTCCATCCTAGTTTGATTTTTGTCTTATATGCAATAGAATATATAATTCGTAAATTCTTACTTACATTTCATATTTTAATATATTATATTGTAAATCTATAAAATTATTTTAACTAAAAAATGCTTGATATAAAAGATATAGTGATGCGCCAGCCCCCATACAAAGAAATGCAACCTTCAATCCATCGCTGTCATCTTGCGGGCCGTGATACATGTGCGGGTTCTTGTTTTGCCCATTTGCACTTGAGCCTGAATTCCCCCATTGCCCCAGACCTGCTGAGTTGGTCCTGTTCTTCGTATGGTGAACTTGCCTCATTAGATGCTTAGTGATAAGCTCTTCACTCATATTCTTAAGATCTCCTGATTTGCTTAGTTGTCTCATAATTGCCTCTCTGTCGTCGTCTGTTAGTTGTCGGTTGATAATTCTTTGTTCGAATTTCAAATGCTTTAATAAATGCTCGTTGTAGTTAAAATGCGGAACACCATGCTTGTCACCATAGTTGCGATGTTCTCCTGAAAACGAAGAATTGTTGTCAAAATCATTGTCATGACGTACTCTATGTCTCTTTGTATTCAAGCCAGATGCACTATAGGATGATCTCGAATATGAATTTGATTTGGAGTAATATTTCGCTTCTCCATAGTACTTATTGTGCCATTCTTGGTTCCTCCTGACCCCACTACCATTCCTATTATGCAACTGTCCGCTAGATTTCAATGAAAAGTCATAGTTCTTTTTCTTCTTCATATCCTTTAACGTATCATATGCATTGACTATAGTCACAAACTTGTCACTATTAGCCTTCTTCTCGTCGTCACTCAAATGCGTATTCAAATCAGGGTGATATTTCTTACTTAGCTTCTTGAATTGGGTCTTAATTTCCCGAATCGACGCCGAATGTGGCAACTCTAAAATCTCATAATAGTTTAGTTGTACATTTTGCAATCGTAAGCCAGACGTCGAAAACCCACACTTCATTGCAGGCCCCATGGCATTAAACCTTGTGTAACATGCCGTTCTACCCAAAAACATTATCTAATCCCTTCAATGTTCGTACACTATAAATTCTGTCTACTAATTCCTTATTTCTCCTTGTTGATTGTCGAGAGGATGCACTACCAGATTGACTTATTTCCTAGTAGTACTGATGGTTCCGATAAATATGTCTTGGTGTGCGCGCACCAAACGTGTTTTTCACTTCTTATGACCAAAATTCTCTCTTGTTCGCCACTAGCGAATTACGAGAATACTATATAAACCAATAATAAGTCCATTATTTGTAGTAGACTCATCAAGTAATAATACACTAAAATAAAATGCCTAGACAAAGAAGATCCGCCCCAGCTCAAAGAAGCCAAACTAGATCAGCTCACACTGCTAGTGCAGCTCCATACCAATCAGCCCCAGCTGCTTCCCGTCCTGTCCAACAAACCCAACAAGGACCAGGATTATTTGGCCAAATGGCTTCTACAGCAGCAGGTGTTGCCGTCGGATCCACTATTGGACATACTTTAGGTGCTGGTATAACCTCTATGTTCGGAGGTTCATCATCGGCTGCTCCAGTTGAACATGATCAACAACAACTTGCCCAAGCTGGTCAACAACAGCAATACCAACAACAAGCTACGCATTGTGACGCTGATGCCAGAAACTTTACCAGATGTTTAGAAGAAAACAGTGGTAACATGCAAACTTGTGAATACTACTTACAACAATTAAAGGCATGTCAAGAAGCCGCTAGACCATATTAGATAGGTTGATTCACGTTTAAAAAGTCCTGTAAATACAAAGAGACAAATTACAGATAAAATTATAATATATATGAATATGTATTGTCATAAGTAGTTATTTATTAATAACAAGTCTATTTCTTGTGAGAATCGCTCTCTGACGTCTGGTAATAGTAGTAGCCACCGGCACCTAATCCAAGCAATGCTAACGGTACACCAACACCAAAACCAGATTTGTTGGAGTTCTTCTGTCCCAGAGTATGTAAGTTATCATGTTCGATGTCATCAACCACTCTAGATTGCTCAACATTGGACGATTTATGATCCACATCGCTGGCTCCCAAGTTGACAACTTCAGATTGATTAATTTGAGGGTTGATGGAGGTTTGGATGTACTTTTCCCTGTTGGCAGGTTTCTTGGGTTTGGCTGATTCCCTAGGCGAAGCGTATGAAGCATCCACAGGTTCAGACCCTCTATCATGTAAAAATTCCGGTTCTGCTGCAACAGCTTCACCACCGTGCAATACTGGAGCGTCATTGGCTTCCGCCTTGACAGAAATAACCTCCAGATTCAACATCTCTTTTTCCACTTGAGCCTTTTTCTCGTTAGCAATATCTTGTTTAATAGCTTCTCTGGTAAGTGGGGGAACTTTTGGTTCAGCAACCTTTGGAATGAAATCGTACTTGAATTCCCATTCGTTAATTGATGTTTGTGAAGGCATTCTATAGCTGTCAATGGTCGAATCATCATTCTTGACAAATCTAGGTAAACTAGAGTGTAATAACCTTTTAGTGGAGTAAGAAGCCACGGTCTTATTTATTGTTCTAGTAAGCATTTGTTCTTGTTTCTTTTTGATTCTAAGTAGTTTATATATCCTCAATGGTTGAAGTCGGTGAATTAGAAGGATCTTTGCTTTTATATAGATAAGATTTCCATAGTGGAAGACAGATGTCGATAGTGTTCATTGGTTCCGTCGGCCTAAGGGGTGACCCTGCCACCCCGGACTGTTTTGTGTAATAATCGAATATTCCATGCTATGGAAGGTTCTATCTGTACTATTACGTCTGCTATTTTATTGCGTCTCTGTTGTCCGTCTATTGCGTCTATATCGTCTATTAAAAGTTACATTCTATAAAGTACATCATTAAACACTAACACTTAGTTAATTAAATTATCCAATACCATGGATGGTGGTCTCTTGAGCTTCGATTGTGGGTGCTGGGTTTGCAATTGCGTTTGCACCAGCTGCAAATCATTGAACGAAGCATTGCTGTGGTTCATATTTGGGTGGAAATCATTTACTGGAGAATCCATCATTTCCAGATTCCGTATAAGCGATGCCAGACTGTTGTTAAACGTTTGAGAAGCGTTTTTATGATAGAGTGGTAATTCCAATTGAGAGTTGGATTTTGTGTTCATAAGTTCTAGTACTGGACTGATGAACATAGAACCTCTGTTGGCTTTGTTGTCGCTCACAGCATTTCTATAGGACCTGCCTTGTTGCGAATTGGATAATGTGATGTTGTCAGTTTCATGTTGTAACTGAAGGAGAGAATTGTGTCGGGACAACATATGGAGACTTGACACGGAGCCGAGCGACGATTTTTCGAGCATCGAGGAATTGGAACTCTCGCTGCCGAAAGCACCACTTCCCGGATTGTATCCAAAGTTGTAATAAACTTCTCTATCAGCTTTTGCCCTTTTGTTCGATAGTATGTAGGCTGTAATTCTGTAACCAATAAAACACAACAATATGAAGAGGATGATAGCACCCACCACTATGAATACTAAGTTTTCTGGCAAGCTAGACCTATAGATATATGGATCCTTTCTTGAATTCGATGTCTTGCTAGCATTTGGTATAGCTAAACTGTAAGAATACGACTGAGATTCTGACTCTGAAATGGTAGGCATATCATCCCTCTTCTCAGCTATCATACTTGTTGTCTGTGGGCCTTTCGTCACTAAGGTGGCACCACCTCCCGACGTAGGAGAAGCTCTATGCATATGATGAACATGTATTCTAGTACTCGGCTTCGTGGAAGTGGTAGTAGATACCACATTTGTGTTAGCATCCACCAATTGAGCAATTGTCAATATTGCCACCACAGGTAGAATAAAGTTGAAAGCCCTCATATTTTTTGATGTCACTAATATAACCTTATAAATTCTAACAGGAATTTCTTTAATTCATATAGGAAAAGTCTAGAAAAAATATTCATTGATATCTGGTACGCCCCATGTTCCCATTTCAATTTGCTGCATTTATCTTAAGTTTAATATACAGTTATCAGGTAATATATCGGAATATTGAACCCACCTTCCCCTTTGGTGTTCGATGCATACGTATAATTTAAGTTTTGTGGTTTGATACGGCAAAAACCTTGCATAGATACGTGTTTCTGTTATCTTTTTCCGTGTATATGAAGGTTCCAAAACACCAGAACGCGAACTCGCGATAGCAAAAAAATCGCGTATTCGCGTCCTTTCACATAATAACTCTTAAATCATGTTTACCATGGTTTGATGTTTCTGTAGCAATATTCTATCTTCTTCTTCTGCTTCTTTGTGATGTCGAAATATTGCTGATCGCCGCTTGAATAATTTCTTTGTTCTACAAACTTTATTACATGTAGAGAAATCATTTTATTCAGCTTGCATATTTGAGAAGTATATGAAGTAATTACTACAATTTAGAGTTCAATTTGAAATACAAACTTGTTGCTTTGTCCGCCATTCCAAGTCCAGCCTGATAGCCATAACCACCTGCTCCGTAGTTATGGATCAAAATACGATTTCCTGGTAAAATCTCTTTTTCTATCTTCGCCCCACCATCTCTATAAGGCCTTAATCCGGCCGCAACCCGTATAATCTCTAAAGGTTTCTCGTTTAACTTAGGAAGCAACTCAGTTGCTCTTTTCAATATATCTTCAGATTCTTCGTCAAAAGTATCACCGGACCAGTTATTCTTCTGAACAAACCCACCTAGAACTAGGTGACCCTTTGAGTTTGGTCTTGGGATAATGTAAGTAGCGTAATCTGTACCCCAACGAAGTCTATTTTCATATATATGAGGTGCTTTTACTACTACGACTTGCCCTCTTATTGGGTAAACTTTGGTATCATGAACACCTCCCAAACTTTGGGCTCCAAGCCCAGTGCAATTGAATACTACACAATTAGGGCCAAGGAAGGCCTCATCAATGTGGTCTAAGTGTTTTCTAAGAAAAATCACTCCTTTCATCATTAGATATGCTTTGAGATTCTTCAAGAAAGTAGGGCAGTTGAAATTCCAAGTGGTGTAGCGAACTCCAAATTTCGCACCCATGGGCAATTCTTCATTTTGGATAATTGTAAAATCTTTTAAATACGTTTTAAGCAGCGATATCTTCGCTTCATTCGGTATGAAATCCCAAAATTCAGTAGTAGGAGCATTGTCTAATCCACAGTTTTTTCCAAGGGCTTCTTGTATTTTAATAACATTCGTGTAAGTGTATTTATCATAGCTTAGTGTGTGTTCATCATCCGGTGAAATACACGAGAAGTTACCACCAGCCCATGGAGAGGTATAGTTTATAGATTGATCACCCGGGTGATACTTAGCTATAACTGTAATCTGTTTACCGCTTGCACCCTTTTCCAATAATGAAAATGCTGTATACAATCCAATTACTCCAGCTCTAATGTAATGTTAATCTTACTCAATTCAAATAATTGGCAAAGTATCAGAAATAAAGTATACTTACCCTAGGATAACAAAATCTGGATCTTCCATAGTTTTAGTAGTCAGTGACTGAAATTTTTCTTTTGAAAGGTATAAAATTACGATAAATTAACGGCCTTTAAACTGTTATCAGCGAATTTGCGCTTAAATTCCTTCCCTTTTCGGACTGAATATAGATTTTGATAGAAAGTGCGGAGCTTCCACTACGTCAGCTTATAGAAAGTGGTTAATTGATTGACAGATAAGGCTTTCCTTGTTTAAGCGCAATGAGGGGGAATGCCATAGACAAAACTCGAAGAACTAGATCGAGACTTGGATGTTTTAGTTGTCGAAGGAAAAAGTACGTAAGTTGCGATAGTTTAAATTTCGTGAGTGAAAAATACTAATTGAATACAAGGAGGAAGTGTGATCAACTTAAACCCAAGTGTACATTATGTAACAAAAGGAAGGAGGAATGTATTTGGCCTGAAGGAGATCTGACATTTAAGAATCAACCCAGAAAGAAAAAGAATAAATTCATTAATATATCTAGTGCAAGTTTAAAATATATTTCAAAGATTCCGAGAGACGACGATTTTGAAAATGATACCTTAGAAGTAGACCCAAAAACTCCAATGGATTTGATTTTAGCAAAGCAATCAGACCTTTCAACAGATCATGAAATAGAAGATACTTCTCCGTATATGGAGTCATTGTTCAGAGGTGAAAATTCACCTTCAGAGTTTGCGAATATTAACATTGGAAACATAGAAAATAATAGTGGTTTCTTAGGATCCGGGTATTATAATTTTTTGCTGCCTCAAATTGAGACAACTTTGCCCTTAATTAGTTCATTAAGTTATCCCTTCCCTATTGCCTTGAGTTCTATTGAAAAGCAGTATATCTATTACTATTGTGCCTATATTGCCCATGCGATTTCTGTTGTTCCCAAACAATTGAACTATTTTTTGAATACTTTTCTACCTATGGCAACTAAAGAAAAAACAGTTTTGTATTGTCTTCTTGCTTGGGGTTCGATCTTTAAGACGTATAAAGAAGAAGGGATACTATTATTATCCACTGGACAAAAGTATATACAGAAAGCTATAAAAAGTCTCAAAAACTTACCTGATGGGAAATTCTCTTTTATCTATGCATTGACTAGCTATATCATTCTAATGTGCGTTGAAATCACTATCGGAGATATTGCCGCTTGGTCGTCATATTTAACTGAATGTTATAATCTCATAAATAGAATGGGAGGGTTTCATATCTTAAAGAATTACTCTTCAGAAGGTAAGATTCTAGCTCAAAATTTTGCCTACTTTGATATACTTGCATCGCAGTCTAATGAAAATGGGACTTACTATCCAGTTGCTGAATATGTGGAGATATACAATTCAGAGGATGTTGCGCTTGCAGACTCTCTTCAAGGATGTATACGACCTTTAATTTTAATTTTAGGTGAAGCTATTAATTTACTAGTTGAATCAAAGAAACTACTAGATCATGTTTTAGATAAGGATTTATTTCATGAACACCAAGGGCTCATTTTAGAAAAATGTGACCAATTGGAAAAAGACCTAGAAGAGGCACAGTTGAATCCTCTTGATTTAATTGTTCTCAACGAAAGCGATGATATGGAGACTCATCTTCAAATGTTTGAGCTTTATCAATTATCTATTAAGCTATATATTAAGCATGTTATACGACGTCTACCGCCTGTGGTTCCCGAGATGCAATTCATATTTTATAAAATAAAAAAATATTTGAGAATCTTGATGAATAGCTCTGTTAAAATGTCACTTTGCTTCCCATTGTTGATCAGTGGATTAGTTGCTGTAACCCTTGAGGATAGAAAAGAGTTAGAGAGCTTGATTATCGAATTCAAAAGTCAATATGAATTTGATAATGCAAAGAAAATTCATTTTATTTTGAAAGAAATTTGGAATCTTAATGAAAATGGAACATTGTACGTTGACTGGTTTAATGTTACAAAGAAATTTGGCTGGAGGCTAAATCTTGGAAGATAATTTGGATTTTAGTTTAAATGCGTTTTAATTCTTCAAGCAATTGAATTAAAAATCTATTCCCTAAAATTTATAGACAGTTAGGCAAATAATATAAACGAAACGAGATTATTTGAATTTATTTCACGTATAAATTACATTCAAAATAAATACTTAGTCTAAAGATTACTTAGGAGGAAAATTAACTTTTCATGATTCTAAAGAGGTTTTCGTTTCAAAAACTCCACTATCATTAACATCAACTCTACCTGACTGAAAATCCATTTCAGTATATTTGATCCATTTAGTTTTGAACAAAACTTTAAACACAATCCACATTAAAAAGAAGATGGGAAGCATTATGTATAGATCCACAAAGCTTCCAGCATCAAATGGTTTAAGCGTAGACCAACCCAGAACTAAACATAATAACGCACCGAGAAATATTGCAATGTAATTAAGATATGGAAATAATGGGAGCTTAAATGGTAAGTCATCAAGTGAATTCCCTTGTAGTATCCAGCCTTTTCTAAATCTGTAGTGAGCAAAAACTACTCCAGTCCAAACTATAAAAGCAGAAATACCTCCTAAAGAAACAATATAGTTGTATGCTACTGCAGAACTACTATCCATTGCAAGCAATGATAAGAACCCAAAAAGGTGGACTGTCTGAGTTGAAACCCACGGAACACCACTTTTAGTTACTTTGGTGAATATTTGTGGGGCATAACCGTCCACGGCTAGTCTAGTTAATGACCTGGCGCAGAAATATATTGCACTGTTAATAGACGACAAACATGTAATAAAGATCATAGTTGTTACAAAATAACCAGCATTTGTCCACCCAGCCTTTATTAAAGCTATAGTCATCGGGGATCTCAATGTCTTGTTCTCAGTTGATAAACCTTCATCATTCCATGGCACAGTAATCCCGTAGGTAATTGTAATTCCAAAATAAACGTAGATTATACGGAAAATTGTCTGCCTAACAGCAGTACGGACAGCTTTCTTAACGTTCTTCAGTTCCAGAAAAGTCATTGAAAGACTTTCTATTCCAGTGTAAAAAATTCCCGCATAAACAAATGAATTAGCTATACCTTTGAAGCCATTAGCTAATGGATATTCCTTAAATGGGTTTCCAGGGGAATGATTTGGTATTCCACCAGCTGCAAATATCACTGCAAATAAATAGAAGCCAGTAATAAATAATAACTTAATCCAGGCCAAGATAAACTCTACTTCTCCGAATACATCAACACCGAACATTTGATAAACTGAAAAAGTACCCCACAATATCAAATAGTACCCATACATAGGCACTTTTGTGCTGTAAAATGATAGTACGGATGTTGCTGAGACATATTCAGCAATAATGTTACAGATCCAAATCAAAATGTAACTCCATCCAATAGCTGCTCCAAAGGATGGCTCAACCCATCTAGCAGAGTGCGTATTAAAATTGAAGTCAAACATGGTATTCATTTCACCTATGCATCCCATCATAACCATAACCAATATACCTACAATTGAAAATCCGACAAGAAGACCAACTGGTCCCCCAGCATGTAAAGCGTTTCCCATACCAATAAAGACACCAGGTCCTATGACACCAGCAATAGCCATCATCGATATATGTCGAGTTTTTAGTCCTCTCTTTAATTCTACTGGGTTCTTCTCATACTTGTTGGTCAGTATGTCTCCTTCCAGAATTACTTCAACATTGCTACTTTCCTTTGTGATCATAATGAATTCCTCAACTATTTGTTTAGCAAAAGCGTCTCAAAATCTATTTTTATTTTACTTGACTAAATTGACAAGCAAGCTCTAGGGTTAGAAAGTTGATTAATTTCCAATATAGAGAAATTCTCTAAATATATAGTATATTGTTATCTTTGGCCCTTGTTCTTTTTCTAATGATAAATGACTTTGGAGATATTTCTTTGGTACTAATTTATCATTTTGCAATTATATGTTAAAATTTGCCCATTCCCAAAAGAGTAATAAAATAAGCGAAGGTCCCAAATACCGCTTGTCTAAATGTTGGAATATCTCCACATAGGTATAAGAAAGACCTGAAATCTATTATTAATGACCTAAATTATAGATTAGATAGTCTAATTAGATTAAAGTTCGAGATACAATCTTCATTCGATTGTCTTGATATTTTTAATGGACAAGATGGTAGAAAAGAACACTGATGAAAATTTCATCGAGAGATTCAAGAAAATAAGCAGAGAAACCCCTGTCGTTGATACTCATAATGATTTTCCTTACTTGCTAAGAGTCCAATTACATAACGAATTTGAAACAGAGAGCAGGTTTAACTTTGATGACAAGTTGCAAAGTCACACTGATTTAATGAAATTCAGACAAGGTAAGATTGGATTACAATTTTTTAGTTGCTTCATTGAGTGCAAGGATGATGATTACTTGTACCAGGACTTCAACAAGGCAAACAGTGCGGTTAGGGATACTATGGAGCAAATTGATGTCGTTACGCGTTTGGTGGATTCCTACCTGGACGACATGAAGATGGTACTGACGTCACTGCAAGTAATGGACGTTTATTCCGGTGGAAAAGTTGCTATTACAATGGGGGTTGAAGGATTGCATCAAGTGGATAGCTCTTTAAGCGTACTTAGAAAATATTATGAATTGGGAGTACGCTATATCACGTTAACTCATAATTGTGATAACCCGTTTGCAACTGCCGCCTCTTCAGTAGTTGCTGGTTTGCCGGACAAAGGTCTTTCTGACTTTGGAAGATCATGTATTCAAGAAATGAACAGAATAGGTATGATGGTAGATTTATCTCATGTAAGTTATAAGACCATGCTTGATGTATTGGAGATAACAAAGGCACCTGTAATGTTTTCTCATTCTTCTGCTTACTCCATAACACCAAACGAAAGAAATGTTAGAGACGATGTGTTGTTAAAGATGAAAGAAAATGGCGGAGTTATTTGTATTAACTTCTTTCCCTTATTCATCAGTCAAACTGGCGATGAATGCGCCACCATAGATGATGCTGTAGATCATATAAAGCATGTTGTTGAATTAATTGGTTGGGAGCATGTTGGGCTTGGATCTGATTTCGATGGGATTCCAGAAGGTCCAAAAGGTCTCGAAGATGTCTCTAAATATCCAGACTTACTAATTAAAGTCATGGAAAAATTGAACGCATCGGATAGTGAAATACAATTGTTAATGGGGAAGAACGTCTTGCGAGTCTGGAATGATAATGAGAGAGTTTCTAGACTGTTACAAAAAGCAGGAACACAAGCTGTGAATGCAAATTGGCCTGAAAGAGATTGGAGCTTCTATGATTATGCAAAAACTTTCCCTGAAATTTTTCCAGGCGCATATCAGGCTAAGAAAAATACGTATAAAGATTCCCAATCTCTTGATTTAACTACAAAAAAATAAGACTATTAGTAATAAAAATAGAAATTTCGTGTGTAAATTATCAAAATAATATTTGGCGGCTGTTACATTTTATTCAAAAGCGAGTATTAATAGTTGTTTTAAAAGTTAGAAGTAATTAAACATGATGCAGTTTATATATAAAATGAGATCCGTATTGTAGTCAAATCTATAGCTTTTTGAATCTCGAATTACAAGCTACAATCAAGATCAACGGTTTTGATACGTTGTTATTACATTTCTATAACATAATTATATTATAATGTACAAGCAACTAGAACTTCCAATTTTCATCCGCTGATTCAATGGCCCAATTAAATTTATCTCTTAAAGTTTTTGTGAATAACTTTTCAATTGGAACATTGTACTTCTTAGAAAACATTACAGTTAATCTAGGATCAATATAATTCATCTTAGATGTGCCCAATGAAACCTCTGAATTGTCTTCTTTATCTTTTAATTGGAATGTGGTATTTACTATTCTATTTGTCAATGTCTCGACTTGACTTTTCAATTTCTCCACTGTTATCGATTTCTTAATTTGGGGCTTCCCTGTTTTCAATTCCTCTGCGTATTCTTTTTCTAATTCATTCACTTTTTCCATGCGTTCTTGTAAGTCCTTTTCGGTTAGCAATGGCTTATCCTCGATTTTCAATTTATCATTTTCTCTTTGAAATCTTTTACGAGCTGCTTCTCTGGTTCTTTCGATAACTGCTCTGTGTATATGCTCCGTATCTTCTTTTGATAAGTCATCGAGCTCTTCAAAATACTCTGGATCCTTTCTTTTCAATCCTGGTTCCAATTGTAAGATCATTTTTTTAGCCCTAATTTTTTGCCATTCCAATTCTTTCAATTTATCATGAATCTTCTGCACGGACGATCCATGCGTTTTACTGACCGTACGCTGATGGTTACATAAAATAGCAACAGTTCTATTTGCTGCATTGAACTTTACAACTTTTTCGGCGACAGTGCCTTCATTAGGAATCAAATCTAATTGATCCTGCATTGTCTTACTAGCATTGTAAGTACGGAATACTTTGGCAGTTAAGCCCTTCATATAATTTTGAAATTGCTTATTTAATAAAGGTGGAGATATTCTATCAAATAAGTCATCTCCCGGTTGCTTGGGTGGTTTTTTGAATATTCTTAAATTTTTAAAAACTTGTTTATCAACTTCAACTTCTTGATAGAATCTAATAGAATCTTTACCCAAAAAGTCAAAAATAACTTTATTTGGAGGTTTTAAGGTAATATGCTCATATCTTAATGAACAGCAACCGACAGTATCAGCTTCATCTTCACCTTTTTCACCACCCGCTCTCAATGCAAAAATATCAATAAGATAACAAGCCGTTGCCATTTGTCTGTTTTGCATTAATGGATCCTTCAACATTTTAGTATAATCCTTTCTGATTTCATCAATATGATACCTCAATTTTCTTGAAGTTTCGAATTTTTTAAAATCGGACAAACCCTTAATAGAGGAGTTTGCAGCAAACCTGACATACTTGAAGGAATCTGCAATATTCTCTTTCCACATAGCCAACCAGGATACAGTATTGTCGTGGCGCACTTCAGCCCATTTATGACCTTGTGGTGGTTCCGGGATTTTGCAACCTTCACTTAAGTTCAAAGTAACATCCTCGGGCATAACTCTTCTTTTTAATTTACCAGTTTTAGGATGTGCACCTCTACCTCTAAATAATCCAGGAGGTTCAATTCTAAAATTCCCAACTTGCTCCTTATGACCATTCAATAAACACGTCTTGTAAGGTTCTTCAAATTTATCTTTCTCAGCTTTAATAGCTTTCTTTTCATCTTTGCTTAATAATTTCTTTTGATCCCTCAACATTTCGAAATGTGCATGCATCTTTGAAAAGTCCATTTTGTGAAAATCAATGATATTAACATTACAGCCACCTGCATCTTTCAAAACCTTACAGAAGTCTTCAAAAAAGTTTTTCTGGAAAGTAGGATTCTTAGCATGATCTGTTTCCATCATCGCTCCGAAAAACCCTGCAACTTCTTCGGCTTCTAATGGCAAGTCAACAGGCTTTCCATCGTAGTGTAATTTGACGTGTGATGGTAATGGTTCGTATTCGGGTGGAAAGATAACACCATTATGTTCCAATGACTCCCACTTCTGTTCACCATCAACATCTTCTGCTTCCCACCATTTGTACTTTTCTTCTTCTTCTTCTTCTTCGTCTTCACGAGTTGAACTGGACTCTTTCTCCGTCTTAGCTTCATTTTCTTTTTTAATGGCATCGACCTTCTTAACACCATTCTTTTTCGCACTTTTCACCTTTTTGGTACCATTTTCTGGTTTTGCAATTGCCGATTCAGTCTTCTTCTTCGGCGTTTTCTTAGGAGGAGTAGTGGTGGATGCTAAAGGTATATCTTCATCGTCGCTTTCGCTCTTGATGGTATTTTTTGCTCTTTTCACCTTTTTCGCTTTGTCATTTGTTGGAGTACTAGCTTTTCTTTTTTTACCCAGCTTCTTACTTTCTATACTATTACCATCCACAGACGTAGTATCGGTCGATTTTGAACTAATCTGTGATAAAGGCATATCTTCGTCCTGATCCATGTCTCCGTTCCTCAATGAAAGGGCAACATTATCATCTGATGAACTCATCATAAATATTTTATGAAAAAATTGCTAATAATTGGTCACTGGGTCTAATACAAGTTATATCTGTCCTATCTAAGGTGCAAACGCTTTGAATGAATATCATCCAATGTTTTCTGATAACCAGGGCAATCGGAAATAATTTGAACTGTCGTGTTTTGAATCTTACACGACCGAAGTTCTTTTTTCGAATTTTGTGTAACGAACAATTTCTCGATTTAGTAAGGTTCGGTTGCAGTTTGTCATCCCTTTTGCGAAGGTTTTTGAGCAAACCTTGATTATCAGTATGTTAGACACACTGTCCTAATTAGTCTTTCATGCAGCTGAAGCCCATCAAGGAAACATATATCAGTTCCCGATTAATCCTTATTATGTTTCTTTCCTTCCAAATAGGATATCCAGCACGTTTCATGGGATTCGAAGAAACCTGCAAGATACTAGGAACAATACAGCTCTAATATGATAGCTCTGAAATATCATATTATATCCCCTTTGGGTATACAAATGATCTATACATTTAATTCGCAAAAAGAAAAAGGGTAACCACAAGTAGTTAGCAACTAATGTTTACAATGTAGTAATTGTGATAAATTGATAAATAATTGAATAAAATCATAATAAACGAATATCGTGACAATCCAATGAGGAAATTTTTTAGGATTATTGTACAATAATCATAAAAATGCGACACTGAGGTAACATATACTACGATTGTATTTCTCTAAGTTAGACCTAATAGTGAAGTTATTCAAGTCTAAGCACCAGGAAATTGAATATAAATAGTAAATTAACCGCAAGCTATTTACGTCAGTAATTAAACACTCGTATCGATTAAGTAATAAGTAATTAATAGGTTATACTAGCAACGTAAGAGCTTTCGCAAAGTGAAACAAGCCATTAACAATGAATAAATCCGTATATAACATTTATGAAATCTCTGTTTTAGGATAATATATATAGACTTTCATGTCGAATATACAGGTTCTTGGTATTTGTTATTTGTGTATAACTAACTAGATCTTACAGAATTTCTCAATTCGATTTGTTTGTAAATATTTTATCTTTACTCGATGCGGATATTTTGTAAACAACGTATATGGAAAATTAATCCACAAATAGTTTATATATATTCATTTGCCAATATTCTTTTCGTATTCTGTTTCCATCGGAGATTCAAATACTATCTAAGATTCTTATAAACCCCTAGCGCAACATCAAAGTGTTATTGATATAAGCCAATTGTCAAGAACATCATATTGACGAAGAATACATAACGAAGAGGCATTAACTGAAGGAAAAAAAAACCTTCGTTACCAACTATTCATTTTATAGGCTTAAAGCATTACACCAATTTCTAATTCAATATTGTTTTAAAAGACATATAGGTACTATTTACAGATAATTAAGAGGTATGTCATCAGTTCGTACTCAACCATTGCAGCCATTAAATAATGGCCAACTAAATAGCAGAGCCAACAACATCACACCAATCAAACCCCTCAGACACAACAAAGAAAACCAAGAGGATGTCAAAACCAAGAAGAAAAAGGAAAAGTTATCTGCGTTATGTAAGACTCCTCCATCAATTGTCAGAACCAGAAATGGTAGAGATTACCGCCGTGGAACATTTTTAGGAGAAGGTGGATTTGCTCGTTGTTTCCAAATGAAAGATTCTTCAGGAAAGATATATGCTGCTAAGACTGTTGCCAAAGCATCAATTAAGAATGAAAAAACGAAGACTAAGTTGTTATCAGAAATTAAAATTCATAAATCATTAAAGCACTCCAATATCGTCAATTTTATCGATTGTTTCGAAGATGATGTAAATGTCTATATTTTGTTAGAAATTTGCCCTAATCAATCCTTAATGGAGTTATTGAAGACAAGAAAGAGAGTATCAGAGCCTGAAGTTAGATATTTCATGGTTCAAATGGTTGGTGCTATTAAATATTTACATTCAAGAAGAGTCATTCACAGAGATTTAAAGTTAGGTAATGTCTTCTTTGATCCTGATATGAACTTAAAGATTGGTGACTTTGGTTTAGCCTCCATATTACCATCTCTTGAATCTAGAAAGTATACCATTTGTGGAACACCAAACTACATTGCACCTGAAGTATTAGGAGGCAAAAACGTAGGTCATAGTTTTGAAGTCGATATCTGGGCTTTGGGAATCATGTTATATGCATTGCTTATTGGAAAACCACCATTCCAAGCCAAAGATGTTCAAGTAATCTATGAAAGAATCAAGAAGACGGAATATAGTTTCCCTGCTGATAAACCAATTTCAGAAGAAGCTAAAGTCCTAATCAAGGATTTGTTAAGCTTGAACCCATTGCACAGACCCAACATCAACGAAATTTTAAACTACGATTGGTTCAAGGGAGCTTTCCCAGACAAGACACATGAAATAAGTTTGAACGGTACCCCAGAGGGTATTGAAAACATTTCTAAGGCTCAGTCGGCAATTAATTTCACTAACACTAAAGCAAGTTGTGGTATATATACACCAAAAACAAAGAACCCAGTCGAAATTTTAAGATCCGATTTGCATTCTGAACAACCTAGAGCCATGTTGCCAAAGTCTTTATCACCTGGCGACACAAAAAATAAATATCAGGAAGTTGACCCGGCACAGCTTGGTAAGCCAAGAAGGGTTAACTTTAGCAGTACCTACTCAACTACTATCAAGCGTCTTAACCAGTTATGCTTTGAAACTTACCAAAATATGAGGAGACTTGAATACTCAAAGCATGATAGAATAGATACAATGGAATTACCAAGCTGCGAAAATCCAACTTTAATTAGTAAATGGGTTGATTATTCGAATAAATACGGATTTTCATATCAATTGACAAATGATGACATAGGTGTATTATTTAATGATGAAAACACATTTTTAAAGTTACACAACTCCGGCAGATTTTTAGAATTAATTTACCACGAAGGCGAAGGATGGACGTGCATAGAAAATTCATCTAGTCATCCTCCATCCCAAGTGAAAAGACAATTGGAAATTGTTGATTTTTTTGCCAAATACATGAATAGTAATTTATCCAAGGTTAGTGAAAATGAAGAGAGAAAGGAAACTGTCTTTTTGAGACGGTATAGCAGAACTTCAGAATACATAATGTTTGAAATGACTAACGGTAACTTCCAATTTAATTTTAAAGATCACCACAAAATTTGCATCTCAAAATCTGGTTTAGCTATCACTCACATTTCACCTAACCGTATAACACAAACTCACCCATTAATTTTCATTTTGAAACATGGTGATTTCCCATCTGCTGAAGTTCCTAACTGTTTGGAAAAAATTGCTATTATAAAGGAAGCAATCAAAAGAAAAGCATTCAAAGAGTAACTGATTTATACTATAAATTAATTTTATTTATCAAGCATTATAAAATCATTGCATTAATTTCATAGATCTATAATTACGAAAACCTATCCTTTCAATTCAATTCCTATTCTGCGACATCATATTACTCAGTACATACTACGGTAATCCTAAACTTATAATAAAAATTCATTATATACAATTTTATTAGCATCATGCACCAAGAGTAGGCTGAAAAGTAAATAAAAATAAGGAAAGAATTACATTAATATACATATTCGGCGGTCAGCGAATGCTTATTTCGTTTATAGATTACCTGGCTGTGGATCGATTCGTTTCAAACGCTCAACCCCCTAAAAGTCATCATCATTATTGTTCAACAATGATTTAAGTGCCCATTCATCCTTAAATCTAGTCTTAATAATATCTAATTCTCCGATCAACCCAGAACAAGCATTCCTCAATGCTTCTCTAGGTGAATAGTCGTCTTCTGTTTGGATTCTTAATACAAAATTAGCAAATAAAGGATGCTCAACCTTATAAGCAGCGAATAAGACTCTTTCATCCTTTAACAATTGTGCTCTGATCAAATTTCCTAAAGTATGATCTTCTCTTTCAATCTTGATCAAAGCGGCATTAGGCACCTTCGTGTCGGGAGTTATCTTAATCCTAAACTTGAGTTAGTACCAGTTTTCCCAAATGTTTACGTCCCCTTTATTCTTTTCTTTTTCGATGGAATCTTATACTTACTTGTCCACTCCATCAGGTAAGATGAAAAGCTCGAATCTATCTGGGGCGTTCATGTTGTTTTCGAGGTATGTCTAAAGGTATGTTACTATTGCCCAACAGCGGTGTTACTTACTCGAGTACTGATATATTAGTTAGCGATGTCTCGCAATTTATCATGCTGACGTAATATTTATTAGTTTAGTTCATTAGAAGTTACCCGGATTATAAAATGCACCTTCTATTGAATACTTAATCTTGCCATCATTTAGTTGCAGTCAATTGGTGATCATGATGTAACCAAAACTTCTAGAATAGCTTTCTTTAGGAGGTAGTGTGATATATATCTCATAGAAACTTGTGACATTTAATGCTGACAAAGTTTTATTAACTAGAGCCTCTATTATGGAGATGTACGCACTTGAGTATGACATTATTAAGGAAATGACATTGATACTTACAATCACTTGAAGCCTTTTGTGTTAATTCAAGAGGGGAGGTATGAAGCATTGACTATTCTGTAAAAGAAACCCACAGCAGTTCATCCTCGATTGCATATGCTCAGGGCTTTTGGTAATTCTAGGAGAGAGGTGCGTAGTATTAAGTGTTCGGTAGGGTGATTATGGGAACAAGTAGTTTTATCCTCGGCCGCATGTGCTTAGGCTTATTAGTATATAGTAAACCTCGAGGTACACAAAAACTCCGAAATCATTAGAATAGCAAATATGCAACCTTCAATATCTGATTTGTATGAAACTAAATTAATTACTTGTCCTGCAGCTTTCCCTAGATACCCTGGTTCAGTAATTATTCCTCAACCCTCAAATGATCCTGATGACTATCGATTGAATATTTGCTATAGAAGATATAAGACTAAATCACATGTTTCAGAACAACCAAAAATCAATATAGTATTCCTTCACGGGAATGGAATGAATAAAGGTATATGGCATTATCACATTGACAAATTGTACAATCATTTCAATAGCCATGAAAAATCAAAGTATCGCTTGAATACAGTTCTAGCAATTGATGCCGTAACCCATGGCCAATCTGCTGCAGTTAATAAAAACAAGCTTGGTCATGTTTATGGCTGGAAAGACGGACCTAGAGATGTAATTGATATCGTGAAGAATCAAGAGTCGAAGGATTTCTTTTCCCAAAATGCAATCAACATTTTAGTTGGCCATTCTTTGGGCGGATTCCAAGCATTATATACCTGTTTTTTGGAACCTGAGTTATTTGATTCTTGCGTAACTCTTAATCCTGTCTGCTACATGGACAATGAAACAGCAGAATTACATTTATTTGCCTTGAATATGTGGCATGAATCGGGCAAGATTAAGAGTCATTTTGATATTCCTGAAGGGTCTAACTGGAAAGAGGTTGTAGAGCATCATTACAAGAAAGAATCATTCTTTAAGAGATTTGACTCTACTGTTATGGCGAATATGTTGGAAGATGAATTCACTGATGAATTAAAAAAGAATCCCGATGCCAAGTATAAGACAATTGACTTGAATACCCCCGCCACTCAGGAGTACATGTGCTATTACAATGCACAGCTTTTCATTCCACAAGGTATGGAGGTTTTTCATCAGATAACGACCCCTGTTTATCATATTGTCGGGGACAACGATACTGCTGGGCAAAGGGCCGTTGAGAGCACTAGAAATGTTTTGCAATCGGTGATAAAGCCGATAGACATCGAAAATTCCACCCATATAGTTCTAGGTGAAAACCCTGATTTAGTGGTCAATGAGTTGGTTAAGGCTATTGATGATAATATAGAAATCCATAGAAAAAATGGTGATATTAGATACAAGGAACCTAAATTGTTCGAGAAATATGGTAAAGACTATAGGAACACATTGATAGCCGAAGAATACGATGTCTACACGACGGCCAGTAAGAATGGCACCAAATTATATAAATTATAATAATTATAGTAATACACACAGTCTCTGTCTCTTAGAGGATACTTAACGAATTCACGTGATAAATGCTTCCTCTTCTTATTCAGAGCCTGTCATTTTCCACCGGGTTCCAACCTCCCCCAATGAGGAAGTTTAATTGATACAACTTGAGTCTACACACGATCTCCTCCGTAATAAGCGTAATAAGCGGCCTCTCTGTGTACTTCGGGTTCCAATATTTCCTGCATAATACCCCAAAGAGCCCATTACAATAAGTTCAAAGGAATATGTAGTTACCCGGATAGCGTTTAGTTCAGTCGAATGTTGTGATGCTACAAAACGTAGTAGAGAATTCATCAGTTAGACGCCAGAAAATAAGGAAGCATCAGTTTTAATCGATTAGTCGAGTTGTTGAAGAAGATTAATAATAGATCAATCATATCGAACAGAGACAAAATTGATCTGATTGGTTCACATTTACAAGGTTACAAAACACTAAAATTGAAAAT